ACACGTTTTAACAATGTCAGGGAAAGTCCACCTTGAAATTTTTACAGTAATTACTCCATCAAATTCAATTTGCCCTATACTTCGAAATCGAAATTGCTTTACATTAGATTTATAACGAGACAACGGCTCGCGTAGTATCCTGCAGACGCAACTTGGCAACAAGCCTAAGCCTAAGAAGTACTTTTAGTTTCGCCAAATCAAACTGGATTGGTTGAAGTAGAGTATAACGGCTAATAAATTTTAAATGTCGTATGGCGTTTAATTTGTGAAAAGTGATTGGTTAGGGGTTTTAACAAAAAAGACTGGCAAATCATAAAAGAAAAAAGTAGCTCGACAATTTTTAATTAATTAGCTCGTACCGTATGTTTCGAATGCCCCGGCAGCGCGGTAGGGCGGATTAGTGTATAGTTATTGATAACTTTCATTTTTATACATGCTACATTTTTAGCATGTGCATAATTTTAACTACGATAATAATACAACTGAAACTACTAGTCTGTATTTTATTACTTTCTATTAAAGACTTATTTAATGGTATATAAGGATCTTCAAAATATCATCATAGTCTTATTCGAAACTAACAACGCCATGTGAATATTTACCTTCCACGCTACATTTACATCACTTTCGTATAATATTTATTCTCAGTCACTCTGTAGCAAATGGTTGCAAAGACAAATTTGTCAAAGATCAAATATCCTTCTATTCTGACTATTCCTTCACTAACATCAAATGACATAAAGTAAACGACTCGACTAAAAGTCCGGAGTAAAAAATTCCTTAAACATTCTCGAGGATTCATTCATCATACAATAAAAGATTTCAAATTAATTAATTAACAAACAAAAAAACATAAAAGTCGAAATTTTACAATTTGGAACAAAACGGAGGTGAAAATATGCTCTTTCGTTGGTGTTAGTTGGATGGGAGATATTTGTTCATACGCAACTGAGGAAGATTCATCCAATATTCCGTCAACAAAATCAACATGAAGAATTAGAAGATCATCGTTTCTTTGATTGAAGAAAAGTAAAAATGAACCTTCTGCGTCTAGACCGCGATGTTCTGAAATCATATCCATTGCATTATTGAACAATCGGTCAGCGTCCATAACTTCTAGTTCACAAAGGTCATCAAATACTTTGCAGTTGGAGTCGGTGAAAATTAGAAGTATCAATCGCTTCTTCTGAATTATAGTTTAGTTTAACGTTCTGGTTTGTGGCTTTGTCAGAAATTTTTGTGGAATTGCACAAGCCATCAAAATCAGTTGAGGCAAAGGTGTCAAACAATGAACGACAAGCTGCAGCACCAATAGCATTTATGAAATCCTCTTCTTCCGAATCTGAACAATACACGAATCTATAACGATCATCAAAATCTTTTTTACCTTCTTTACATTCATGAAAAAATTGAATATATTTCAAAACAAATTCAAGCGTTTGTTTCTCGTGAAGTTTTCGTCCTTTTGGAAGTCGAACTGGAATATTATTCTGCAGCGTTTCGAGTGCTTGATTGAAAACGCCTAAGCGCAATTTTTCCTTTGTCGCAGTTTTAGTCTTTTTTGATTTTCTGAAACTTGTTTGGTCATCATGTTCAAACTTTCTTTTGAGAGACCTTGTACTTCCTTCTGGCAAAAATGCAAGACTGGATTCACAATTCAGCAAATTGTTCATTTTTTTTCTTTTTGAGAGTATTATAAGCAGTTTGCAACAGTAATGATATGATTACTATGATCCATGGTGTTTATATTTATATCTCAAATCTTCCAATTACTCGTCACTGTAGTCTGACCCGTGCCAGTTGGTGTTTCCGATTCAAAAATGTTTAAATCATCTTTATTGCAAACGAAAGTAATAATGCGATACTCGAGAAACAGACGTCTTGCATAGGTGTAGAAAGATCTATTTGTTTAATTAATGGTCAATACATAAACTGATAGAAAGCAATCGTACCATTGATAACGGCAGAATGAACTTCCATATTATAAAGCAATGCCGGGTAAACACGATACAATAAATAAAGAATCGTTTCACACTCTAATAAAAATAAACAACTTTTAGCACCTACGATGTCAAAATAAATCTGCTTTAAAACATTTTGTGAAAATATTTTTGTGATAAAGCACAATAGTAAACTGAGGAGTAAACACGTGATATGAAAAGAGAAATCTTGCACACCTCAAAACAAGTTATTGTTGCATGATGTCATCTCGCATGTTGCGATGTTTTAACTTATGAGTGGTATGCCTAAGCATATTACAAATTAGAATTTGCTTACGATCATTACAAAAAATAAGAGACTTCGACACTAGGCTAGTAAAGAAGCTCCATAAAAGGCTGATGCCACGAATAAAACTAGAAGCCAACCATTTTCTCATAAGCGATAACAAACCCATCCAGCATTTTCTTATTCGAGCGGAAGTACAAATTCCGAATCTTATGCTGAATGAAAATATTATACGTTATCCAAACAGACAGACCTCACTACACATATACAAGCACCGTCTGATATTCAGAATTCTTCGAGTTCCGCGTTATTACTCTTGTTTACAATAAAGATAATCTATGGATTATTGAATCGGAAATGCCCACTGACACGGGTCAGACTAAAATCGTCAGTAATTAGCAGATTCAAGTTCTATAAAAGAAATAGGAATGTTGATTATCATATCATTGCTGTTGCAAACTTGCTCATAGTACCCCCGAAAATATACAATGAACGAGTTGCGACATTGTGAATCAGATATTGCATTTTCAATGAAGAAAAGTACGTGCACTCTTAAAAGAAAGTTTATTTATGAAAATCAATTTCTATCAAGTTACAGGAAACCGAAAAAGCCCAAAACAGCTGCTAAAGAAAAAACGCGATTGAGCGTTTTCAACCAAGCGCTTGAAACACTGCAAAATATTATTCCAGTACGACTTCCGAAAGGACGTAAACTTCAAAAGAAACAGACCCTCGAATTCGCTGTGAAGTACATCCAATTTCTTCACGAATGCAAAGAAGGTAAAGAAGATTTTGACGATCGTTATAGGTTTATGTATAGTTCAGGATCGGAAGAGGAAGATTTCATATGTGCTATTGATGCTGCAGCTTCTCGTCCCTTGTTGAAAGATTTTAACGAACCTGATGCTGATAGTATATGTGCCAAAGATACAAATCTAAATTTAAAATCAAACCAGAGTTCCGACGAGGTGATCAATATTTCTCCTTGCCTCTTAACCGACACCAACTACAAAGCATACGATGACTTGTGTCAAAAAGAAAATTTGGACACAGAGCAGTTGTTCAATGATGCAATGGATGTTGTTATAGAACGACATCACAATCCTGACGAACAAAGTTCATTTCATTCTTTCTTCAATCAAAAGAACGTTGATCTTCCAATTCTGCATGTTAATTTTGTTGATGAAGTGTTAAATCAATCTATGGTTGCCTCCAATGAATTACCATCTTTTCAACAAACTTCAACGAAAGAGCGATATCTAAACGATTCAGCGTATGGATCTGAATGTAGTTTTGTATTTTCATCTCCTTCTTGTCTCTTGTTGTAAAACATTTTGACTTTTTTGTCAAGTTATATTAAATTTTAATTGTTCAATAAAATATATATTAGCGAAATGAGAGAACTGTAATTTAATCCTTTAGCCAAGTCGTTCACTAATACAATATTCTCCGCGAATCGTTCTACGTACGCTATAATTTCGTGTCAAAATGATTTATCAAGACCACGAAGGATTTTGAAAAACTTCAGTGGTATACTTCCAATCGGAATGGATGACAACGTTTTATATTGAAATGATCCCGTAAACTAGTTTTACGTTTTTATTACATTATCATTATAGCGGTAGTTAGTTCATTGCAGCTGACGGGCAACTAACTACAACTTAGAACAAATAGAACTAGTAAAAAAATGAAACAAAAATTTAAACAACAAGGTTTTTAACGTTACTCATGCAAAAATGACTATTAATCTATGAATTGAGAGATGAACGTAAAAATTAACAATAGCAGTTGCACACTTAGAGTATTTAGGAAGAGGTAATGCAGCCCACACAAGAGATTACATGCGATGTAGATGTTTTATGATGTAAAAATAAATAGATTTTTAATGAAATATCCAATGGTTAATTAGTTATCATGCATCAGAACACAAATCATAAGTCGAGAAAGAGTTTACGAACATATAAAGTCGTTAGAACAAAGTGTTAAAAGTTTGTTTGCTGTATCAACCCGTTTTTTTTTGTTACATATGCTGTTTGCATTAAAATAATAATATAAGCAATAGTTGCATTGATAACGACAGAACAAACTTCAATATATATTATCAAGCAATGCTGGGTATACACGCTAGAGCAAAGGAAATCGTTTCACACTTTAAAAATAAACAAATTAAAAGCACATGCAAAGTCAAAATAAATCTGCATTACAAAATATAAAAAATTTCAGTGATCAAGCCCAAGATTAAACTGGTGAGTAAAGACGTGATATTAAGAGATCGAATTTGCACACATAAAACACGTTAAAAGAATTGCGTGTCTTTGGCCCAATGTCACCCCGAATGCTACGATGTTATGTTGGTATTCGAAATACGCAGCGATAAAATTATATCTTATACAATTGGGAATTAGTTGAAAAGTAGGGGTAGTGTTAAAAATAATCAATAACAAATAATCGTTTTGTCTGAAATATACGAGTTAGACTAGGAGGCGAGCAGTAAGAAAAGACCGACGTGTATAAACACGGAATGCCACTAAACGTCAGATATAATCTCATCCGGCATAACAAATCACACTCCACGGGGTGTTGATAGATTATTATTTTCCACTCATACTGTTAATAGAAAACAGTCGCCAATACAGGTTTGTCGAAAACCTCTGCAATATCAAAGTATCTCCTTATCTGACTATTCCTTCTCTAACCTCATATGAAATAAAGTGAACTACTTGAGTATTGTCCGAAGTGAAAAATAATTCAAACATTCTTGAGGATTCATTTATTATACGATAAAATATTTCAAATAAAATACAAAAAAAAACATGATTTTTTACAATTTGGAACAAAATGAAGGTGAAAATATCGAACTACATTCAGATCCATACGCTGAATCGTTTGGATTCTTCTCTTTCGTTGGAGTTTGTTGGATTAAAGCTATTTGGTCGGACGCAACCGAAAATTCATTCAATATTCCATCAACAAAATCAACATGAAGAATTGGGAGATCAACGTTTTCTTGATTGAAAGAAATTGAAAATAAACTTTCTGCAGTTGGGTCGGGATGTTCTGGAATAACATTCATTGCTTCATTGAACAACAGGTCTGAGTCTACTAATTCTAATTCACAAGGGCCATCAAATACTTTGAAGTTGGAGTCGGTGAAGAGAAAATTAGAAGTACCAATCGCTTCTTCTGAATTACAGTTTGAATTGAAGTTTTGATTTGTGGCTTTGGCAGAAATATCCGTGGAATTGCACAAACTATCAAAATCAGTTGAGGCAAAAGTGTCAAACAATGGACGACAAGCTGCAGCATCGATAGCATTAATGAAATCTTCTTCTTCTGAACCTGAACTATACATGAACCTATAACGATCATCAAAATCTTTTTTGCTCTCTCTACATTCATGAAGAAATTTGATATATTTCAAAGCAAATTCAAGCGTTTGTTTCTTGTGAAGTTTTCGTCCTTTTGGAAGTCGAACTGGAATAATATTCTGCAGTGCTTCGAGTGCTTGATTGAAAACGCCTAAGCGCGATTTTTCTTTAGTCGCAGTTTTTGTCTTTTTTGATTTTCTGAAACTTGTTTGCTCATCATGTTCAAACTTTCTTTTAAGAGACGTTGTACTTCCTCCTGGCAAAAATGCAAGACCTGATTCACAATTCCGCAAATTGTTCATTTTTATTTCGTCTTGAGAGTATTATAGGCAGTTTGCAACAGTAATGATATGATTACGATGATCCATGGTGTTTATATTTATATCTTAAATTTTCCAATTACTCGTCAATGTAGTCTGACCCGTGTCAGTTGGTGTTTCCGATTCATTAATCTCTATATCATCTTTATTGCAAACAAACGTGATAATGCGGGACTCGAAGAACAGACGGTTTTACATAGACGTAGAAAGATCTATTTTTTGATTAATGGGTAATATATTCGCTCAGCACGGGAGTCCGAATTTGTACTTCCGCCAGAATAAAAAATAGCCCAACGGAACAAACAGCCCATGGAGTGCAGTGTGTTATCGGTGATAGCATTATAGTTGGTTTCCAGGGCGTACGTGGTTTTCACACATCGGTCTTCCATGCCATAAACTTGAAATATAATTGCAAAAAAATTCATTCACGAATAATTTTGAAAGCCAAGCTTAGCACCATTTGATAAATTTGTTTGGACATATAACAGTTGTGGAAAGTACCAACAGTTGTCAGTGACTCACAGTTTATCCTACTCTCAGCTTAGAATCAAACTTGCACATCAAATCCAACGCTCCAGTGTATTTACATAGGTGCTATTAATACATCCGATATTGGACTGTTTGATTACTAACCAATGTTTAATTGTATTTTTCAAAAAGCAAATGAAAGAAGAACGCTTTGTGCTCCGCATTGGTCGACCGCCTCGCCGCTTCTTTCATCAAATTTAGTGCTTTCATCGTTTCAGGCCTTACATTAAATCGATATTCGATACCCGATATTTGTGTCCCCATATCTGAACAAAAGCCACCTATGTGTAATGCGCTACAGACGGAACGTTATCATTTGGTGCTGAAAGTTTGCTTGCTAGATCAACTCAAGTTTTCGTTACATAATTATAATGTTTGCATTAATTGATAAGAAGCAATTGCAGCATTGATAACGGCAGAATAAACTTTCATATTATGAGGCCATGCCTGGTAAATACGATATAATGAATAACGAATCGTTTCACACTTTAATAAAAACAAACAACTTTTAGCACCTACGATGTCAAAATAAATCTGCTCTAAAATATTTTGTAAAAATTTTACTAGTGATCAAGCACAATATTAAACTAAAGAATGAACACGTGATATGAAAAGAGCAAACTTGCGCACCTCGAAACAAGTTATTGCTGCATGCTGTCATCTCGCATGTTGCGATGGTATGAGTGGTATGGCCAAGCATATTCCAAATTAGAATTCGCTTACGATCATTACAAAAAATAAGAGACTTCGACACTAGGCTAATAAAGAAGCTCTATAAAAGGCTGATGCCACGAATAAAACTAGAAGCCAACCATAATCTCATCCGCGATAACAAACCCATCAAGCATTTTCCTATTCGGCCGGAAGTACAAATTCCGAATCTTATGCTGAGTGAAAATATTATACGTTATCCAAACAAACAGATCTCACTACATATACACAAGCACCGTCTGATATTCAGAATTTTCCGACTTCCGCGTTATTATTCTTGATTGCAATAAAGATAATCTACCGATCATCTTATCGGAAATGCCCACCAACACGGGTCAGACTAAAATCGCCAGTAATTAGGAGATTCAAGTTATATGAAAAGAGTAAAAAGGTTGATGATCAAATCATTACTGTTGCAAACTTGCTCATAACACTCTCGAAAAAGTACAATGAACGATATGAGGCATTGTCAATCAGATACTGCCATTTTAATGAGAAGAAGTACGTGCACTCTTAAAAGAAAGTTTAATTATGAAAATCTATTTTAATCAAGTTACAGAAAACCAAAAAAGCCCAAAACAGCTGCTAAAAGAAAAAACGCGATTGAGCTTTGAGAAAGCGCTTGAAACACTGCAAAATGTTATTCCAGTACGACTTCCGAAAGGACGTAAAAGGACTCCAAAATAAACAGACCCTCGAATTTGCTGTGAATAACATCCAATTTCTTCACGAATGCAAAAAAGGTAAACAACGATTTTGACGATCGTTATAGGTTCATGTATAGTTCAGGATCGGAAGAAGAAGATTTCATAAATGCTTTTGATGCTGCAGCTTCTCGTTCATTGTTTGAGAATTTTTATGAACCTGATGCTGATAGTATATCTACCAAAGATATGAATCTAAATTTAAAACCAAACCAGAGTTCAGAAAAGGTGATCAATACTTTTCCTTTCCTCTTTACCGACGCCAACTACAAAGTATTGACTTATGTCAAATAGAAAAGGTGGACACTCACACAGAACAGTTGTTCAATGATGCAATGGATGTTGTTTCAGAACAGCACAATCCTGGCGAACCAAGTTTATTTTAAATTTTCTTCAATCAAGAAAACTTTGATCTTCCAATTCTGCATGTTAGTTTTGTTGATGAAGTGTTAAATCGATCTATGATTGCCTCCGATGAAATAGCATCTTTTCAGCAAACTTCAACGAAAGAGCGAAATCTAAACGATTCAGCGTATGGATCTGAATGTAGTTTTGTATTTTATTCTCCTTCTTGTTCCAAGTCGTAAAACATTTTTACTTTTTCGTTAAGTTATTTGAAAATTAAAAACGTTAACGTTTTTAAAGTTACTCATAAATTGATAGTTTATTCACGTTATGATTTTAGCAAAACTGATTAAAATGACTTTTTATGGGGTGTAGGAATAGGAATAGTAGGAATATGGAGCAGCATGGATAAGACCTGTCAACTTGAGCAGCTAGTACAATTTACAATAAAATTATATTCACATATTTCTCTTAACTCTGAACGAATCGCTCTTTCACCCATAGATTTAGTTTCATGGTAATAAACTGATGGTTTGTCAGTCAAATAGTTCATAATGATAAGAAAAAAACATGCACGCAGTTCAAAGAGTAAGAGCACAAAGAAAATTAGTAAAACTGACTTAATCAAACTCATTATACGACAAAGATAATGGGCGGCGTGATCAACAGTGAATCAATATTGACCGATAAAAAAGAACGATGCAAAAATAGGTTTGTTAAATAATAAATAAGAACAATTATATTTAAATTTATTTGATTTATTTTGTAAGAAGTTTTTAAACTGAACTCTGAACGTATAGATATCATATAGAATCCATAATATAGATGGTATATTGATTATTTACTGTATACGCATAAGCGTGTGTTTAGTATATATTTAAATTTATTATCTGCTTTCCATAACTTTTCTTACGCACTGCGGTTTGAAGTGATTAAAAAGGTTTCTGAACTTTTAATTCATTGTATAAAATTTATATGTGAAACAGTGAAGTACAAATATCTTCAAAAATCTCTCATCGAGTGTCTATTTTGACTAAAGTGAATTTTAACCGCCAGATACGAATATTTGGTATTAACTTCGGTAATTGTAGTATGAAATACATATTGTGAATTGCACTCAATGAGTTACTTTACCTTGAATTGTTGACGTGTTGTGCTTCAGGCCAACTCATCTATGTAGAAAATGAGTATATTATTTAGGACCTCGTAGACATGGACACCATTTTCCGGAAATCAGTGCCTCACGCTCATAATTTTGCTAAATAGGAAAATGGAACACATACGAAGTATATAAGCCAAAAATAAATATCTCACAATCCGAAATCTCTTTAGTCCATCTCCGGTAGACTCACAGTTATTCTCAAATGTATAAAAAAAGGGGGGCTACACTTGGAGGACTGTAGGGTACAAACATAGAATAGCTATTTATCCGTGGCCTTTGTCGATTGGGCGTATGCAATCGATAATATACTGTACAAAGTACAAACACATCTATGATACGAATAAAACTTACTGAGTGAAGACTTCAATAAATAGGTTAAAGAATAATTACCGTTTACTTTATTGTTGTCTTCAACAATCCTATTTTAACATCGCTATTTGGTTCACTAAATATTGAATAATTGTTGATCAGTTCATCCAATATTTACTCTGCATAATTAATTCGATTAATTCACTTTTTACAAGCTTTTAACTGTGCTTACTATATATATATATATATATATAAGTCACGCGTATGTTCTTATTCGATCATTGTCGTATGGGTAAAGTCTGTAGTGTCTGTTCGTCAAGCAAAACGTTCGAGTAGGATATTCGCGATACGTGAAAGTGAAAGACCAGTTGATATAGTCCTTCTGGCTCTACCTGATATATACTTATTGTCAGTGTAATCGGATACCCTAACATTAAGCCAAAGAGAAAGCATCAGTCGCGTTACTCCAATTGATCACATAAATAAGAATATCATCAAAAGTTAACATGCTGCTTTGTTATGAAATGCATCATTAATGAAATGGTATCAATTGACTCTATGTTTAGTATATATTTTTACTTGGTTTTACTTATTATCTATGTCCGCAACTAAATTATTGAACAAATACATTGTACATGTCATATACTAACACAATTCTAATTATTCACCTTAAAAGTGATGACGTATCGAAAAACACCGGAGTGGAGAAATTGGGGAATCCCCGTGAATGAAACCGAAGAGAGAAATTGGTATCAGTTTGCTCAGCTTTATTTGTCAGAAGCTGAAAGAGAATGATTAATACAGTTTGCCACTTTGTCGAGTGACACTGAGGTCTGATCACTGCAGCTATATATAAGGTTAGAGCTGGAAATAAAATAGTGTATCAAGTATGTAAATAGTGCTATCTGGAGACTTACTAATTTTAAAAACTTTCCACAAAAATAAAAATTATAACAAGAAATGTTGCATATACTGCCATCTCGAATTAACCGAATTATCCAACCTTTTTATACTAATTGTATAAATGGAAGGCGGTTAAATAATTCGATTATGTGCTGCTGATAGACTTAGGAAGAGTGTAACTGATCTCTATACCACCATATGTTTTGTGAGATTTGTAGATTGATACTTTATTGTTTAATATATTTATATATATTATATTTATTTTGCTAGACAAATTTTAGCTTGTCGGGATGAATCAACCAATGCCTATTAAGGTCAAAAACAAATGGTCGACAACTCTTAGAACATTAAAATTCTGGTACGATAGAAATATAATAGTTATCTAAGTGGATTCTAAGCTGAGGAATAGTGAATAGTTTGACAGACTTTTTTTTCATTTCTAGAACTTGAACATTATGATATCTTCATCCCGCATTGCTGGATGATTCTTACAGTAACTTTATTTCCTTGTTAGTGTCGAAACGGTATTTTATGTTACTTCGCAGTGACAGCATTGAAGTCAGATCGTACCTTGAATAGCAACGAGAACTCGTCTCATTGGTTTCTTTTTTGTTAGGTTATCGACGGTCTGTCTGTTTGATTATATTAGGCCATTGTACTATTGAGACATTTGTAGTTTTCTATCAACAAAAATGTCAGCCAAAACAAGGTTTGTAAATGACGAAGCGGAGAGTTATGAATCTATCAACATTCAAGTCAAGTTCACCGGACTTGATGTGATATCGTTGAAATCATCGGAGAAGACGTTGAATGTTAGAGGAAGAGAGGTAGATAATATCTAATTCTAATCAGTTACTACTCAATCGGATGAAAATCATTTTTTGTGTTTGAGCTGGCGGAATGTTACACTTGAATATCAAACTTGAGTTACATAGCGTTTTCACATCTATACTGACATGAATCGGAAACTAAAGTTTATTAGATGGCATAGTCCCCAATGAGCTCTCTCATGAGCTTTAACTTCATTATCCACTAAATATTTCGTTTATTTTTGCAGTTTCCATCATCTAGATTTGGAACATGGATTTTCAATGACGGACATCAGCAGGATGATGTCAAAGAAATTCTGATCAATGGGGGAATTGTTGTTGCTCTGATTTGGGGGATGTTGAAAACATATCCCGAGGTGGGTATTATTCTTGTTACTAAAAAGATAATTTCACTATAATCGACCTAAATAATCGATAAAGGCAATATCAAAAACTCAACCTCAAGTGTATCATATTTATCACGACCATTTAGTTTGTATCCTTGCAGTGTACAACTAACTAACTAATAACTAACTAACAGCAATCTATAATTCAAGCATCTATCGCTTGATTTCGAGAGAAGATTGGCAGTTATACTGCCTTCACCTAATAAATTTATTTGACTCCAGTGACCAAAAAACTGCTAATTCTGGCCTTCCAAAAGTCAACGCACATAAGTGGCGACCTGGGCTTGACGGACGTAAGTTTCGAACTTTTGAATCTACCCGCAATACCTGGCATTTTTTTTACGTAAGATATCCTTAAGAAAATATAAGGGCAATGACCCTAACAACGTTTGACAACGCCTGGATGCTGAAACCGATTTGTTCATGGTTTCAGTATTGAATGCACAACCGATGGCGACAAAACATAATAACTTTGTAAAATAAAGTGAAAAGATTAGTATACACTCAGTATATCCTTTGATGGACGAAATGAAGTATTGACTATTCAGTGAATTAAATATTTTAGGCTTTCGGTGAAGGCTTGCAGGACCCACTATGATACAAATAAAGATTTTTGCGGCACGTATTCGCCACCCACCCACCACCCATCGCTTACTTGGCTGCACTGATCGACGTAGCGCATGTCTTTCTGTTAATGACACCAAACCTATTGTAATTTTATTTTTTTCAGGTAACTGCTTGGGTTACTGACGTGAATGGATATTGCTTTGCTCTGGATGTTAGAAAAAGTCAAAAGAAAAAAATGGTAAATGAGATCGGTTGTGGAAAGATGGCGAAACAAGTCGAAAAAGCTTTAAAAAATCTAGCAGTCACGTCTTTCTACAAGAACATCAAAGTGAAGTTGTTCAAGCTAATGCAAGTGATATTGATCAGTAATTCCGGTCAAATTATAACTAATTTGTAGTGGTAGATAGCTAAAAAACTTTATTTCTTATGTTGATTTCTGCCTGATTCAGAACTAATAGCGGTGCTCGCAAATGAATATTTGATTGTTTTTTTATTGAATTTTTTTAAATACGCATATGATATATATTACTAAACGAGCTTTATACAAATATAAAAACTGCTTTCCGTTTTATTTTTGCACCGAGATTTAAAGATGAACACTTCTTAACCTGATCCTCATACCTTGAGCACTATTTAGTCTTAAATGTATGTTACACCAACGACTTCATAATGTATGATGACTATTTTCAGGCGAGATGCTAGTCCGAGTAAAAAGAGAACTGAAAACGGTATGATTTTTTTACAATATATGATTTATATGAGATTTACAGTAACATTATTAAAGACAACGAAAGTTGATTTTAGTATAAATTGAAACAAAAAAATCATAAATCCACTTATACAACTGTATTGAGAGTGTAGCCTACTCTGCGTGTCCTTATTGGTATCCCTGTACAGGGCCTGATTCATCCGTGGTCAGTATAACATTACGCAATATTTGCGTTGCCAAATGGCCATATATTGTAAAATTACGCAATCAAATTGAAGTATACCAAAGAACGAATAATGAAATACACTTATAGCCTTAATAATACGAAATTATGAACATACCTAAATAAACAATAAAACGAAGACAAGCAATTCCTGAGTTGGTGGGAATACGTAACCAACATTCCTTTTGCATAAAATGCTTACATGATTATCTTGTTTATAGTAATCATATAATGAAATGGATTGGGTGAACCTTGTTTCTACGCATATAACACGCTATATTGCTTTTAAGTGTTGAAAAAAATGAAATGCACAGTAACCATTAATCATTGAGTACAAAATTTCCTGAAGGAAAAAAAAATTTGTTTAAATTTTTAATTAGAGTTTGTGATATGTAGCGGTTTACTTTTCAAAAACTGACCCAAAACATGGTTTTGTATCATCTCGTCAATTTGAAATCTACAATTCTTTTTTTTCTTCACCGATATTCAGATGAAGATAATGAAGATAAATCTGATCATATTTCAGAAGCCATGAGAATGAAAAAATTAGAAAATGCAGGTGGTTGTCAAATTAGATTTATGTATTATATATGGAGAATATCATGGCAATCAATAAATAATCACATATATATATATAAATAAATCACGAATAAATAGCAAACAACTTATCCTACCATTTTCCATTACCTACTAATTTGAATTAAATATTAATTAAGCTCAAATTTAAAAGAATTTGTTGACTACTAACCCAGCCTATAATTATTGTTTGAAGTTTGAAGGAAGATAATTAACGCACAACCGGTGTTAGAAAGACGATGTAAACTTCTATGCAGAAAACTTTATTAGGGCATGATATGACGATGAACACTAGCGTATATATATATATATATATATATATATATATATATATATATATATATATATATATATATTTAGCAAAAAAATTTCAAATACTAAATATAATTTATAAACAAGATGTGATATAATATAATATACGTACGTATATAATATAAATACTTTGGCGAAAGTTCGAACAAGCGTGGGGACTATATAAACAACGACAACGCGAAAATATCTGGTGGCAATCGTGCGTCATTAAGATTGAATATGTCAACGCGCTATTAACAACCCTACACAAACCAATAACTTGGATATCCTAGGTGGGAAGTCAGTCGAGAATATTACATAACAAACACAACAATTCACTGGCCGCTAATGGGATTCACTTAAAATTCGGACGACTGTGGTAAGATTGAGCGAAGCGGTATAAGAACTTATAAAAATGATTCTTGGCCAACGAATATCAGCCTGAGAAGGCATGCTTGAAGTTCCGTGGTTTCCTGTTATTACGTTCGTTAACCACGTTGAAATATTACTTGTAGAAAAAGTTGCAATATTCATGAATGACGATAACTTTAGCTGGGCATTTATGCGATTGAAGCAAGAGTTGCAGAACGAAAAAGATGACGTTTTCAGGTGACGGTTTGTTATAATAAATAGTCATTCTAGATAAGCAGTATCTGGTTATAGTTATTTTGTAACATACATTTGCGTTCATAGTAATGAACTCTTATGTACTGGACCAAAGCATTCATTTCTCCAGTACGAGAAATCAATACGATAGAAATAAATCAAAAAGCATCACATCACATGTGGTACATGAGGGGGAAATGGTTCTCGGACAAAATCGCATTGCGATGTACTTTTTTTTACCTTTTTTAAACCTTGATTGATTTATTAAATAGATAATGTGCTTTGTCATATCAATACATAAAATGAATCGGTTTTCGAAACATTCAGTAGATCAATTTCAATGAAATGGATGATTTTTTGAGCTCACTGTTTAAATCTCACGTGGGTAAACTACGGCTTGTGGGCCAAACCCGCTTTTACTTTTTTGTGTCACACTTAAATGGCTTGCCAGTCTAGGTGAGAAAAATTTTAGCCCTTGGTTCAAAAACCTTGCTCACCCCTAGTTTAGACATTTTACCTTTGCAAGCCTTCCCTTTTTTAATCTTACTTTTGTTTACTTTTTTAGACTACAGATGCTGTTGAGACTTGCCATATGTTCATTGCATCTCAAGAACGCTAATGAAATTGAATCATCTACGGATCAAGTTTTGAGGCTAATGAAGGTTGTTGCCATTCCAGCCGAACAACACAATGAATATCAGCATGATTTCCTCCTCCTCCATGAAATGTTAGGTAAAACGGGACATTTCATCAGAGCGATAGAATTGGCTTTTGCTTTCAACGAAGTTACGAAAAAAATTCCTGAATCCGATGAACGTATTGAGAAGATATTTCGCAACTTGACTCGCGTAATGAGATCTCTAACAGAACTTGTTTCAATCGATCCAGGAGCCTGTTTGATGAGTCAAGTGATTTTATATAAGCAACAGGTAAGGACGATATTATACTCATTACGGAAGTCATTGGAATTAATCAACCAAGTTGTATAAGCAAACTGCTAGACTAATATCTGTATATTCTTTACCACATTTGTTATTTTTATGAACCATTTTACAAGAAATATGCCGACTCCTTTTTCACAAAGGTTGATAAAGAAATGGAAGACACTAAGAATGAGAAAAACTGCAGTCCATTACTGATGGCTCGAAACGTATACTACATTGAATTCACGAAGACACATATGGAATCGGCAATAAACAAAAGTGTTGCTCTTCTTTTCGGAGAAACTAGTGAGACGTTATTTTAGGAATACAGCATAGTAATCGCACACGAGTTTTATAAAACTGTAAAAGATTTCTAGCTTATCAAAATATTTGCTTTTCGAACACTATCAATTATATTTATTTAAATGTACTTTTTGCTTTATATCATTATGTTGAGGGATATTAGGGCATCCTGGGGTTTTGAATTACGATTTACTCAATTCGGCGTTGTTGTATAAATGCCATTATTTTTTAAAGAAATGCACTATTTTGGCACAGCGAAAGAATTTAATGAAATGGTATGCTGTTGGAGTGATTATCCGTTTGTGGCGAAGAAGCTGGAGCAACATCCATTAACAGCAAGCTATACAGAAGATGAAGATTTTGAAAATACTTGTCTACAAATATCAAAAAATCCAGCATTGCTTAAAGAGTATGAATTACGTTTCACTTTTGGTATTCCCAATAAAATTCATCTAATGTTTAATAAAGTTACGCGTGGAAATAGATTTGTTTACGTGTAATTTCTTATAATATATAATTATTTTCTAATAATATTGACACTATAGAATAAAGGTGAGTGCCTCGGTCAGGTTTCCGTGACAAATATGAGTTAAAACACAAGATAACTTGAATTCATATGCCGGCTTAACAGCACAACCATTCTGGAGCATGCATGCGATAGCTGTAGGATTAGTTGTGCGTTAGATTATTCATGGTATGAAAAAGCGCGAAAACATTTTTTATTAGTATGTATCACAACTTAATTTATTTCATATAACAGAAAAATATCAGATATAAGAATTGCTCAAGCAAATGAAGTGCTCATATCTGAATTCAAAGGTACAGATGAAAAGAGCAAGCGATCAGCAAAAAGGTTAGAACTGGTTGTTTTCTTTTTTACTCAATGATTTCTTAATTTTTCATCAATGTTCAAAGTTAGAAAGAGGAGAAGCTACAAGTTGTATTTATACCGATAGGCATTAATTTGATAAATTACAAGAATAAATTCAATATTATTATTATTATATTATTAAACATTCAATATTGAAAAAATGCAGAGCAATGGAAGAAATTGACATTGCATCTGGAATTTTTGGATCTGGAGTTACAACTAGCAAAAAATCTGGGAAAAATAACAATCGACCTTTGGATAAGAAAAAAGAGGTGATTACAAAATCATTATTTTATACCCCACTTCGAAATTGATATTGTATCTGAACTTTGATCACATATGTTTTGCAGTATTGTCCCCTGAATGATTCCAATGCACAATATTGCTAACGAGTTTACTCTCTTAATCCACTCATTAATTTCCATTCCTGTGAAAGTATAAGTGAAAAAACACCCCCCATTTACCTTGAGAGTGCAATGAGTATAAAACAAATCAGCATATTTAAATTAATTGGAATTCTCAAGTTGGTGTTTCTGTTTTCTGTTGGCAAAGTACGTTCTAATCTAGAAAGTGTAACATTGCAATGAGCTACTCCTAATTGCAAATAGATTTGTTCAGATGTTTACACGCATGTCTTTATATAATCATTCAGAAAATTGGCATTGTCTAACACAGGGTGGTCCAAGGTTGTAGGCTCCGCGGGCCACAAAATTATTTTTGCATTGTTCGCGGGCCACAATAGTGCCAAGAATAGGTAAACAGTGCAATACAAAACAAACACTTTCATTGTGCAAACACATAGTTATCAGACATAGCCATCCCAGGCTAATAGAATCCGCATTCGATTTTTAGTTTTCTATGATGCCTATATTGTTAGCATATATTCTCGACCAAAAAGATAGAAAGCCAGATAATAATTTAGACTGCAAATCACATCATTCAACTTCGCTAGTTGCCTCAGATAGCCATAACACTAGTCAATTCAGTGACATTAGTGATGTAACAAGATGTCAAAAGATTTTTCTGATTAGTTTTATTACAAAACAACACGAAATGCGATTTTTTGATTACTCTCCGAATGTGACGCGGGCCACAGATAATGAAGCGGCGGGCAACATGTGGCCCGCGAGCCTGGGTTTGGACCACCCTGGTCTAACATATTTCAAAGAATTGTTTTCATCATGCTGAATATATAAAAAGTTCTGTCATTTTTATATTTTAATATCTATGTAGCAACAGAAGCTAATGAAGTGGTGATTATCAAATAACAAAAATTAGTTTTATGCTTTTTGCCATTTATATGAATTTTAATATGAAGGCTGACGTTGAAAAAGAAAAGGGAAACGACGCATACAAAAACAAACTCTTCGATAAAGCCCACAAGCATTACGACAAGGCTATTGAGTTGGATCCAATGAATGCGATGTTTCATTCAAACAAAGCTGCAGTTTATATTGAAGAAAAGAAATTGGGACAAGCAAAATCAGCTTGTTTGACAGCAGTTAGATTGGCAACACAAAGCGAAAGACATGATAATCGCGATTTATCGAAGTAAGTTTAGTATTCTATGTAAACGGGCATTTTGAAATTTTGACACTGGTCGTTGATTACATTATTTGAGAGCATATTCTAAACACTGGTAAATGTCAAGTGCAATTCTGTAGAAGCTTCACGAAACACTCGTAGTATCGGGGACGAAAAGTTAAAATGGAATATTCAGTTTGATTTATCATGTGCAGATGCGTTCTATACATCTCCGCAGAATTTTATTAATGCTATTCACTTACTTCATTGAAACCGCATTAGCTAACGTGCATTTAAGAATGAATCTATTTTCGCGCCATAAAAATACAACTCTACGACAAAGTTTCAGTACTAGCCCATATATTTCATTGAATTCTGATTCAAATTATCACAGTAAAATTTCGTAACCTTATTCACTATCTTATGAAAATGTTCACTTTTTATAAACCGCGTGTTATGTTTAGAGATCAGCTCTGTATGCTTATACTATTAGTTGCATTTTGTATGATTTGTTCTTATTTATCTATCCCTGCGTGCGTAATGTTCAGAAATTTATATAATCTATAATCTTTGAGTCACAAGGCAGCACGAACCAGCTAAATTAGTACGATGCAATAAATCATAATAGTAAGTGGATATCCATCCCATTTGCATATCGTGATTGTTATATTCGTTTCTAGAATTCTTGCCAGACTTGCTCGGATTGAAGTATTAGAAGGGAAACCGAATGGAGCAATCGAGACATACGATCGATCACTTCGACTTCATCATGACGATAAAGTGGCCCAACAAAGACAACAATGCATTGATGCTATTATGGCAATGCGCTTCATGCATTCGATGAGATTCGGCTCCGAATTTCCGTTTTACTGATTCCGGAATGTAGCAAAATGTACAGTAGCTTCTAGAACATTTTACTGTAATAAAAGTTCTTCAACTATATTCCATTTGTTTCGTTAATATAAGCCACATTGATACATATACTTAATAGGGAGCAATCGATATTTGTAAATTACTGAAGAATTTTTCTGTGTAACAAACACTGTTCTAAATTATGGGTTAATCGTATTTATTGTATTTTCTTTTAACTTACATGATTATTGACTTGTTATTGTTATGGATTTTGTTTTAAATGCAACATCTTTATCATACGAATTCAGCTACCAGATAACGACACACATTAAACATATTAACTTTTTAAAATTGATTTTCACGAAATTTGTAATTTCAATTTTATAGAATTAATTAATTTTTGTTTGTCATCCGTAGTGTAATATAAGAGCAGATGAAAGTTCTTAGTCTTGATCTCCATCAAACTCTATTTCTGTGGTCGCCTGATCCTTACACCGAAACCATAAATAATAATTCAGACTTGGCCAGCAAACTATTGGAATGTTGTTGCCAATTTGTTCGCCACGGCCATGCAGTATCTAATGGATATATATGTATATACTGTCTATATATATATATACTGAATTTGTTCGCTCGAAATGACGAATTTCAAACCATTTTAACATGTATTTTACTACTGAATGTGACTACAATAAATATATATAGATAAAAGACGAAATTTATGACAACATCACGCGGACCAGGTTAATAGACCTATCGGGCCGTATTGGCTCCGCTGGCCATAGTTTCCCCATGTCTGTTATAGTGTTTTTATGAGATGCGCAAGTTGAGCAAACATACCAAATAGTATATTTTAAAGATAGGACAAGAGGTCAGTTAATCAGGTCAGATGTATCAAGTTAAATGTTTGAGATTGCATAACGCAATGTATGAATGACGAATGAAATGCTGTGATAGATCGTCCTCATACAGATATGATGTCATATGGTGCAAATAGTACGATTGGGGCTGTCGCCAAAGTTTGCAGGTTCTGTGTTGCATGCAATGCATATTTAATATTTCGCCCATATTTGCTACAGATGACATTTTCATCAAGTAGGGTTCATAGAACAACCTTGGCTTGTGTGTTCAGATTACTATCATGAATGTAAAGTCACTAAAAAATAATTCTTAGTTGTGAATGGAACCTAACAAATTCCACACTATTTATATTTATTCTTAAACTACACGAGGGAAAAATTGTTACTGAAAATTCGAAAACACTTGATGATAAAACAAATTAAGGACGTTATGCCGGAAACACTTAATTATATAAATAGTTCAAGGGTTTTACTGTGTTGCAATTTGGTCTGGCTATTATTAGAATTCCTAAATTGATACGCAACATATACCAACGTTGGGGTGAAATAGTTAATACATCGTAGTTTTAGTGTATAAATGCCACGTTTTGAGATTGTATTTTTGAGCCTGGTACGTAGATTTCCCAGTGCTTACGGATTTTTATGTGCTATATTCTTTAATATGTACCAGCTCTCGGTATCGTTTTTATCGGAGTGAAGTGTTTGACTGGGATACTCGGCAAGAAACTTTATTATTAGGAGGTTATTATTACGGATACCCATTTCCCAATATTGTTGGAGGATATTTGTCGAAATGATTTGGAGTTAAACTTGGTCGAGGAATCTCTATGTTTTTTCGGCCATTCTTGGAATATTAATCCCATTGATTGATTGATACTCCTTTTTCCTGATGCAGGAATAATAGCGGACCAACCCGGGCGGAAAGTCGTGTTTATACAATTGGAACACATAAACCTTCGTAAATATATGATTATTATATTTATTGTCTACTGTTTCGAAAGATCAATATACTTAGAAAATATCGTATGGATTTAAATTATATTAATATCTGAGTATAAATACACCCATACACTGGTTGGGGTGTCGATCGTCCCTGGCGTCGGATCTGAAGCCAAACGCGTAGGATTCAAAGTTTATCGTTCTGAACATCGGGAAGTTCCTTTTTATTGAAAGTGGTTATGTTTTCTGATCGTTCATAAACTGTAAAACGATACAATAATATTTATTATCTTTTAACAGTTAAAAAACGTTAAAATAGCCAATATGTTTTGATGCTTAGATCATTATGTTATAACTAGCGTTCTATTAGTATATTGTCATGTTAAAAATAGCAAATAAAAACTTTTCATATCACCTTTGCTAGACGACGCCGTGTCGGAAATTGAAGTATCATTAACATCAGGCGGAATGGCCCAAGATTGTACTTCTCCAGAGCCAAATATAGCAAAAAATATGAATCCGACAGTAGCAACTAATGCCGACATCCAAAATACATACTGCCATTGCTGAATGGTTTGCTTGGATAAAATGTGTAAAAATGTTTTACCGTCAAATTTTTCAAAATACATGGTTTGAAATGATTTCCATGGGAACGAATAAACGAAGCGAATGATTTTAAAGTATGCCGCCACAACAACTAATTGTGGCAAAATAAACTTACCCCGTTCAGAAGAATAAGTCCGGCCATTTGAGGCGCAAGAAATCCGGGAAAGTTTCCAATGGCATTAATGACTCCGCAAGTAATCCCACTATATCTTGGTGCTAAATCTATGATATTTGCTTCATGACTTGTCACTATGATATACAAAACAGTAAACAAATATTCTTAAGAAGTGAGATAACTATATTATTTTATTATATATACATACCATTAAATGCAAGAAAGGCTACCGAAATGCTGAAAAAACTCACTGCTGCCGCAACATTGCAACCACTGTAGCCGGCTAGTACAATGAATATACTCGGAATAATCAGAGACAAAAACGAATTCACTTTTCTCACTGTAACTGTTTTTGCGATACGTCGTTGACGGATGATATCACAAAAATATCCAGCTGCCAGCAATGTGAAGAATTGCAACAAATAAGGAAGGGCAGAAAGTGCTCCACTCTGCAATGCATGTTAGAATGTAGGTATAATCCAGCTTTAATTGATACAAATTTGCATGATTTGCCAAACTCACAGCAGCAAGATTAAATCGAAGTATTGAAGACATGTACGTTGGTAGTAGAGACAAGTACGTGTGCGATGCCCAATTACAAGCAAAAAATCCTACAGTTGTGGCCCAAAGTGGAATTGACGTAAATATTGCTTTCCATGGAGTTGGTTGGTCACTTTCCTAAAATTAGAATAAGATATTGAGACATATGAAAAATATGACAAATTTATTTCTTCGCGCCTCTTGAGATATCCCCGTTGTCTTTTCAATATACGATTTTTCTTCTTCTGAAATTCTTGGATGATCAGATGGTGAATCATGAACGACAGCAATCCACAGCATTGAGCATGGTAAAGCGATACCGCCTGTAATAAAATGTTTGCTTAAATCTTATTTTGTAAAAGTTTATAATTTTCTTGGGACTCAACGCCAGTTTTCATTGACATGTTGCTATGGTAATTAATACAAAATATCGCAACGTCACGTAACACTTGTCTGTCGTATTTTTCAGCACACTGGGTGCTCGGTCTTACCATTGCGATTTACATGTGGTAAGAGATATCGATAAGATTCAGTTGTCAAAGGTGATAAAATTTGAGGAGATCATTATAATAAAATACACATCAGGTAATACCAATATGAAAAAGAAACAGTCTCGTGGCCAATTTCGCCTAATATTGGCATCAAATCGAAAAAATTTGTAGCTTCCTCACTTTGCGGATGAAAATTTCAAGTCGGCTTTTTCTTAACTAAAATGCTGACTATTTTGATCATTTGAATTACTATCTGTCAGAAAAATGTCTCATTGAGAGAAATTCGGCGTCACAGGCACAATAATTGGTTATCGTTTGAAATAGAATACTTTAATTCAAAGTCATGGTGTTTGACAGCATAGTCAATTCACTTCATATAAAGACTGAAATGCGGCGTATCTAAGTGACTTCAATTTAAGCACCAATCAGAACGTCCCACAAGGTAAATTTGTCGTCGCATAGAGTCATAGACCAGTGGTTTTCAATCTTGGTGAAGCGGAACACCAATACAACAATCCAGATTCTCGAGAAACCCTATGAGCCATAGTTTATTTGTCTTTTATTGTTTAAGTTTATTAACTACTGTAAATAGACATTTATATCTAGGCAAAACTAAATGATCTTTAGAATGTAGCGAGTTTAATATTAGTGGCAAACCTAATAGATTTTGATTATATTCAATAATATACATATATATATATATTAATATAGATTCTGGGATTTGGATGTTACCTTGCGGAACCTATGTACTGTACTGGCAGAACCCTGGGGTGTCGCAGAACTCCGGTTATAAAACATTGGCATAGGCAATAAAAGAGCAAGTTTTGTTAGTAAGATGAAAATCTGATTTAACTCTCTTTGTGGTGGTCATTTCATCAAAAGTATCAGTACAAGGAAGACAGGATGAAATTTAAGCTAAGAAATACCTGTTATATAAAATACTGCTTCCCATCCTAGTTGATCTGCTATTATTCCGGCTACAGGGAGTGTGACTAGTGTTCCGATACAATTTCCACAAGAAGCTATTGCAACAGCTTTTGTTAGTTCCAGCGGTGGAATCCATTTTCCAATAGCAGCATGAACTGATGGAGCGAGTGGTCCCTTTATTGTTAAGATTAGAACAAGTTTGCAACCTATTAGTGGACATAATAAAGTTTAAAGAATGAAAATGTCGGAAAATGCCAAATGATTAGTTTCACCCGTTCGACGTGTGAAATATTCAAATTTTGGACTAAAAATTGAAACATCATATTCTATCTTCTATTCGAAATGAAATAGTTAATTGTGATATGTAAAGCGAATGAACTCTTATATTTTTATATTATAAAATAGAAGTCAGCTTTTTTGGTTGGAGTTTTTTAAGGTATTGCGCTGGTTATATCATGATATTGTCTTTTTCTTGAAACGAGTTAGGCTCTCATTTACAGTGATATTCAAATTCGTAGCAAAAATAACAACCAGCCTGTAGCACTCCAAGTAGTATTCTCGCAGCCACAAACAGTCCAAAACTGGATTTAGCAATCGGAGGACTTAATATTGTGACAATAGAAGACAAAAGCATCGAGATTCCAAGAACAAGTTTTATTCCAAATCTTTTTGCCAAATACCCTCCGACAACATTCGAAATTATATATCCGTAATAATAGCATCCTAAAAGCAAACTTTCTTGTCCAATATCCCAGTTGAAAGACCCATTCTGAAAATCATTTAGCCATAACATTTTGATAATACGAAAGATAATATATAATAAATATACACAAAAATATGTTTGTAAAAAATGAAACGTGGTCTCTCTTTGTTTATTAACCTCAAAATGCCGCATTTGAACGGCAAAACACAAACCTCTAACTGTCAATTTCAAGTCAGGGCTGATAAGTTATCGGCGTATTCATTTATTTTTATAATGAATTTTAATAGTACTACTAGTTTGAATATTAGGTATTAGGCGGATTACCGCCATACGGTTAATAATATAACGATATGAAATAGATTTGACAATAAAAGATTATTTTGTATGCAAACACTAAACTATTCCGAGATTTTCGATTTCAAATTCAGTCACAAAATCCAACTCTATTTACTGAAACTTGAAATGACCGCACATTGTAACAATAGGAATTTGGTTAGTTATATTTCACATATGGCTATATGCCTCGAATCTTTAAAGTATTGGGACACAAATAAAATTCGGAAAAAAGGTATTTCAAATTTCTGACAAAAGATTGTCACAGTCACTAAATACAGTTGAAATGATGTTTGGCTATCATCGTACTACATGTATGCAAAAGAGTTTTTGACAAACATTTGTTAAAAGTATGCGCATAGCATTGTACGGAGCTCAATTTGTGTTAAACAAATTTTGTCTTTTTGTTAACTTTGTAATATATTATAAGCAAAGTACCTCCCCATTTTCATCTATTTCTGAACTTCCATGGTCAGGACAAACATCAGATGTGTTAGCTGAGGTATCTTCATCAGTTTGATTCACCATGGCAACAATAGCAACACTGAGATTGGTTCTCATCGAAAATAAGTTGAACTTTGCAATAAATGACATCAACACGATTATATGTCTTGCTTTGATATAGCAGCCATTCGATGTTTTTTCAGACTAAGAAAAAAATTGACGTAAATTAATTTAACAAAGGGACCGCATTTTGCAATTGAAGGCAAAGGTTAACGTTAAAATTATATACACTACAAAATGTAATTGCACGTGACTCTAACTTAATTTCAACATTTCTTTGAATATAAAATGCTTGTATTTAGTAAAGATGCACAATAGCTAGGGTTACCATATTTTTGATTTTGTAACTTTACATTTTCCGATTTTACTACAACGGCCTACATTTAAATCAATCCCGGCTGTCTTCATTGACCACATTGTCATCGATAGTTTATGCGCATATTCTCTGTCTAAATATCGGGTTCAGTTCGAAATAAAGAAAGGAATTAACGTTACAAATAATTCGAATTTAGATTTTTTTATGTACAACAAAAGGAAGAAAGAATAATAAAATAGGCGGCGGCTTTCAAGCACTGAGAATTTACTTCTTCGCCTAATCATACTTTTCTGTAGATAACACTTTCTTCAAAAAGACGTTGTTCATTATTACTTTCACGTAAAAGTCAGAGCAGGGACAATTAGTATTGATTTTACATGTGATAGGTTCGCTAACAATGAAACAAACAAAATAACGCATTCACCTTCAATAAGTAGGCAAGCGTTGCACTGCAAAGCAACAGCAGTAACGAGCACATGTTAATTGATAATGTTCGTATTAATGTATTATGCTGGATGGCTGAACACCAAAGCGGGACTTTTCTGACTTGTCGGGACGGCGGAACAAGACGCTAAAAAGCGGGACGTATGGTAAGCCTAACAATAGCAAAAGTATAACAAACAACCTATATAAAATCGTGTTTAAAAGCGAACAGTTCTTGATAGTACTTGTTCAAATTTGTTTGAAACAAGTGTGTCGTGTAAATTTATTGATAAAGTATTGTATATATATAGCATAAATAAACCAAATGTACCCCATCTCATGTTGAAATTATCCAAACAATTTTAATTATTCTCAAAATTCAAACAAAGACTTTCGTGGGAATCAAATCACACCCCTTTTAGGAACATAACAAGTTTCGTCCAGCCATTATCAAATTGGGTTTTATTTTATCACGATATTTAAACACTAATTTAAATAATTATATGTAAGTTCCCATCCGTACGATGTTCATAGTTACCCGTATTGAGATAATAGGAGTTTCTGTTTATAACGTGAATCACGAGCTCACGTTTACAGTATTTTATTAGATTTATGATCAACGTATAAATACTACTTGATATCTTTCAATGTTTGGCTAGTCTGGATAAATGTTTTAGGACCGTATTCTGTGAATTGTGGAAATCTACGAATAAAATCAAATAGATATTTTCTAACGTATCTTCATTTAACGTGGGCGTTGACGACTGCCAGTGTCTATCATCAGGTTGACAAACTTGAGACAAAACTATTGTTAGTCAAAATTTGTGTCAGACGCAACTAATCAAACCAGTCAACAAACAACTTCTGTATAGTGGTAAATAATCACTATATTTGGTGAAATCACTATATATATTCATATATGGCATTTTGAAAATTATATAAAATGACATTACTCATATATAACGATACACAACTGTAGTAGATAAATTTGCTTGAATTTCATATTCTTACCTCCTCGTTTTCGTGTGAGATATTTTCAACTCCATCCCACTCCTTTGTATTGTTTCTCCTTGCTCGTGTATTTGTAGACATGTTCTATTTAGTCATATTCAAATATTTGCCGAATAAATAAGGATGTGTTCCAAAGTACAAAGCAGTCGTAATGCTGTTGTATCCCGAGGAAATGGATTTTCCGTTTTTTTATTCGATCTGTTTTAATGTCAGATTTGTTCTCCCGTAGCCGTGTAAACAAGTAAACTAAACAGTCAGGTTTCTTTTCCCAAAGAGAGTGTCATTTATAGTTGTTAATTGTCTATATAGCAAGTGGTCAACGTATCCTGGGATTGGGACGAACGTTGCTTTAAATTGTGAAAAAAGACTGCGCAATAGCCTTCGAACTTTATAGGCGAAGGTTAGTTTTCTACAGGGTTCAATTCACCCAAACGCTTGTTTATCGCAGGCTTTTTTTTACAAATTTCGAGTAATACGAGTCCATCAATCAAAAAGTAGGGCAGACATGAAAACCATGGATAGATTTTTCTACCAAACGCTAAAGTATCCAAGCTATTTAACCAATTATTTGAGCGAAATGGAAACAAAGATTCCAAATGCCCCAAGAATTGATATGAATGCTTGATAAATACAGAAGTTACTATTTCTTGATTACAAATATGTGACTTTTCTCACGATATTCCATGATATGCACTGCAGATTGAATAATAAACTCACAGACGCAAACATGAACGATAACTAGCGTTGGGATGAAATACGAATAGTAGGCCGTTGTGATAAAGTTTTATCGGAACAACAAAATTACAACCTTAAAACGGTGAAGAAAAATTGGTACTATGTTTGCATCCATAACGCAATGATAACCCTACAATACTCAAACAATGAAATGCAATAATTATATAAATACGAATTTGAAATAATGCCATGCTTTCAATAAATAAATAGTTTCAGACATTTTTATCATAACGTTGATCGCAGGAAACACTGACGAGGCCCTGTTGAAACTAGATGGCCTAATTTTAGATGCATGAATAATCAACCATTGAACTTGTGCAAAGCAAGCTAACCATTTCAAAAGCCAGCGGACTCATCGCCATGTCTTCTGCAACTATCTCAATCACTGCCCGCCACCGGTGACCGTACATTTGAACCCACGTACATTTGAACCCATGTGTATATCCACGGGTTCAATCTATATGCGAGTGCTAAAACCCATGGGTTAGGGTTAGTATGGGTTCAACTATCCGAAAAACAAAAAAAATCCATAGGTGTAAATTCATACGGGTGCAATTGTCATGGGTTCAAATATACGTGGGTTCAAATGTAATGGAACCCCCGCCACCAATTATCATATCGTTGGCTACCGCTACAATAATATTATGATTTCTTTGGCTGGCATTGAATTCACTAGTTCTGCTTCAGTTTATATTTCTAACAATGATTACTTGTATTCTAGTGCTCCTTTTTGTTGGGAATGTATTGATGCGAAAACATATTCTCTTTCCGCTACCTGATCTTGTAAGTTTTCAAAGTACATATTCACATATGAAGTTTATAGACTTTTCTGCATGATGATAATTGAACAAGTCAAAATGTGTCAAGTTGGTTAATCAATAACAACATAGTGAGAGAACTTCTAGTATTCTGACGCAGCAAATCTGAATCATAAGGCCAACAACTCTCTCATTTTCGTGGCCAAAAGATCGATGTACGTTCAAGCCAAGCTGAATGAAAAATATCCTGTATCACGAGGTCAGGCCGTTTCAAAACTCTGTTTCGAAGCACTTATAAGTCGAAACGGTGCTGTCTAAACTTTCGAAAACTATCAAAGATGTTTGGCTACGCTAAGAAATCGTAACGCTCACCTTCTTGACCAGCTATCAAAGAGGCTTCTTTGCCAATGCGCGGAGCTGCTGACTAATCACGTCTGGATTCGCCCTTATTTCATCTTCACAACAGTCTGTGGTATCATATAAAGGAGCAAATTAGACTGTACGTTGTTACTAAACTTACATGGTGGAGTGATAATGAAATGTGTACTTCAAGTTTGTCACAGCTTGCCCTAACTCATTGTGTAAAAGTTCTCTCAAATGCAGACCATACTGCTCTAGAATTGAGGTCTGATTTAAACAGGCAAGCATGTAGAAACCTGTGTTTTGGATTGGTAATACTGGTCTATGGCCGCATGATATTCAATTACGTTAAAAACGGTGCTCTTCCCATCACGTTTTCTAATTGTTCACAATACGCCACGTTTCAAGCTTTTTTGTTTGGGCATCACCACCAATCGATAGTCGTTTGGAGTTCTGTTCGTTCATTGACTGTAAGACAATATATTACTGTATCTGTCGTGTAAGCAATCAAGAGCCTCAAAAGTTAGTAGATACGATGAATTTTATTTTGCAATTGGCTGACAGTCAATGGAGAGACTTCGGAGCTGTTTGCAATCACTAGTTTAATATTTCACCATACTGAGAATAGTCACAAGACATACATATTTCAATAAATCATAAAAAAAATCGCATTTCAGGGCGGAGGAAGACGCGGAAATCCGACAATGGTTATCAAACAGCGTCACCCTTAAATAAGCCTAACAGAAAATGATAATAAAAAAATCGAAGTTCATATAATAATTGGGTACTAGATTAATTCTTGCCAATAAGTTTATATCGAGTTTTTTTTAATCTGTCCCCGAAATACTTCCTGCACAAATTTTCCTTCTTGCCGCGTTGGCGACCTCTGAAGGCGAGATAATCGTTCAGCGCAGTAGAGGATTATGCAACTGTCTTGTTCTCGACATGACAACCCACTCGCCACTGGTTTTCATCGCCAGTTGTCAAAAGTATCGCCTTTGCTATGCAGTTAGTAGCGATATGTCTTGCACAAGTAGTAAGTATACTGATAATGACTTGTAGCGATCTGGTAGGGTGTAGAGCCCAAACAGTGCAAAGATGTTTGGCTGCGCTAAGAATTCGTAACGCTCACCTTCTTGATCAGCTATCAAAGAGGCTTCTTCGCCGATGCTCGGAGCTGCTGACTAATCACGTCTGAATTTGCCCTTATTTCATCTTCGAGCTGTATAATCAGCTGACGCAGTGCTCAATGTATTTTAAACATACCTTATCTCCCAACTGTAGCTGTTGGAGTGGAGCGTGGACAAGAAATCCTCTGATAAGAATTCTTCGTAAAATTTTCCAGTCTAATACTCGTCTTTCAATACCTTCTCGAAACTGTCCAGCGTGACTTTCGTACTGGCTTTCCTATGTGTCTTACTTGGGTTTGCTTGATAAGATACATCTGCTTTCTCCCCCCTTTTAAACCAATTCAGCACCATTTTTACGGATTCATTAATTAGGATCACATAATACTTGGTTTTATTTCTTGGTTTTTCTTCGGAATTGGTATTGTCGGTTTATGGGGACACTATGGATCAGCAGCCTTGTTCTTAACTAGTTTTTATTGGGTTAGTTTTGGAAACGGTGACCGTACATTTGCACCCACATACATATGAACCCTTACATTTGCACGGTATATACGCGGGTTCAATTTATATGCGGGTGCTAAACTCCATGGGTTAGGGTTAGTATGAGTTCATATATCCGTAAAAAAAATTTCATGGGTGCAATAGTATGCAGGTGCAATTGTCGTGGGTTCAAATTACGGGTGCAAATGTACATGGGTGCAAATGTAACGGAACCTTTGGAAACAACTAAGACTACTTGCAGTTTGCGTCTCCTCGCGAGGTAGTCTATTCGCGGCGACCATTGTGACGTGTGTTGTTGTGCTAGTTTCTTTCGGCGATCTTGTATACACTAGGCGGCGACGCTCTGATTTCTTTTGGTCAGCTGTTCATTTTTTCGAGAATGAAGAGTCGCTTACAACGCGTGCGGTTGCATTTTGTCAAAATCGCTGAATGTTTTCGTGAGCGTGTTAGTTAATCCGTAAACACGTTTACGTATTTATTCCCTCTAAATAACAAATTTTCCTCAGCATATATATATATATATGTGTTGTGCCACGAGGACGATGGCAATTACTTTTTTTCTTTTACGGGACTGTGTAAACAGTGATAAGGACGAGGTATTATATAAACAACGGCGACGAGATGCTGAAAATAAGTAAAGGACTTGGTTTTGATTTAGGAGGCTCGCGACAGACTGCAAATACGATTTTAGATATTGCAAACTAAAAAATTCAGTTTACCTAGGGCACACATTTTAATTTGTTTGCTTTCGAGACCACACAGTCAATGTAAAATGAAACAGTCGATTGTGAGCGCAATGTACCTTTTGATCAATTCTAAAATTACCGACGGGCATAAGTGTAAAGTAATTTAATCAAATTTTTTTTTTGTCCCAAAATGAATTTTACTCCGCGGAATTTTATCGCAGACGAATAGATTTTTCTAACAGTAATATCTTTGAAATAGAGTGAAGCTAGTGCTGCAAGGACAGCTCAGATTTGTCTAGTTCACGAAATCGCAAAACAGGATATAATCGGGCACTATACCACGCATTTTATGTCCACAGATTGTCATAGTATTTCAGAGTAATAATGCTTTTATTTAGTCAAAGCAACCGCAGGTTAATTTGAACACAATTAAGTTAGTAAAACATTTTAAATATGCCCGTATGGATCACTTTGCGCAAAAAAGTTCATTATCTGTTGAAAAGTTAGTTATTTAGAGTTTAGACGAGTGGCGTAATAGCGACAACTGTTTCAGAAGCCATTTCGAGGCGATGAATATGTATTTTTGAGTTTTTAGTTCCATTATCGCCGCAGGAATGTGCCCAGGGTTGTACTTTTCCAGAATCGAAAATTGCAAAAAAATACGAATCCACCCGTTAGCAATTGCAGCCGACATCCAAAACAAATACTGCCATTGCTTGCTTATTTAAAATATGCAATTCATATACAAAATAAATTTAACATTACCAAAAGTTATGTGCTAATAGTACCGTAGTTACTCTAAAAAAAATAAATCTGGCCTGTTATGACGCAAGAAATCCTGTAGAGAAATCAACCGCCGAGTTTGGTCCGCGTATTTTGCCTATATGTCTGTTATATGAGATGGTCACTTGAGTAAACATACTAAATAGACTATTTTAAAGATAGAACAAGAGACCAGTTAATCAGGTCAGTTGCATACAGTTAAATATTTGAGATTGCATAACGCAATGTATGAATTACGTATGGAATGCTGTGATAGATCGCTGTAATAGATGATTGCAGTCGCCAAAGCTTGCAGGTTCTGTGTTGCGTATTGGGGTGAAATTCATATTTAGTCTCGCTCATACTTGTATCAGAGGATGTTTTCATTACGTAAGGTTCATAAAACAACCTACATAAGTTTTGGCTTGTGTGTTCAGATGACTACCATGAAGATCAATAGTTCTTAATGGAACCTAACAAAGTGTATATTATTTACAATTATTTATTTATTAGATAGTGAGGGATGAGGGATAAAAATATGTCTGAAAATTCGAAAACACTTGATCATACGAACGAAGGAGATTATGGCGGAAACATTTCATTATATAAGGAGGTAAAGGGGTTTACTGAGTATAATTTTTGTATGGCTATCATACAAAGTCCTAAAATACGCAACATATATATATATATGTTAGGGGAAAATAGTAAATTTGACATATATACGACGTAGAATTTCGTCAATCAATTTGACAAAACGATCATTGCCCTAATAATATTTTCCTAAAACGGTGTATTATGTCAGACTACGACACCAAGATAGTAATTTTACATTTTCCAATTTTTTGACGATGACAGTAATAACATTTGTTTTCACTCTATCAAAAAGAAGATAACTCGTGGTTGCTATATCAAAGCGAGGCATGTACTGCTGATGATGTCATGTATTGCCAAGTTCAACTTATTTTCGCTGAGAAACAATCTCAGTATTGCTATTGTGGCCATGGTAAATCACACGGAAAAGACAACAAAAATCAACTCCTCTGATTTTTGCCCGGATCGCGGAAGTTCAGAAATCCCCAAAAATGAGGTAGTTTCTTTGCTATATCACCAGGAAATAAACTACAAAAGAGCATTAATGATAAATAAATTTATCATCAAACAAGATCCGAAAATAGTGAAATATATAATAAACTTAAATAGATAGAGTTTTTTCAAATTTAAACCAATCCATTTATTCGGTCGTCTTTAAATTTTATGTTTTACCCATCAAATATTTGAGACAAGATATATTAACTTGATTAAAAAAATTAAACAAGTATCTTTATTTTATTTCAAGCCTATTATATGTTGGACCAAGTTTCTGAGATTTTGAAATAAATATTAGCCTAATGGTAAATCCGGCACTGATCGTAGTTTTAGTGCCATGAAATTGCCAAGTTTTGGGTTTGGATTTCTGGGTTTAGATATTGACGTAGATTTCCAATCGGGACTTACGAATTTTTATGTACTATATTCTTAAATATGTATCAGCTCTCGGTATCTTTTTCAGAATGGAGTGTTCGACTGGGATATATGGCAGGAAACTTTGCTATTGGGAAGTTATTATTACGTATACCCATTTTCCAATATTGTCGGAGGATATTTGGCAAAAAGATTTGGAGTTAAACTTGTTTCCGGAATGTCTATGCTTTTTTCATCTATTCTTACAATATTAATCCCACTGATTGCCAACTCGGGCTTTGGTATGTTTGTGGCTGCAAGGATACTACTTGGAACACTACAGGTTAACTATTATTTACCCATTTGTTTTGTTCAGATCTTGGTGTTATGATTAAACGCTTATCCGTATATATTGAAATTATTATTTAAGGGACCAATTGCGCCATCTGTACATTCAGCTATAGGACAATGGATACCTCCATTGGAACGCTCAGCAGCAGTTGCTATCGTTTCCTCCGGAAACAGTATGGGACCACTACTCACTTTTCCTGTAGCAGGAATAATAGCGGATCAACTAGGATGGGAAGCAGTTTTTTATACAACTGGTACTTGTTGATTTTTAGAAGATTCAAAATAACGTGCCGCACTTGTGGTAGATATGCTAATGATATTACTGATATATATATAGGCTGATAATGCTGCTGACTAAAACATGGTAAACTGAAACATATAGTATATTGCAATAATATTCAAAGTATCTTTTTATGAAAATTCGTATTTTAATTGCAGGAGGTGTTGCATTACTATGCTCATTGCTGTGGTTTGCTATCATTCATGATTTACCATGTGACCATCCAAGAATTTCAGAAGAAGAAAAATCGTATATTGAAAAGGCAATGGAATCGAGTCAAGAGGCATGAATAAATAAGAGTTTTTGGATATTTTGTTTATGCGTAAAAGTATTAATTTAATTTTAGATAGCTGACGAACCAACTCCGTGGAAATCGATATTTGTGTCAATTCCAGTTTGGGCCGCAGCCATAGGATTTTTTGCCAGTAACTGGGGATTGGTTACGTGTATTTTACTGTTACCAACCTACATGTCTACAATACTACGATTTGACCTTGCTGCGGTAAGTTTTTTGGAAATTGTTGAATTGTTGTTGCTACAAAAATTGCTTTTCACCCCAACAACTGTCTCTATCGCCTTTTTGAACAATTGCATCACCACGACTACATGGAGATTCCCCGATTCTAGTGAGCACGTATAGCTTGTTAAAAAGCTTTATATTAATGAACAATTTTTCTTTGAATCATTTTTTCCAATCCTATTTTTGTCAAAATCCGGCTGGGCTGCAAAGCAGTCATTCAAATTAGCAGAGTTTGAAAAATTAGTACACCGTGTAATCATTGTACCTTTATATCCACAATTCTGATCAGTGCTTTCTTGTTGAATACTGTATAACATTTTAGTATTATAAAATATACCTATATACCATTGCTTGGATTTATTAAAGATATAGACTGGAAGACATTTCAATGTCCCTTGCAACTACTGTCATAAATTAAGTTACTTGTAGGTATTCTGATATTTAATAAATTATTATAAAAAATATCTAGATAATATTGCTACGATTTGTTACACTTAAGAACACTACTATACCACAACCTGATACACTTTAATCAATACCATAACACAAAAACTGTAAAAGGCATCAAAAGTATTTTGTGGTTCTGATTTTTTATAATAGATTGCAACTGTAATAAAACAGTAACAATTTAGGAATTAGATCTGTCTACACATTAACTGTTTGTTGATTGGTTGTTTCTGGCACGAGTTTCGACTGACAAGAGTTTTGTCTAAGTTTGTCAACTTGGCGATAGACACCGGCAGTAAAGAATAGACGATTGAAACACCTTATCAGATTTATTGCAATTCCGAAATATATATACAGAATACAATCTTATAATTTTATCAAGACTAACTTCTTTTTGTTGAAAGACATTTTACGCTTTATATACCTAATCGAATAGCGAATAATATTAAAAAACATGATATCGTTATAAACAGAAATCATTATTATTATCTTAAGTAATTATGTACGTCGTACGGATTGGAACTTACATATACAATTATTTCAATGAGTGCTTAAATAACCTGAGAAAATAAGTTTTAGTTCGATAATAACAGAACGAAACATGTTCCTGAAACCTAAAGTTCTGTAATTTGATTCCTACGGAAGTCTTTGTTAGAATTTTTGGAAAAATTATTTTTGTTTTTATAATTTTAACTGAAATCGGGGTAAACTTATGGGGGTTGGGGCTATAACAACACGTATATGGAAATTTGATATGATATACTTAAGTCTGCATTACTATCCATTTCAGAGTGGAATTCTTTCAGCTCTTCCCTATTTGCTGCAGATCGTAACAATACTTATAGCTGGACATTTTAGTGACGTTATTCGCCGACGACGTATTGCAAAAACCGTTACAGTGAGAAAAGTAAATTCGTTCCTGAATCTCATTATTCCGAGTATATTCATTGTACTGGCTGGATACAGTGGTTGCAATGTTGTGGCAGCGGTTGGATTTTTCAGCCTGTCGATAGCTTTCCTAGCATTCAATGGTATGTGTATTGTGTGTAATGTTAAAATTAGTTCATAATTATTACAACTCGACCGTCTGTATTTTTAGCCACCAGTCACGAAGCAAACATTATTGATGTAGCACCAAGATATAGTGGAATAACTTGCGGTATAGTCAATGCTCTTGGGAATATTCCTGGATTTCTTGCGCCTCAAATGGCCGGACTTATTCTTGCTAATGGTGTAAGTACGGCAATTTTAGCATGAAACTTTCGGTATTGCTGAAACGATTATCATCTTATTTTGTATATGTGTTGCATATTCTATTTAAGCAAACAATCGAGCAATGGCAACATGTGTTTTGGATGTCGGCTGCTGTTGCTACAAGTGGATTCGTATTTTTTGCCATTTTTGGTTCTGGAAAAGTACAACCATGGGCACATTCCTACGACGATAATGGGACTAAAAACTCGCGACACAAAGGTGATAAAGTTTCTTATGAAAGTTTATTTGTGCAAAAATTATAACCATGTTACAGAACAAAAAAACCTTTTTCGCAAAATTCGAAAATACGTACATACATTTTTGTAGGTATACTCCTCAAAATTCGTATGGCATATAATTACCGACAATAACAGAAATTTTGAAACTCCCGTTTTTGCATTAGATATTAGGATATTGATTGTCACTGCTCGATAACCAATTTTGTTTCCCCGTCCCGTGCAAAACTGTAATCATCATTTTCTCGTAATTTGTGTATGACTTGGGCCACGTTTTATAGTTGTTAGGCCGATCGTTTTATAGTTGTTTGAAAAAAATTCAATTAATTTAGAAATGTTCAATAACAGCCATACAATACATTTTCTTTCATTATTGGAAATTAGGGTATGAATTAAATTTTAAGCTCTTTTCAGCATAACTGCACACTTCCCATTTAAAGATTAAAAATTGATCTGTTCAGACTTAAAATATTAGACATGTTTTAGTTTACATAGCCTTCAGCTCCGAAATCCCTCTATTAGCCATTTGCAAATATAAAATTAATTGTATCCAATGACTTTTAGGGTTGCTTTCATTGTTTACGCGACAGTGACAGTAATATAATATCTTACAGCTAATGAGCGAACAGAACTTCAAACGACAATCGATTGAAGGTGCTGAAACCTGATCCAAAACTTTGAGCTTGGTGCAATATATTTTACGTATACATAGACAACACGAGGAATTGCGTTACAGGTTAATTTTATCGAGCGTGGCCTAAAGATGACGGATCTCTCGTCCATGAAAATGAGAGAACTGTGATAAACTAAACCTTATGATTCGGTGAGTTTGCTGAGTCAGAGCAATAAATAATCTCCCACTATGCTGTAACTGATTACCCAACTTGACACATTTTGGCTTGTTCAATTATCATGATGCAGAAATATGAACCTCATATTGAAATATACATGTACTTTTAATTTTTTTTTACATGGGAAGGTAATGGATAGAAAACATTCCTAACAAAAAGGGTACTAGAATGCAGGTAATCGTTTTTAAAATTATTAACTGGAGCAGACCTGTATATTTAATGAGTCCAAGAAATCATAATATCGTTGTAGTGATAGCCAACGATATGATAATTGGTGGCGAGCAGTGATTGGGGTACGAGATAGTTGCAAAGGACCTGCGGATGAATCTGCTGACTTTTGAAATGATTAGCTTGCTTCGTACAACTTCATTGAAAATACGTATACACCGAAAAGCTACAATGGTTGGTTGAATTATACATCTAATATTACGTCACGAGTTTCAACGGGACCTCGTCAGGGTTGCCCCAGATCAACGTAATGAAACGAAATGTCCGAAACTATTTTAATCGTTTTTAAAATTATTAACTGGAGCAGACTTATATATTTAATGAGTCCAAGAAATCATAATATCGTTGTAGTGATAGCCAACGATATGATAATTGGTGGCGAGCAGTGATTGGGGTACGAGATAGTTGCAAAGGACCTGCGGATGAATCTGCTGACTTTTGAAATGATTAGCTTGCTTCGTACAACTTCATTGAAAATACGTATACACCGAAAAGCTACAATGGTTGGTTGAATCATACATCTAATATTACGTCACGAGTTTCAACGGGACCTCGTCAGGGTTGCCCCAGATCAACGTAATGAAACGAAATGTCTGAAACTATTTTATTTCGCAGCATGCCATTATTTCGAAGTCGTCCTTATATCCTTGCCGTATTTGACTGTTTGAATATTGTACGATGACAGTCACATTTGTATTGGCTATTAGAGCAGATTTCGAGTATATATGAATTCATTATGTATGCAGTTATTTGCCCAATATTCTTTCGCGGGCATGAGTTTAAACAAGTTCCATTATTTTTGCATCCACGTACATTTATTATACTGATAAATTGATGTTAGGACATTTGAACCCGCATATTTTTGCACCCACAGGCATTTGCGCCTATACATTTGCACTCGTAGATTTTTTGCGACTATGCGAATATTCGTGGGTTCAAATATTCTTGGGTACAAATGTACTCAAATGCAAATGTTTTGGGTAACAACTAAGGTATGATGGCTGCAAATGTCCGCGGATACATTTGCAGCCATCTATACTCGCGTGCTAAAATATGGGTGGAAATGTCCGTCTGTGCAAGAGTATGTCCTGGATGTAATTAATGGTTGCAAACATACGCGGGTGCAAATGCGTCCGCCACCGTTCCTAAGTTGTAATTTGTTGTGTCAGTAAAACTTCATCACAGCGTCTGTATACTATTCATATTTCATCCAAACTCAGGTTAATTAACGTTCCTATAACCGTCGCATGTGTGTTTATTATTCAATGCAATGCATAGCATAGGTAGAAACGCATGAAATATCGTGAAAATGGCATTTTAAGGTCACGCTTTTGTATTTGAGAAATAGTAGCTTCATATTTATCAAGCATTCATATCAATGCTAGATTAGGCATATTTTGTTCCATTTGCTCAAATAAGAGGTTTAATAGCTTGGATACTTTATTTTCAGTAAAATAATTATGCAGTAGTCAGGGATGGCCAATTCGTTTCCGTCCAATGAAAACATTCTCGATAGAAACTTGCGCGTGATTGTTTTCATCACTCATCCACGTAACGTGTTATTTAGGCCGTAAACGCCTTTACGTTTGTGTTATTTTCTCTAAAACGAAAATTTTCCACAAATTTGTTCCACGATAACGATGACAATTATTTTATTTTTGTACGCGCACGGAATTGTGAATCTGGTAAATACGTTCATCGGCGGCGAGTTTCTAAAGACAACGCAACTTTTTGATTGAAAAGCGGCAATTTAAAATACTGAAAATAAAACCGCAAACAATATAAGTTTTATTGAGGCCCACGAAAATTTATAAAACGCTTTTCTAGGCAGTGAAAATCGCAAAATTTCGTGGGCCTACCGTACATATTATGTTTGGTCGGGCGTTTAGAAACGTATCGTCACGAATTGAGGGCGGGATTTGCCTGATTATTCATTACTTTAAATTGTCGTCGAATATTTTCGTGTTAACATTATACAAGGTTTGAAACGCGACTTTTTCCCGGGTTGTGAGAATGTATATAATATAATAAATCTAAAGTATATTCAATCAATTTTATTGTGATGAAATAAATTTTACTCCGAGATTCTACAGCAGATTTATGGATTTTTCGAACGGTTTTATCTAAAAATAATCAGAGTGTCAGCATTTCGATTGAGCCGAGTCACTGTTAACAAGTAGGCCTACATCTAAATATTTGCCGAATTCGCAAAATACGGATCTGAACATTATTTAATCGGGCAGTTTACCACACGTTTTTATTCTTATGATCGCCGATTGCAATGGTATATAAGAGTGGTGAGGATTTTATTTTGTCGACGCAACCGCAGGTTAAATTGAAGACAATTAAATTAATAAAGCAAGACATTTTAAATATGCCCGTATCGGTCACGAATTCATGAGTTTGCACCACAGAAAAATATATATTCGTTGTTATATCATTTGTTGTAAAAGGTGGCATAATCGCGGCGATGAATATGTATTTTTAATTTACTGCTAAACTTTATATGTATATTCATTGTATGAAATGAATTATACACTACACTTAACAGGATTTTATATCATTATTGGAGATTTTTCTAACGGCGATACCGAGTTGGCAAGATTGCAAAAATACGTATTAAAATTAAATACATCAGGCGGTTTATCTCGTACTTTTAGGTCACAGATCGCTGTGGACCGGATAATAATGTTTTTTTGACTAAGAAGAAGCAACCGCGAGTTACGTTGGACACATTAAGTTGATTTATAAAGATATTTTAGAATCTCGTAGTTGTCATGGATTGAATATTTTATGTAACAGGATGATCACTATACGCTGAAAAGACGGCTCTTTTAACGAGCGCGGAATCGCGGTGGGTGTTACAGGCGGCATTGGGAATTTCCGTTTTCGAAAATCCTGGCTGCGCGGCTGGTAGTGGTGGTAATCTATTCTCTATTAATTTATTTCTAATTTCAAACACAACAATATGTTACACATATTAACAATATGGTTCACATAAATTAATATACAAATATACTGGTAGGTAGTAGAAATACCCTAAGCTTAAATATTAGAATTTTTAAAGGCATAATGAATTTTCGATTGTTGTTGCTTGTTTCAGTTGCCTGTATTGCCAATAAATTTGATTACTCACAGAAAATATACACAATTATCTGAAAACAAGTAGCATTTTTGTCAATAGACTTGACTATTATCGTAATATCATGGTACCAATGATAGAAAGCGTCAGACAACTCCTTGGCTATCTTTTCATATGGTCATTTGTACAAAGTGAATTATTTTAATAAACTGACTGTGTCAGAAGTTGCTATTATTTTTTATCGATAGGTATAAACTATCAATTACTTTGTATACATATACTGTTGGTTTGTGGCTTTATTCTGATATTTCTATTGAAGCTTATTTCCTAATTTACTGGGTTTTAATAAACTAAAACAAAAATGTGTTATTTTCGATTTTAGAATGTATTCGGAATTCCAGATTCGAAAACATTATTTTAGAATGTATTCGGAATAGTTTAGTATTCGGAAATGGCCATCCCTGGCAGTAGTAAAATCAACCAATGTTTTTTTTTAAATCTAGACTCAAAATACGTCGCTATTAGACTCCAGAGCGATTTGTAAAACAGCCTGTAGTAAACAAAGCGTTTGGAATGAGCTATGTAAAAAACTAACCTTCCCCTGTAAAGTTCGAAGTCTGTTGTGCACTTTTTTAGAATTGAAAGCGACGTTCGTCGCACTTCTGAGGAAGTCAATCAAATGGTTTATGAACAAACACCTATAAAAGACATCCTCTTTTGAGAAATAAAACTCTCTGGACAGTTTACTCATTCACACGGGATACATGGGAACATATTTGACAATAAAGCAGATTGGAAAAAAAGAATTGAAAATCCATCTCAGGATACAAATACATTATGATGCTTTGTATTTTAGAACACATCCTTATTTATTAGGCAAATATTTGGACATGACTAAATAAAACATGTCTACAAATACACGAACAAGGAAAATCAATACAAAGAAGCAGAATGCAGTCGAAAATACTTCATACGAAAACGAGGAGGTAAGAATTCGAAGTCTAAGCAAATTTATCTTTAAAGTTAGAGTTTACTATATCTTCTGTATATACATATAAAGTAATGTCACCTTATATAAGTTTTAAAATGCCATATATGAATATATTCATTAGTTTATTATTATTTTAACAGCATTCACTTGTCTCAAATATCTCTTCGAAATTAGGGTATAAAGTCACCTGTAATTACATTTTGTAGTAGGCTATATATAATTTTAACGCTAACTTCCGTCTTCAATTGCAAAGTGAGGTCTGTTGTTGAAATTAATTTACGTTATGCTTTTCCCAAGACTGAAAACACATCGATTGGCTGCTATATCAAAGCAAGGCATATAATTGTGTTGATGTCTTTTATTGCGAAGTTCAACTCATATTCGATGAGAACCAATCTCAGTGTTGCTGTTGTTGCCATGGTGAATCAAACTGACGAAAATACTTCAAATAACACATCTGATGTTTGTCCTGACCATGGAAGTTCAGAAATAGATGAAATTGGAGAGGTATTTTGCTTATAATATATCACAAACTTAAAGAAAAAGGCAAAATTATTTTAACGTTAATTGAAATACAATGCTCTGCGCATACTTTATTAAACAGATGTTTGTGATTTTTTAATAACGATATGCCGACAAGAACAACATAATTACTGAACGATCCATACGTACTCTTCATTTCCAAGAAATACGCCAATAACATGGTCAGTTCTGATTTGAAATTGAACTGACAGTTAAAAGTTTGTGTTTTGCCGCTCAAATGCGGTATTTTTCGGTTCATAGACAAAAAAGGGTCCACTGTCTAATATTATACAAATATATTTTTGCGTATATTCATCAAATATATATCATTAGTTGTATTACTAAAATGTTATGGCTGTATGATTTTCAGAATGGGTCTTTCAACTGGGATATTGGACAAGAAAGTTTGCTTTTAGGATGCTATTATTACGGATATATAATTTCGAATTTTGTTGGTGGGTATTTGGCAAAAAGATTTGGAATAAAACTCGTGCTTGGAATCTCGATGTTCTTGTCTTCTATTGTCACAATATTAAGTCCTCCGATTGCTAAAGCCAGTTTCGGACTGTTTGTGGCTGCGAGAACACTACTTGGAGCGCTGCAGGTTAGTTGTTATTCCATTCCGAATCTGAATACCACTGGGACTGAGTGCAAAAAATGTTTTAAAAGTAAACGTCACCATGCAATAACCAGCGCAATACCTCCAAGAATTTTAATGGCAACAACGAAATCTGACTTACATTTGATAACAAAGAAGCTGTCATTCGGTGAATACTGGTCTTTTGACATTTTGATTCTTCCAACTCCACCATATCCACTAATAAATTGCAAACTTGTTCTAATTTTAACAATAAAGGGACCAATTTCGCCATCAGTTCATGCTGCTATTGGCAAATGGATTCCACCGCTGGAACTAACAAAAGCTGTTGCAATAGCTTCTTCTGGAAATTGTATTGGAACACTAGTCACACTCCCCGTAGCCGGAATAATAGCAGATCAACTAGGATGGGAAGCAGTTTTTTATATAACTGGTATTTCTTGATTTAAAATGATTTTTGTTTATTTTATACTGATATATTTATAAACATTAAATGTTAGTTCGCAAATTTCTGATAATTTCGAAATTGAATAAACAATAGGGTAATGCTCAAATTTTTGGACAGGAAGATGAGCTCATCGATTGGTTCACGATCTATATGGACGTGTTCGTGGTTGTCGTGGTCATGTAGAGATTTGCATAAGTTGATTAGCCTAATGAACTAGAAGAAACATTTTTGTATTAGTCATGTATTATAGTTATATGTCGATTAAAGCCGGCGTTGTGTTCGGAAAAATATAATCTTGTTACAATATAAGATTTAATAAACCATTTTATTACAGGCGGTATCGCTTTACCATGCTCATTGCTATTGATTGCTCTCGTTCATGATTCACCATCTGATCATCCAAGAATTTCAGATGAAGAAAAATCGTATATTGAAAAGACAACGGGGATATCTCAAGAGGCGCGAGCGAAGAAGTAAATTTTTCATATTTTTATAGGTGTAATTAACTTATTGCAATTTCAGGAAAATGACCAACCCACTCCATGGAAGTCAATATTTACGTCCATTCCACTTTGGGCCACAACTGTAGGAGTTTTTGCCTGTAATTGGGCAACGCACACGTACTTGTCGTTACTGCCAACGTACATGTCATCAATACTTCGATTTAATCTTGCCGCTGTGAGTATTGCAAACCATACACTTTTTATCGATTCTAGCTGTTATATACTTACATTGTAATATGCATTGCAGAGTGGAACACTGTCTGCCCTTCCTTATTTGTTGCAATTCTTGACCTTGCTGGTAGCTGGATATTTTTGTGATATCATTCGTCAACGACGTATCGCAAAAACAGTTACAGTAAGAAAAGTGAATTCATTTTTGTCTCTCGTTATTCCGAGTATATTCATTGTACTAGCCGGCTACAGTGGTTGCAATGTTGTGGCTGCAGTGAGTTTTTTCAGCATTTCGGTAGCCTTTCTTGCATTTAATGGTATGTATAATAATACAATATAGTTATCTCACTTCTTTAAGAATATTTGTTTACTGTTTTGTATATCATAGTGACAAGTCATGAAGCAAATATCATAGATTTAGCACCAAGATATAGTGGAATAACTTGCGGAGTAATTAATGCAATTGCAAACTTTCCCGGGTTTCTCGCGCCTCAGATGGCTGGTCTCATTCTTCTGAACGGGGTAAGTTCCATAAAATCGTTGTTGTGGTCGTGGCAACATACTTTGAAATCATGCCTGATCATGTACCGAAGTCCCGTTGCCAGACGCTTTGTGTATATGTTATGTTTCCAAATTATTTCAATCCCAGTTTTTTGACGTTAAAATATTTATATAAATTTTATTCAAGCAAACCATCCAGCAATGGCAGTATGTATTTTGGATGTCGGCAGTAGTTGCTACTGTGGGATTCATATTTTTTGCTATCTTTGGTTCTGGACAAGTACAACCTTGGGCCCTTCTTTCCGATTGCAATGATACTTCAATTTCCGACATAGTGTCATCTAGCAAAGGTGATATGAAAAGTTTTTAATTGCTATTTTTAACATAACGCGCTAATCGAAATCTTGTTTTAAGAGTTGGTGGTTATTACACAGCATAATTATTTAAATATTAAAACATCTTTTCTATTTTAACGCTTTAACGACTGGTAATAGATCATGAACATTATTGTATTGTTTTACAGTTTATGAACGATCAGAAAATATACCTACTTTCAATAAGAAGGAACCCACAGATGTTCTGAATGATAAACTTTGAATCTCACGTTTTATATCTGGTGCCAGAGGGTATCGATATCCCGCAAGAAATGACATGTACTTGATACTCCTCCATCAGATATAAATATAGTCAAATACGATATTTTATGAGTAGGCCTATGATAGTCTTTCGAAAGAGAATACAATAAATATTCCTTTATATACCAGAGAAGGTTCATTGAAAACCGCGAATTTCTAAGATGAAGTGTATGGATAAAAAGTAGTGCTAATGTAGCAGCAGAATTGAAGAGAAAAAGAGCAGAAAGTTTAGGCAAACAAATTCCTTTATAAACACTATAAAATGTGAGTTGAGTGAAACCACATTTCGTGAATGGAAACCCTTTTAGAAGCTTGAAGCTAGTTTCGAACCACTCATAATTATAACTCCACCGCAGATTACAATAAGCCGGTTACGAGCTGTGGCAGGAACACATGCGAAAGTGGGCAGGAATATTTTTTGCACGGGGTACCTTTAATTTGTTCAACTATCTACGAACGCCAACTTTCATACTTTCTCGAAATCAAAACACAAAACCTCGATTATAGTGAAATTTTTGGCCCCTGGTCCGAAAACCTTGCCCCACTGAGTCTAGAATATCGAGCAGTGGTCGGCAAACTTTATATACTTGCGGGCCAAATATATACATTTCCGGTAGCGTGCGGGCCGCATTTTTTTCGCTTACGAACAATTGCCACAATTGAACTTCCAAATTATTGTGCACTTCCTACTTTCTATTGTTGTGTTAAAAGCCTGCCACAATGAGACATGGATGTGGCCTTTTTAATATATTATCAATCAATGCATTGTTTTTATATACCGGTATTTACTTATTATCAATGTTGAGGATGATGTTGTTTCCGTGTCAGGGTCAAAGCGTTAAAATCAAATGGCAACTTCATTGCCCATCGGTACGTCGCCCTAATGACGATCTGACAAGCGAGTTCGAAATTTATTCTTAATGTAATGCATTTTAGATAAAGCTGCTCACAGGAATATGTGCTTTCGAACGTGCACATTATACGTTTAGTACTAACGCACATATGAGCAGTGGGGCAGCCCCGGGTCAAATTAAATTTCGTATTTGCAATGACACGTTTCTTAATGAAGTTCAACATGTCCCATAATAGCTGCGATCTGAACCTGATTTAAAAAGCGCAAAAAACAAAAATATTTTCTCGTCCAAGCACTTTGGAATGTTCGACCTTCGTCGCTAACCGTTTCCCAAACATTTTTAAATTTAAAAATGAACGTGACTTTTAATTACAACCAACGACGTTCGTCAAGTAAATGATATAGAACTGACGCTACTGATTACAAAACAAGCGCCGTACAGCAGCGGGCCGCTTTTGGCCCGCGGGCCGCAGTTTGCCAACCCCTGCTCTAGAGCATGACTGGATATATGACGATATCAGTAGAGTAACGTTACCTATACCATGCTATATTTTACCGACGACTGACAGCTGTATTAAACAACATCTGTATTTGGTAACTTGAACTTACATACCATTACCAGCCATCTCTCTAAACTTTGCATCATCATAGGATTTATATATTTATTCCGGGGGGGGGCAGATAAGACGGCATAATCCTATGGCGAACCATTCCATGTCGGGCACGGATGCTCATGTTGGGCACGGGATCGAACTAGCGAACCCTCGCAGGGTAATCAGAGGTGCGATGGCATGCGTATTCCTAACGATTAGCACGATGCGTCACACCGCCGAGCACCATAACCCTAAATACCTTCTAACAGACAAATGACATGGGACATAATCATGTTAACCGTAACCAAGTAGCCTACATTAATCACAAGTCAGGATTATGGTTGCTGTGCATTTCAATACCTACTAACCATCGAATGCTAGGGCATGTGCTAAATGCGCTGAACAAACAAGGTCAGCTTCTCTTCGACTGAGATCGACAGAAATCTTGATAATGCCTTGCAATCAACTGGTCGATGATAAATTCTTACTCAAAAAAGAATCACTATTACAAGCCTTTATCAATTAAATAATCCTATTCTGACAATTATCGAATCATGCTTTACAAATGTTCAGAAAAAACGACGAAAGTCTATTTCGTAGGTTCACTCAATGACATGTCTAATTCAGAATATTAAATGAATAAGTTCAAAAACACCGACAAACGAAAGTACGGGTTGTTCCCACTTCATCAAAATATGGGAGAGCAAACAATAGCGGTACTAGCACCTTTACGTTAGAATTAGATTATTCTCATCAGTTGTGATCCTACCACTGGCGGAGACGAAGGCGAAGTTGACCCGTCCGCCAGAGCAATATACTGTTTCAATAATTTAATCGTATTTGTCGGTTGATACCACCTATAATAATTCATAATTTGTCAAGTACAGTGGATTGATACAATTCGCAGAGTACATTGCCAAAATTACCACCGAATTACCGAAAACACTGAGATTAAAGCAATTCCATTTTGCGCATATAAATACAATGGCGAAAGAAGTCTTAACTGACCAGTAATTACGTTAGTGGTTGTGTAATGGCATCAATATGAGCGAATCTTAAGTAAAACTTGTTCAAGACATATTCATTACGGTTTGGAAAATAACCAAACATATCCAAATTCATTGTTCGTCGCTCAAAAAAATAAATTGGTCTATTCAATTTGAGAGCTCAATAGCAAACATACCTGTATTTCTTACGAAAAAATGTACTTTATTAGGTTTTATCTTTTGAGCCTACGTGTCATATCCGGTACAGTATTCCTCCTTTCTCGAACATAAAACAGTCGCTTCGTGAATACTGGTTTAATACAATTTTTTCGGGAAGTTGTCAAGTTTGCTTAAAATCTTTTGCGATCGACCATTTCAGACGTGGCGACGTGTTAACCACCCCTGCTATATATCCGTCTCCTAATCCTCCAGACTCCTAATCCGTGAATCATTCGCTACAACCCGACAACCGCATCAAAACACCAAAACTCTGGTATAAATTACAATACACCCTGTTCAGGCTTGTAGAGCAGTGGTAAATTCTCTCTCTCATACTAACGAGGCACGATTATGTTATAATTTAAGTCCGTTTCAATTATACCTGTATGTACCATGTACAGTGCACTCGACAACGCGACGTCGCGCAGTGCGGACGTCTTTGTGAGCATAAACCTGGATACAAACTATCTTCTGTTTTGTGGATTAAACTGGATACAACACTACATTAATACGGTGAGATCGTTTCTTTATATTCGATCTGTATATATTGCTGTATATAAAGTGCAATTGACTGAAATCCAGTACAAATTTTCTTTTGGAGAGTGAACGCTTATTACGGATAAAGCTGTTTTATGTTATAAGATGGACGGCGATGAATCGCCAACTTCTTCCGGAGTGAAAAGGAAGGGGGACGATAGTAATTCTAATGCCCAAAGTAAAGTAAAAATTAACACAATAAGTCAAGAAAATGACGTTATATCTACATTCGTTGTTGTACGGGGTACCCAGCGTAAGATGAGAACGTACAATCCTATAGTTATACATAGAAATTTGGTGCAGAAGTTTGGAATACTAAAATCTTGGTTCTGGGGATTTGAAAATTGAATGTTCAAACGAAAAGCAAGTTAAACTATTGTTGGAATGTGATGATATCGGCGATAGCACAACCAACATTCCAGTGAAGACCGAATTGTTTGTAAACAATGATCAAAATACTAGAGTAGTAATTAGCGATGTGCCAATTGACATGGCCGATAATGAATTGTTGGACGCATTATCTGGACAACGTGTTGTCTTTGTAAAAAGGCTTAATAGAAAAATCGAAGGCAAGTTTGTGCAGAGTAAATCAGTTCTGATTTGTTTTAACACATGCATTGTACCATCAATCGTGACTATCGGCTATATGCGATTCAGGACCAGAGTGTATAACCCTCCACCGATTCGTTGTTTTAATTGCAATAGATTTGGCCATGTAGCTAAAAATTGTCGATGTAAAGTTCGCTGTGCCAAGTGCGGTAGAAACCACGAATATAATAAATGTGATTCCGAAACTCCAAGATGTTGTAATTGTGGACAAGAACACAGCGCCGCATATGGTGGCTGCGAAGTATATAAACGGGAACGGTTGATTCAAAAAACAATGGCGAGTACTAAACTACCGTATGAGGAGGCAAAGAACCACATTAAGCAAACTATTTCAGAAACTGCGCAATTTTCGGCAAATGAATTTCCGGCTCTTCCCAGTAAAGTTCCTTTTCAAGGAAGTACACCTGTCCTTATGATTAGAAAGTCGAAAGATATATTGTCATCAGACAAGTCATCTCAACAAGCGCCTATTATAGGCCAATATAGTCGCCCCAATTCGAAAGAGGTAAATGAAGATAAGAATGCACCTATATCTCTGGACCCAATACATTTTTTCGCATTTATCGCAGAAGTCATAAAAAATACGCTAGAGGTTTCTCAAAGTGGAAAAGAATGTGATGTTTACGCTATTGTTTCGATGTCCGCTGGCGCTCAATTTGGATTCGATGTCGACGCTGGCAACCTTAAAAATGCAATAAAACAACATTCAACCAAAAAGTAAAAATAACTATCATCCAATGGAATTGCCGTAGTATATACCGGAAACTAGGTGAATTGAAAAACTTTATTAGTGCTTCACACCAGAAACCTGACGTAATAGCCATCCAAGAAAGCAATCTCACACCAAAGTATAATCCTAGCATACCAGGGTATACCCTAGTACGCAAAGATAGATTGATTAGTAAAGGTGGTGGCATCTTATTTGTTATAAAAAATAATATATCTTTTGTTGAAATACCTTTACAACCTCTAAATGGCGCAGAAGCTCAAAGTGTCAGTTTGGGAAATCTTAAGATAGTCAATGTATACGTCCCACCTGATGTTAGAATTTCTCAATATGCCTTCGAACGATTTTTTGATCAATTTTCACGACAAACAGTCTTTTGTGGGGATTTTAATTCACATCATTTCTTGTGGGGTAGCCCAACAAACAATCAACGAGGACTAGCTCTTGCTGGAGCTATTGACAGCACAGATTTAGTAGTACTTAACACCTCTGTTCCCACTAGGATAAATTTATCCCATAACAGAGTAAATAATTGGTCGTTATTGGATTTAACAATAGCATCTCCTGATGTTGCCCATAGATGTAATACAATTGTAACCAACGAGTTACTGGGAAGTGATCACGTAATGGTTAAAACTTATTTTAACGTAACACAAGTCGGTGACACAAGTAATTACATGGAATCATGGCGACTCGATAAAGCAAATTGGGATAAGTTCTCGGAATTATGTAAAACGCGCATCAGTGAGAATATAGTCACAAGCGATATAAATGAATTCAATGATTTTCTTACAAATGCGATTATCTTAGCAGCAAATGAATCAATACCACGAACAAAATCCTACACAAAAAATGGCATCCCGTGGTGGAATGCTGATTGCGACAAAGCCATACGGCTAAGAAAAGCGGCGTTCCTTAAAATGAAAAGGTCGATGTCCATCGAAAATGTGATAATGTATAAAAAACGTAGATCTGAAGCAAGAAGAATAATATTGAAGGCTAAAAGGCAGAGTTGGCATGATTACTGTAGCTCACTGGACAAGAATGAAAAACTCAGCAACGTATGGAAAATGGTTAGGCGCTTCACTAAAAGCAAGGTATACGAACAAATCCCCGGCCTTAAACACAATGGTATAACAGCAATCGAAGATTCCGAAAAAGCTGAGCTTCTGGCGAGTTCGTTCTCGGCGGTCAGTAGCAATGAAAACTACACTCCGAAATTTCTTCAAAGAAAGATCGCATTCGAATCCTCACATGACGTAACAATCTTCAAGGCTAATCACAAATTGGATAAAAATATCACAATGAAAGAACTTAATCAAGTTTTAAAACCAAGAAAAAGCACTGCTCCAGGACTAGACAAGATTTGCTACGCGATGCTTATAAAATTGCCCGCAGAATGTAAAGACATATTACTCAAATTGTTCAATTTGATTTTGAACAAAGGGAGTATTCCAGATACCTGGAAACGCTCTGTTGTAATTCCGATTCTTAAATCCAATAAACAAAAAGACCAACCATCTTCATATAGGCCTATATCTTTAACTAGCAATTTATGTAAGGTCTTGGAAAGAATTATAGTTCGCAGACTGAAGTGGTTTGTTGAAAAAAATGGCATATTATGTAGAGAACAGAGCGGTTTTAGGTGGAGGAGATCTACAACTGATGCATATCTAAAATTACACGATGACATATATAAAGCTTTACCAAATAAAAGATCTGTACTTGGCATTTTCTTAGACATGGAAAAAGCGTATGACATGGTATGGAAAAGAGGACTGTTATACAAACTATATAACATTGGTGTCACCGGGAAAATTTGGATTTTTGTTGCATCTTTTCTGACAAATCGTTCTTTTCAGGTTAGAGTAGGCAGTCGTCTTTCAAGTATATTCTCATTGAAAAACGGAATTCCTCAAGGGAGCGTAATCAGTCCACTGCTATTCAATATAATGATAAACGATATGCCTAGTACTATTTCATCAGATAATGTTGGATTGTTTGCAGACGATAGCGCTCTATGGCACATTGGTCTCAATATTGAAGATTTAATCATTTCCTCTCAGAACTCGTTGGATTGCATTCAGTCCTGGTGCAATCAATGGGGTTTTAAGATCTCGGTCACAAAATCAATAGTTGTACTCTCCACCCGAAAGAGAAAATTACCACCAATACAACTACACATAAACGGTGTAATACTCCCAGTCAGGAATGAAGTAAGATACCTCGGAGTCTATTTCGATAGGCGCTTAAATTATAAGAGACATATCGAATATGTTGTACAAAAATGTAGTAAACGGATTAATCTGCTGCGTTTGCTTATTGGAACTAGCTGGGGAGCTAACAAATCACCCCTTTTGTCATTGTACAGATCCCTAGTTCGACCCATTATTGAATATGGTATGGAAGCCTATTTTTCAGCATCAATAAATGCCATAAGAAAAATCGAAATTATCCAATCTCAATGTCTACGCATCGCTGCAGGTGGCATGATGAGTACGCCTAAAATTGCTTTACAAGTTTGTTGTAATGAGATGCCATTGATTATAAGACGACTACAATTATGCCTCTTATATAAGGCTAAACTGCTAACATTTGTTGACCATCCTTGCCACGAAGTCATCGAACACTCATGGCATGAAATATTTCCCAACTCTCCAGCATTTCGTACATTTGGTATGATTGCAAGGACTTTCGATATTGACAAATTAGATATTAGTATTATTAAAGCCGAAGAAATTCCCCCATGGTATTTGGACGAAATTAATATCGACGATGCATTATCGAATATACTTTTTCCTTGGTATACGCCCGACCAAACAAAAGCTATAAGTTTGGATTATATAAATGAATCCTATCAATCACACGTGCATATCTATACCGATGGGTCAAAAATTGAAGACAAATGCGGTGCTGCGGTTTATGTTCCATATAATAATTCTCGTATGGGTTTTAGGCTAGACAAAGACTGTTCCTCGTTTGATTGCGAAGTTTTTGCAATATATAGTGCCCTTACATGGTCAAAAAATAACTATAAAAGGAATATACTTGTCATATCGGATTGTATGTCTGCTATACACGCTATAAATAATAACTCGGATCAAATTAGTAATATATCTTCAAATATTCAGACTTGTCTTTTTGAGTTACAGGAACAAGGATGCAAAATCACACTACTATGGGCTCCAGGACATGTTGGCATTCCGGGTAACGAAGTCGCCGACAAAATAGCAAAGGTATCAGCGGCGAAAGTCGATGTGGACAAAAGATTATCCCAATCACAAAACAAAGTCAAATCACAAATTCGACAATTCTGCGCTAATAAATGGGATCAACATTTTATACAAAGTGACCAAGCGTTTCATTACAAGACAATTTTCCCCACAATTGAAGACAGCATCAAGAATTCCACTTGGTCACCACGAATAATGGACAAAATTTTATTTCGACTTCAGACGGGACATTGCCGTTTAAATGGGCACCTCCATAAAATAGGATGCCATAATAATGGACTTTGCGATTTCTGTAATGATCCAGAGACAGTAGAACATTTTCTAATGAACTGTCGTGCATATAGAAATGAAAGACGCATACTAAAGATGAAATGCCGCGATTATGGCATTGAATTTCAACTCAAAGCTATCTTACGCGACCCTAGCATTTTCCCTGCTCTTGTTGATTTTGTGAAATCTACCAAGAGAGTATTATAGGCATATACAAAATTTTGATTTAAATTGTCTGGCGCAAAGACTCAAATTGTTTAAAGCGCCATATATTACCATACCACACACACACACCATGTACAGTGCCATACTTCTATCGGTCATATTATAGATTTAGTTGGGACTCCTGATTGACTCAACCGAGAATATTCCCACTCCTGATCCGATCCTGTTTGTTGAAAACCTTGCCGGTATCCTGAATTGTTTGTGCTCAACACTACTGTATATGAAGATACGGTACTTATATAAAGCCGAATTAAAATATAACTTAACTTATGGTACCTTCTTAATACAGAGATAGGGCAGTATGGTAATGGAAGAATATTACGTTTCGCCATGACTGCATAAAACTGTTCCTTTGTCAAGCCTCTCTTTGATTGCTCGGTGATAAATGTCACTGATTGGAATACGAATTTGAGAGGGCTATACAAAGGAAATATAACACCACACGACAATGAATTCTTGCAGGAATCGAAAACAGTTTGCTTTGCGCTTCAACTTATTAATATTAAAGTTGTATGGCGGTCCACGCGTTTGACACTTTTCATTGAAGTATTGAAATAAGCGTATATGTCATCTCAGTCATGCTAAAATCTGAGTGAAACAGATAGTGTCGTGAACAGTGTTTAATTGATTGGGCCAATTTTTTCTGTTGGATTCAGGATTTTAGTTCTGAATTTTATCCTGAAAAAGTAAAATTATGTAAAACTGTATAGCAAGATACTGAAAATATACTCAATGTAAGAAATTTTAAATGTACGAAGTTGAAATTTTTGTACAAACTAATGGCAGTTTCAAATGATACGCAGTTTAACATGATATACTGAAGTCAACAATTTTGTTCCTTTTTCATTGATTAGCATTTGTTGAGGTAAATAAACACAAAAACAACCACAAACATCAACAGAATATAAACCTTCAATATATAATAAAAGAATACGTACGGGTTTTATTACGATGTATGACTTAGGTATGTATTTGAGGTCTTGCGTAAACATTCATTATTATTTTGAAAAATACAAATCCCCCAAATTAAACTCTGGTGCGCCTCGTGTGGAACTTATTACGAAAATCAATGCGAAATGACACCAACGAAGCACTGAAGAAAAGATAGCAGATTCTCAATGTAAAATTTTGTGACGCATGAACTTTGGATAGAAGCTCATCGCTGGCGTCTAACGCAATTTTCATTGGGATGTTTTTTACCCCGGTATTTTGATTCAATTCCGTGGCGATTCGAGCTCCAGATTGACAGAGATATTGAATTTTAATTAGAGTGAAAAAATTGACACCGACTCGGGAATAACGAAACGACCAAAACTTACTCATCTATTTTGTCTCAATTTAAACTTTGACTGCAACTCGAGACATTTAAAAATCTGAAATCACGACACAAAGGAGTTCAACATTTTGACTCCGGCAAATGCTACCGGGGAATTGAAAAATACGACTACCGGCGAAACAATGCCAATCACAAATTGAAACTAAAAATGTAATGTCCATTTAGCTACATAGATGAAGAAAAATGTTTCTTCTGCTATAAACAATATTGATGTAATTTCCCAATCAAATGGTACCTACCACATAAATAAAAATATCATGCCAATTTTTACCAATAACTACAGTTATATTGAATTCAATAACTAAAGTAGCTGTTTTCCTCAACGTATTGACATGAATGTCGACAGCTTCATGCCGCACGTCAATAGGTATTTACTAACGCGTAATTCACCGTCATAATTGATTATTGCGCCACAGGAGTCTGTATTGGACTCGAAGTGGACCTATGGATCGTTTTGTTATCATTTGGTGTTGTTAGAATTCGTTTTCTTGTTGCTTTTAAAAGTCGTTTTCCTCATTACCTACTCGACCAATTGCTTTGACATTTTCAGTGGTCAAAGATTGTACTTCTCGATTGAAGGCTATAACTTTCATTTATTTCAACAATTTCTGTGGGCTCTGTGGAATTCGTTATTTTTTTAGTTAGGTCATCAAAATTTAAAATTACTTCGTTTTGGCTTTCATGTCGATATATTTGATCATCGCTCAGTCTGTTCTTTCCAAATAATGTTTGTAATTCAAGTCCTCTCAACTCCTGAAACCGTACCCTCGCAAAAAAAGAATGAGTGATCAAAAAGGAGTTGCAAATTGCAATGGAACGCTGCCACCCTAATAGTAATGTGAATAACCCTTGCACACTTGAAGTTGACGATTGAAAAGAGATTGATTCAAATCAAGTAAGTACTTCCATCCCTCTGCTGTTAGCATTTCAGTGGCTCTAATCTATAGACTTGAATGAGCGCTTCGTGCTAATTCTTCGAAAATTTCAATATGAATAATGATAAAATCGAAGCAAAAGTCACAATTACCTGAATGAAAAGGTTTCTGTATCACGTCTATAGAAATGAAATTATTTTTTTATTGAACACATTTATTAATTTACCAAAAAGGAATAGATTGAGAGGAAGGTGAAACAAGATGGATAAAAACAAACTGAGGGATCGTAAATGCAAGTTACATCATAGATCACCATCACTGTCAGATGGAACATATGACTATTCTGAAATTTGTTCATGTGAGGATCACCAAATGTTACATACACATTTCATTTTTACTCAGGTTGAAATGGTAAAAATTTCCAGTCGATTCGTACGTAGTGCATAAGTCCCAGACTCCTCTCTTGCAACGAATATTCTAAAGAATATATTGTGAACTACAACGAAGTTCGCAATAACTCGATATCACCATCAAATATATCGTTGGCCTTGGTCGTTTCATGGGGGTGAGCAAGATCCAGACTACTTACAACTACAACTTGTAAGCTTTTGCTTTCACGGTTGCTTATTCCTATATCTATAAATCTTACTAAAGCTCGGGGAGTGCAACTAAAAGCGTCCAATATCAGCTGTAAGAATATAAGATCACTACTTTTCAATGGCGCGATTTTCAAATGGTCCATACTCAACACAAGATATTTCGCTGTGTAGTCGGCGACCAGTGATCATGTCAACGAGGGAGTATCGAAATAATCATTCTGTGAAAATATTTGACAGTCGTTTGAAGAACGATAGCCTAAAAAGATATGAAGAATGTCATGGCCACAAAACATCCTATCTTCGTTTCTCTGATGTGGGAGTCAAAGTTTTATATATACACAGACAAGAATGGGCATATGAAAAAGCACTTAATTTTATCGAGACGCATCTTTGGCGCATAGTCGGTAAAAATAATTTTCAATTGGCACAGGACATGACCTGAATTAACCCTCCATATAATCACAATATACCGCAATGGCGATCTTCCATTATTTTTATCGAAAATAACTTTAAATTGTTCGCCTACGAATATCGATTATATATTTATCCTAATTGCAATCATACAAATAAATATTCGCGCTCGATACAGAAGGCGTTGTTTTACTAAAATATTCTGGATCAGTCAGAGCTAGCTTCAGATAAACGTAAATTAATGTTTCAAGTGTAAAGGAGGTGATAATCAAGATTAGAAATTTACAGTTGAACTATTTTCCTCAATGTCTACCCAAATGAAATTAATCAGTATGTAGGCTTGTATGTATGAATATTTCGGAAAACTTAGAATGGTTTCGACTACTCGAGGTTTAACAAAGGCATAAATTCAGTAGACGATAATTTGCAAGAGAATTTAAACTAATGTACACACTTTCCAAATTTCAGATTTGGATTCTAAGCAACGAAATGTCTTTTTGTGATGAATACATGAATATGATGCCTAAAATAGTTCCGAATAATTCCAGAATTTTAGTCTTTTTGTCGATGTAAAATCATGGTCCCTAAAACATTCTGAATCGACCCTGGCGCTACTTGTTGATTAATTGTCAAGTTAAACAGATATATGTATGGTTGATTGATATTTAAATATATTTTACTATAGTCTTCAATTATCGGAAAGATATAAAAATAAAATATTTATATAAATTAATCATTAAACCCTAGGTAAAATCGCGATGTTAAAAAACTATACGTTCGAAGTTCTACTTTGCCAATGTACGCTTTTCGTTGCATGTATTGCATCAACTGCTTCATCGGAACGCGGATGGATGTAAGTAATATTCGAATTTCTACTAGGGAATTTTGTTAATTTGAATATATATAATAAATATAAATAATTTTAGTGGGTATCGAACTTCGCATGCATACAGTATTTCCAAAAGTATTATGAGAATAGAATATTTTAAAATTTGTCACATGTCAGTCAGTAAATTATCCTATAGCGCTAATACAAAAATATGAATACATTTCACTTCCCCAGCAGTATCATGCGTTTTTGACCGGTACGAGTTGCTAAAAAGGCTATTATTTGTCAAGCATGGTGAAAATTTGTCAGATTTAAATATGTACTCTATCTCAGTTTGAAATTGTGACTTTAATAATCTCGTCCACTAAAATTAACAGTCGTCTATACCAATCACAGTGACCGAAATTCTTCAATGTGCCAGCGAAACACAGAATTACCGGGTACAATTACAATATTTTTATGGATATAAATGATTTAAAATGTTTAAATATAGTAATCGCATTCACAAATGAAATCAAAATATGCAATCACTGCGCTCATACTACTCAATTCAAAATTGGTAGAATTTGGACCGGAGTCAGATTCCCGTTGAAATTGAGAAAGTATACAATTTAAGAATAATAACACAAGCTACTAACCCCAGAAAATAGAGAATAATGATAATTAATCAATTCGGTTATTCAAACCTCTGGGTCTAATTCAGAGTTTCAGTAGAATATTTTTGTTTCGGGTACTGTTGGGTACTTTCAATATTTAGCCAAACTGAAAATGCTTCACTAATACAGCCCTGGCAACCATCGCCTTAATTGTCAACTTCAACGTTTTACGTATTGTTATATATTTGCAGGATGGTAGGTGGAACCACCAACTTCCCCACCAGTGACATGATACGATTATCATCCGATATGCCAACGAAAGTAACGTATTTGCAACCCGTAGGTAGCAAGAGCACGACGGGTAAAAATTATCGAGCTATAAGTAGTGAGATGGCAACGTTAAGAGCGATGGAAACACACGGACTTGTGTCCATAGGACCTGATGCAATGACGCAGGAAGAGGCCAGAAGGTTGCGGCGGAAGTCAAAAAGAAAAACTCAGGCTTGGTGTATGTCTTTACCTGGCTTAGTTTCGAAACAGCGAAAAATGTGCCTAGAAAATCCTGATTTGGTTGCCGCAGCAATGCAAGGAACAGATTTGGCTGTAAGGGAATGTGAGCGTCAGTTTAAATATGACAGATGGAATTGTACCTTAATTTTAACAAACATGAGTGATCGAAAGCGAGAAAAATATGCAACAGAATCTAGTGATCAATCAGATGAATCTTCAGGAGAAGTACTAACTCCTGGGCTTAAAAATGGTTAGTCTTATTCTGACTTACAAATTTGTGAAGTGGGCGAGCAAACATGTGCCAATATTATTATTATTTGTTCATCCTTTCAAGTACGTATAGGTCGACGTTATGTATAGTTTATTTATTTTTTGTGTTTGTGCTTATTCTGATCATAAACTGAACACGTTCTTATATTTCAGCAACAAGAGAAGGGTCGTTTATTCATGCGATTATGAGTGCTGGCATTGCACATGCAGTTACAGTTGCCTGTAGGAGAGGAGAATTGGCGGGCTGCCACTGTGACAAAAGTGTTTCTAAACTCAACGTAGCTATGGAAATTTTGAGAGAAATGATTGCATGGGACGAAACAAATTCCAGCGACCAGAACCAGAAAGTGGCGAAGGCGGCTTTGGAAGCAATTAGAAAAAGAAGGCTTTATGGAGGTATAAATGTCGAATGTATGCTAACACAAATTAATATAACTTGACAGATAAATTAGAAATAAATAAATTGACAGAATAATTTGGCAGGAATCGTGATAAATGTACAATAAGAGCGAAGCTATTTTATATGTTGAAATTGATTGATGAACTCACTCAAATTTTCACATCGTTTTAAATACCGAATCCACGTCATGATCAAATAGAAATCCTTAATCTCTTGATTGGCTCACTTGAGTTTGTCTATTTGAGCTGGCATTAATCGTCTGTCCCGTTGTAAAATCGATCCATTTTTTTTAAATCAATGGCTCTCCTATAGACAAAAACTATATATACACTTAGCCGGTTTTGTCGCCAGTAAAGTTCAAGCTTCATTTAAAATTAATATAAAAATTCCACTAAATATTAAAACCGTAGTGCAATAATTTGCTTACTTGAAAGTCACGAACGACCAGTAATGTAACGCTCCAATATACATATAGATTTCTTCGAGTTTGTAATGCGGATATTTTGATTTAAGTTTTTATGTTCGATATTATTATTTTTCAGATGCAGCTGGTCATTTTTTAAGGAACAGAACGACCACCCGAAAATTAGTAAGAGTGAACACAAATTCTCCGATATCATGGGAACAAGAAGTAGAAAAAGTAATAAAAGAACTAGAATTCGTATTCTTTATCATAGCTTTACCTATTCTCGACATTATTGACGTCTTAAAAGTTCATTTTTTGCGTTTCGAGATTCTCGGTTGATACCAAATTATAATGTATCGTGCTAGCAATTAACTAACACACTAACTCACAAATTTGTATGAATCTAGATAAGCTGGGGAGGGTGCAGTGATGACGTGAAGTACGGTGTTCGATTCAGCAGACGGTTTTTAGAAGCACCATATAAGGGCATCTCATATAAAAAACGAACGCCGAGAGACGACGTAAAACTGCACAATGGAGAAGTCGGGCGAAGGGTAGGTTGTTCATGTATAAATAATGAAACCATGATGTATGTAAAACAGAAAAATGAATTAAAAACTGAAACACTCCATATATCAAAATTAAAAGGTAATTTATCAAAGGTAAAAATTGATATACACAGTGTTACATTAGAAATAAGAGCAAAGCCGCGGTTTTGTGTTAAATTTGTTACGAAGTACGAAACGCCACAACCAGACGACCAATTGTAGTATACTACAACGGTATGCGACAAATATTTACGGAATCAGTAATTGCCGTAGAAGTGATATCACGGCGACACAACTCAAGCCGCGGTATAATAATTTATAATGACATGACTATTTCGCCATTCAACTGATTGCCGACATTGAAAATGATCGCGGCGCCTTTCATCAGCAAATTGGCCAATCAGGCTTTATTTGAAATCAAGGAAGGATATTTTTGTTGTCACCTTTTATATTTTATCCTGGCACGCTAACTTTTTGAACTAGATTTCTTATCAGAAAATAAATCAGGAAATGCGTATTCTCACTAAGGAGTGTTTGTAAATAATTGCTCCTGGTCTTTTGTAACAGTAACTATAAAGCCTAAATGCGATGTCTAAATAATATTCATGCTCGAGATAGAATAAGTCCGTATCTTCGGCTTATTTTAATTTTATCTAATCATAAATTTAGTATAGACACACAGATACAGACACACAAATAAATAATCTGAATCACACAATCAAACATCCACCAATTTACCGATGACAAAACCTTTGGTTTCGAAATAATAGATATGTGTGATCAAGGTACCTTAAACATTAATGCCCGAGGGCAACATTGTAGCGACATTAAACAATTGTGCTTTGATTTTTTTTATATCGGCGGCTGATTGATCTATAATTACCCTTTTGAAAAGTTTTTGGACGCTCCAGAAGTGTGTGTACCAATATAGAAGTAACTAAATTTGTTTGCCTACTTTACATCAAGTTGTGTAAAGGGACTGAAACGTATGGACGTGGGGTATATTCACTTGGCTTACACACGGATGGTAATATAACTCGTGATAGAACCAAAATAAGGAAAATCGGAATAAAATCATGGCTTAACCCTAACCCGGTACACACACTACGGGAGTACCAGTTGTACCTAATGTCACTCTTACTTCTCTACATTTATTCAAAGTAATTAGCCCGGACGATATTCCTGAAATACCTTAAAACTTTCAGTCAATACCACTATCGAATGTCTATATATCCACATTGAAACATTGATTCTGAATATCGTATTTAACATATTATTTAATCTAATTCAATCTAACGAGTATTTCACTGACCTATCTGGTTTCAACTAACCTTACAACGACTTGGTATCTGTTGCAAGAAAATCGTTTGCGCCAACTATACATTTTGTAAATAATCCTATATTCTACCACTGGTATAACTGCTTTCTTCATACAATAATGTAATATATATTTTAATATTTGAATATCCAGGATTACTATACTTCATATCAATTGTTTGCGCAAAAGGTTTTTATGGAAAAATATTACTCTGCCTGCAACATTCGGTAAATAAAATCACAAAGCGACTCTTACAAATGACGAAATTACACGCCATCTTGGATAAACATCAATTTTTGAACAGGCAATTTTACGATTCACGCGTGATTTTAACTACAAACAAATAATCGTCAATTTTGAATATCCCAATACAACATTCTTTCAAGATACTTTAGTTTACTGTAATACCATAAAATTTCAATCATATTAGAACCTTTTTATATGATATAACTAGTTTATCCCTAGCTTCATAATTCGATTATGAAACACTGGTTTGTTTGCTTAATTGGTGTGTTAGATAAAAGCTAGTTTACCTATCTTTTTTTTATTATCTCAATCCGATTATTTAAATCCAATACATCCTACGCTATGAGTGCGCTATTAATATACATTTGAGATTTTGTTCATCTTTTCATCGCATTTGTTTTCAGATGGTGCAAGATTTGACGAAAGTGCATTGCAGGTGTCATGGGATGTCGGGTGCCTGTACTGCGCAAACATGTTGGATGCAAATGGCGAGTTTTCATGAAATTGGAGATTCGTTGAAGAGAAAATTCGAATCAGGTGTGAAGGCATTAGGAGAACCAAAACGCCGTAGGCGTCTTCGACATGTAACAGGTAAATATTATTAAATATTTATAAACATACTTACGGAATACTGAAGTTTCACAACCGTCTTAATTTGATTTATAAATAAGCTATCCAGAGCAAAATTGTTAGAATGGTTATAATTCATAACAGTGAACTCATACGACATAGATAGCGGGCGCTTGCGAAAGGTGCCGAAGACACAGCTGGCGTTCATCAACGAGTCTCCGAACCTGTGTCTGGAAAATCAAACTCTCGGTATACTGGGAACAGCAGCAAGACAGTGTTTGAAACATTCGGGAGACAAAGGCGACTGTCGTGTACTTTGCTGTGGACGAGGCTACAATACAAGACAAATTAAAATTCAACGAAGATGTAAATGCAAATTTATTTACTGTTGTGACGTTCAGTGCGAGATATGCGACGAAGTTAAAAATGAATATACATGTAAGGTTTGAACGCTGTTTAATATAATAATCGCCGTTATAAGGCATTCGCACCGATACAACATGATACAATACAATTTATTTAAGCATCCTGAAAACACAACACTCATGTACAATAAGAGTTACTGGATAGAATTTATGGTAATTCCGACTGTAATAATTTTATATATATAATTGAAAAACAATTTTGCACCAGACCCTGTGATATCAAGTGATCAAATCTGTTGCTATTAATTTTCATAAATGCACTTATGTCGGTTTAATCAAGTTTTCTGGCCCTAACACAATCTCAAAAAGGATTGAATTTTGCCCCGTTTATTGTTTTGACTTCAACCCAGTTCGTGGCAAAAATTTTAAAATTAGTATTTTCTTTGGCTGACACCATCGACGTAGCATATTGTAGTCCATGTTACTTCATTTCATGAGGTCAGAATATAATGAACTTATGCAGTGTAATAACCCGTTCACTTCTTATAATTAGATAATATAACTTATTTATGGTCGATGAAAAATGAAATCACACAATTTTTGAATGTCAATTTTTAATTTGTCGGCACCAATCACTGTGTTTATTTTTACATTTTGTCGTATTTTTTTCACTCCATTATAGCTTATTGTTTAATCGTATCTAGCATATAAACAACAAAACATATTTTCCTATCAAATTTGACAATTTCATACTTTCATTGTCTTTCATGACCAAGTGTGAATGATGACCACCTAGTATAATAAATGCTGTTTAAATCATAAAATGACCAGTAAATTTAAAGTTCAATTAATGGTAAATTTTCTGAAGGGGACGAGGATGGTGACGACGTTTCAGTTTTGGGTGCAGAAGGCTGTGCAATATCTTTGTTCTCAGTTTGAATATCATCCTCAGATTTCTTCGAGGTTGTTTCACAGGTGGACACATCTTCTATCTCAACAAATGCTTGTCTGGTAGATATTACTGTGGTGCTTTCGGAAGGATCCTTGTAGCTAGATTCTTCGTTATTGTAAGCGGTCGCAGCTTCGTTTCGATTACCACCCGTCTCCTGGTTTGCGATTATGGCAGCTCCCACTGCATTTTGTCCTCCTGCTTGAGATAGCTCTGGCGATGCGATAGCTTGCAAAGTTACGGTATATTTTGTACCTTCAGTCAGTTCAGTAAAAACATGTTGACTCGCTGATTTAATTGTTTCCTTTGAAATAGGTACTGCGCACTCCTGACCAAATTCTCCTTCATAAACATTAGTTAAAGTTGCCATCACATCTTTTGAATTTCCTTCAACCCCCCACGCTATCTTCATAGACTCGGAAGTTATGCAGTCGGTCGGGAAGTGTACGTTCAATACATCACCAGGTACTGCAAACAGAAATCGAGTTTAGTTTCACAAAATTGTAGAATTCTTGTTGAGGCATCGGGAGAGATCTACCGAGTTTGATTGGAATATTTATATTATATAACAGCGCACTGGTAGTACTGGTCATTAAAATGTCATGATCACAGCATTGAATCCAGGGTATGTTTAACTTTAAAACAGCTATTCATATCATCTGAATATCTAAAATAAACCCAATATCACTTTTTATCATCACAACTTATTGTTTTGCATATGTACTCTTTGAATACCTACATGTATAGGCTTTAACTTCCGTTGGCGGTCCACGAACTCCTCTTGCAATCGGGGTCACCCATACGCTATATAGTGTACCGGGAACAAGTCGTTCAAAAACATGAACATGTGAAGTTATTCCAGTTGGATCAGTTTCACTACCAATGCCTTTTGGTGGTCGGATTGCCAATTCAAAGTGATCAACACCGCCGTCTGGGGGTAACCAAGAGACCTGAATTTCATTTTTACTCAAAGTCTTGGCTGTCAACTCTTTGACGCAATCCGGACCTGCAATTATTACAAAAACAAAAAAATTGTGTCATGTTCGTGTGAGTCAAAGCATACAAAACTCAAATTCCGCTACAAAGTAATGTAAGCTGATATGAAAAGTCTCAAGATAAGTCCTAACCAATGAAGGTATGCATTTACGCGGTCATAAATAATCTTTTACTTAAATGTACCTGTCATACATGTAGCAAGTGAAGGTTCGCTTTCCACTCCGTAACTTATGACACTGACAGCTATGTTGTACTTTGTTCCAGGAAGTAGATTAGAAATAGTAAATTCAGCTTTATCGTATTTTGCGTAGTCTTCAAAACGTGTTCCTAGAATACGCAAACGCAGAAATTATGAACAATATCGAATAGCTCAAAAATACATTTGTGTATTGTGTGTGAAATTTAGCGTTAATTGCATGGATTCTTAATTTTTCGAATCAAATGCGATTAAAACTATTTCGACTGTCAAAAGTTCTTATTTTATCGATTTTGCTCTCCGTCAAAATATAAAGTATACGGAGCAATTTATTGATGAAATACCCTTTGTTACATATTACATACAAATACATGTTGTTATCTAGTGAAACGTTGTACACTTTATGATTTCATTATTTAGGGACAAATTAGGTCAATTATACTCTAATATAGATCTACGAATGGGTCAGTTCAGAGTTTATTAACAGTCCATGTTACGCGTATGGTTTAGAATTCTAACCTCCTCCCTTTGCTTGAATTTTATAACTGTCGACACCACCAGCGCTTGGATGCCAAATAACTTTGATAGAATTTGATGTTGTTCCTCCTTCAGGAAACGCGATGTTTCCAGCAGGACAAGGTACTGTGAATAAGATAAATTCTATGAAAACTACAGATTTATGTCAAACAAAACTAAACTCAATTTGTTGATCGATTTGGTAAATTTCTCATCGACCATTTTAAAGATTACTGTTGAATTATTGCTGAATGGTGTTCTCGAAGGGACTTTTTTGTTGGAATCTGCTACAACATATGTTAGTTATTGCAGCCTTGTTCAAAATTAATATTATAAAATATTGCATATAATATACACTGTAGTTCGAATTAACAAATACATGTTAGATATAACGTCATGACTCAATTTGTATGGTGATGCTTTTCAATAAATATTTAGAGAATATTTTGAATATACTCATCCCTGAACTCACAAGTGCTGCAGCTTGCTGTTTTCGAAACAGAATGTCTTCCTTCTCGTATTGTTGTAATAGTAAATGCATACTCGGCTCCCGGAGTCAAACCTGTGAATATATGTCTTGGTTGAGTGATATCTTCTTCTTTCCAACTTCCGCCAGAACCTCCATCTTTACTGAAACAGAATGAGTGACCAAAAATGGTAATAAACCCTGGTGAAGAATATCTACCAATTTGCACAAAAGTATTTGAAAATACATATTTAGAGAAGCAAATATTTGTATCGTGATGCGTCGTAAATTTAGGTTAAAACTTGAGTAGAAAATAATTTTAGTTTCATTACAACCTCTCATTTGAAAGTTTAGTTTTTCTGATTCTAAGACAGAGCATGAGGTTACTAGCCAATTAACGATATAACCAAAAGACTCGAATGTTCTATGTTTTATATGTATCATTTCGGTTAGTACGGTATCTGAAATTCGGATACAACTATTTCTACAAAGAATCTGGTAGAATGGTAGACACTGGAATTGCTGAAAATAAGACTATTTCTACTATTGAAAATCTCACATGACAAGAATTGAATAGGAGTCACATTCTCCTCTAGCTGGTAACCAGTGAACTCCTATTTGCGTTGATTTCAACTCGTCGGAAGGAAAACTTATTTCTCCACAAGAGGCTGGATCTAGATCATTTAATAAAAATTATTTTTTTTATAAGATCCCTATTTATCATAGATATTTAACGTTAATTTCATTGAAATATATGAAGAATACATATTTGTTAACAAAATAGGATGGTAGAAAAGCAACGTTGTAAATATAATAAAAAGATGGCGTGATTTGATACCTGTTAGAAAACCTGTCACTACCCGCTGGCTCATTTTATCCTTCGAGTTCGTAACAACTCCCACTGTATATTTTGTTCCTGGCAACAGTCCTGTAAAAAAACACACTAAATATTCAGTAATGTAGTTTACCGGAATTCTTGAGAAAATGAATTGAGCATTGCAAAAACAATTTTGGCAATGAATATAATATTAGTCTTACAAATGAAAAATAACACAATGTTGTATATAATAGTATCATAGGAATAAAAAAGGTATGATACCCTGTAGCAGAGCGAATTAATCATCGTGAAAATGTATAGTTTTTCCCACTATTTTACAGAAAAACTTCGTAAGTTATTCAATACAGATTAAGCATGACATATACAAATGGACTTCCAAATGTCTGTTTTGAGCAAGGCGTTTTAGTTGAATCATATGAGGGCATTATTTGCAACGTTCATAAAAGTTATGCTAAACAACTTTTTCAGTATGCCAGTACCTTTGAAAATGTGTGTAGTTCCCACTATTCCTCTTGGACAAGGATCACCAATTACACCATCTCTTGGATTAAGGAATAAATCATAATCTTCAACATCTCCAGGTGCATTTGACCATGTCAGAACTACTTCGTCGACTGTTACCTTGGCGACGGACAAGTTTGCAATTTCGCTTGGAACTGAATAGAAAAACTATTATTATCAGTATGATTATATCAATGACAAATATGAAGTTTTTTTCTATACATTTTTGTACGTTGAGTATGTTTAACACGAACTTAAAAAACAAAAAATTTTGTTTTTTATTAAATTATACCACTTTGCATAAAACAATAAAGGTCGTAAAACTTTCCAAATTTCAGACATAGACTCGTGCTCGTGAAATATATTCAAAACTTGAAATACATAAGATAAACTGCTTATCACGAAATAAGGAATTACGTCCACTGGTTTTAATATTGTAACGAATAACCCTTATCTTTACAAGCGATGATATGGATCTTCATAAGATCGATTAAACCCACCTGTGCACTGGTCAAATCTCTTTCGAAGACTTGTTTTTCCCAGTGCATGTGTAAAGATCTCACAGCTATAATTTCTTCCAGTAACCAGTCCGTTGAATTTATATGACGTCTGTTTGATTTTCTCAATCACAACAGGTTCTATTTCCAGTTTGTAAAAATGTAATAAAGGTATATATATATAAATGTATAGATAGAACCAAGCAGAAGATCTAATAAAACCTGCCATCATTTCTATTTCATCATTGAATTTTACAATTTGATGACGACTACACGGGCAGAAGAGCCCACTAAATATATTAGAAATTTATGGGTTCTGTTTTGGGGTCATCCTGTATAATAGGAAAAGTATAACTGCATTTTGCAAATAACTAAACAATTTTGAACTGCAAATAAATCACGACATTACCTTCCGCTTCTATCTCGCTTGTTAGTTTCAACGTGTAACATTCGACAATTCCAGAAGGAGGTTTCCATACCAATTGCATTTCGTTATGAGTTACATTTGGGAATGATAAATCGTACACATGCCCAGGGTCTGTGAAAATGCTTATTTTTAAATGTATTGAATTGGAATTGTGAGTTAAAAATTTCGCTTTCGATTCTCATGCCAATAGATCACCCGGACTATATTCAATAGAATAGACAATGCCCAACCGGAAATTAAGGTCCTTCCAAAAATAATTAACGTAACACACATTAACGTAATTACGGGTGCATGCCTAACACATTTTTCAGAGCAAAGAGGCAAAAACGCTCCATGACAATGCAGTGCTAAAATTTCATCATTAATTCCTAATTGTTTGTCGTTATTACCCTCACTTTTACCATGATTTTCAATTTTGCTATTCCACTATCATCTCACTCACTATAAAAACATTATATTGGTATATCGAAGGTTGTAAATCTCGTGTTCATGTATATCGAGTCAAACAGATTTACCCTCCTAAACATAATCTATTACTGTCAATAAAAATCTAGTAGTACAGAGCCATGTTCGGAGATTGGGAGCTGAAATTGCAATAAAATAAAATTATTGATTTTTTATCATCACTGTCCTTGATTTGCTCCAAACATAACAAAACAAAATTGTACAGTTATTTTAGGTAATTAATTTACTTGTTATGACGGACTTTTCCAACACCTCACTTTTTCTATCGTTCGAAACGCTCACGACTTTAACATTATATTCTGTGCCGGGTACTAATCCAGTAAATACGTGATGACAATCAAGAAGATTTGTGACAGAAGTATTTCCAGTTACACCGTTGGTGGGAGTGATTTCAGCTTCATAATAATCTCTATCGCCTTTTGAAGGCCTCCACCGAACTCGAAATGTTGATGCAGTGATTTCACTTGTTGGGAAATCTATCTCCGTCGGAGGTTGAGGTACTGAAAGGATGTTTTATCGGTAATAAATATGCTGTATAACGTTGAATTTATATTGCATAAACATAGTTGTGCGATTCTCTGTGTTACATCGGCATCTGTCGCCAATTAAATTAAACTGTGAAATAAAAGTATGCTCGTTCGCGGGACTCTGAATTCGGGTATACCACTTCATTCCTGCTATGTACGTACTAAAAATTAGGCTTGGATTTCAAACTCGAATTTAAAACCAGTCTTGTCACCGTGAACTTACGCCATTCGGTGAGCATTAGTTCTCAGAAATCAACCTACAGCAATCCTCATTGTTACCGATTTTTTTTTCTCAAAATAAGCCAAATTTATGATAAAACAACGTGGCCCAAGACGTAAAAAAATGAAACTTTCACAAAGTTAACTAGGAGACACTTATTTTCACTTTCAGTTGAAAATAAAATCGACAACACATCGTTCTGATTGAGACATCAAACTCTCGTTCTTGATTAAGCATTGATCAATCAAAACAAAATCTACAAGTACTATTCTAAATACAAAGGTGGCCCAAAAAAACGGAACCCGGAAAAATAACTTCCGTGAAAAGGGACTAAATTATTTGATTTTGTGTATATTTGAACTTCCGTTTGTGTATGATAGCACCCCAAAATTTCAGGAATCTAGGACGTTCTGCACAAAAGTTATGTTATCTCTAGAAAATGTTCCAAATCATCTCTTGAGAATAGAAGACAGACTTGTATCTGCTACGCGAAATTGTCAATCCAACGGCAAAAATATTGAATACCTGGATACATCACCTCCAAATTCTACAGAGAACGTTACACTCAGTGTAGTGCGGAGCATGGAAAGTCATATCCGTACATTGCATAGCTGGTTCATATTGGCTTGAGGACAATATGGAGCATTATGTAACGGTGCTGGGCATCATTCGGGCGACGTAGAAAGATTGATTGGATTTATTAGTGGTTCCAGCAAGACAGGGCCCTTCCACCCTTGACTGGATAAAAGATCGATTTCAGTAAACGTTGACCAGCAGGAAGTGGGACGTCGCGTGGGATCTTCATTCATTGGTCTTGGGAACATCAGATTTTTTAATCGGGGGTGGGGGTACTCAAAGGAAAATGTGTATCAGAACATTCTCCAAACAATTGGTGAACTCAAAACCGCAAAACACCGAAAAAAAAGCATGGAGGAGAGTGTCTGAGTGATTTGACAATCTTGCGCAAGGCTTACATGTATGTCTCTTATACCTTGGAGGGGATTTGAAACATATTCTAGATCAAACATAACTTTTGTGCAAAGCGTTCTCAAACATGAAACTTTCGGATAGCACCATGCACAAACAGAAGTTGAAGCATAAACAAAATCTAATGAATTTTTCCATTTTTGGAGAAGTTATTGTCAAATTTCAAATTTAAGTGTTCTGTTTTTTGTGGTCACCGTGGTAGGATAACATAGGATAGGATTTACATATTTATCCCGGGGGAGAGGAAAGCCGATAAGACGGCTTATCCAGTGGCGGCGCGTGGTCATTTTGACAACCGGGGCAAGCTACTGCGAGACCAAGTCACCCCCGTCTACGGAGACAGGATGAGCGCTGTAAGTTCACCCATCATTTTATGAGTATAAAAATCATTCCATCGGTAACAACCAATCGGCAAAAGCGACAATTTTTAACGATAAGAAAGTGTCTTTAAAACCGGTCCAAGTCAAGGGATTAATAAATATAGACATAGTTTATTTTGAAACCTCTTTCAAAAGGAAAGGCAATATTTACCCAGATAAATACAATGATATTAACAGAAACTTCGGGAAAGCAGACAAAACCTAAAATAAGGTTTAAAACGTTACTATGAAGAAAGGAATAGTAATGCAAAGATAAGGAAATGCGTCGTTCACTCATAGATATATATGCTGCTAGACTTCTACTGCTTGAACATATATGCAACACGCCTTAACCTTATTCATTATGAGGTCTAAGGCTAAGAAATGCGAAGCCGGAAAGAAGTGAGGAGCTCAAAAGGACTGTGGAAAATCGAAAGCAAATGGACTAAAGGTCCCTAACTGATTCAAATAGCGAAACAAGCGACAAAAACGAACGCTCGAAAACTATCAACTCTACAAGCAACCAACGAACGAGAAGGAATGCAGAATATGTCAACACGTTGTTGTAAGAAACGTCGGCATTGTGTCGTCATAATTTCGGGGCTAGCCCCGATCGGCCCCGATGATTTAGTAAAAGAAACAGAAAACAAACGAGACAAACGCGGCGAGTGAAAGATAAAAGAGAGAATACGATATACAATGAGCAACCGGGGCAAAATCGGCGTCGCCCCGTCGACGTTCGGCGAAGGCTTTGCGAGCGAAAAATGAACCATGTCGGGAGAATATGGCCAGTGTAGACAGTCTGTGCAACCGATACTGAGGTATTTTTCGAATATTTTTTATTATACCGAAAAAACAACCGGGGCATTGCCCCGGTTGGCCCTATTGACGCGCCGCCACTGGCCGCTTATCCATATGGCGAACCACGGCCTCTCGTCCGGTTACCATTCCAAGTCGGGTATGGGATTAGTTATATTATTTGTTTTCGGAAGCATGGACTTGGTGGTGGAGGAAGCCGTAACCGACCAGCGGTTACGTGAACCACCCAACGACGAGTCCAGCAATCCTCTCGCACATAACCATCTCTGCTTGGGATTCGAACCTGCGAACCCACGCATAGTAATTAGAGGTGCGGTGGCGAGCGTATTCCTAACGCTTAGCCCGTTGAGCCAGACCGCCGCGCCGTAGTTTTTGTTACCATGATACATACGTGTTGATTCGCTTGCTGAGGCACAAGTACTTTTCTTTTTATTTATGTCTACTAGGACAACTCCCACAGTATACCTTGTACCAGATGTTAATCTGTCAAATGTGTATGATGCCTCCTGTAGAGAATTGATCTAAAACAATAGAAGTATCGTTTTGCCAGCATCTGCTATCGAAGCAGGAAAAATAAACTGTATGTCGACATTTCCTGCTTACCAAAGACTTTGATTTGACTCCCTCTGGGGGGAAAATTCTAACTTGATATCGTTCAACATCACAATCTTGAGGAGGTTTCCATGAAACTACAAAACTGTTACATTTTACATCAGTAAATCCAAATCCACGTACTTGGTTTGGTCCTAAAAAAAAGTTACCAGCAAATACAACTATTGCCAAAATAGAAGCAGGTACATTTCTTATGAAGAAGGCGTATCTTACTGGATATAAAATCGTTAGATCAGACTCATTCACTTACTTTTTATGTGGTAAGGTCATTTCAGTTTGACTGGTCCCTGACCTAGGTATAAATGTCCCCAACATCCAAAAATTTATCGCAGTATATAAACAACCGAATACCCGCATATATATATGATATGGCTTCTGGACTTAAATGACATTACTTTTATATGCTGGGTTAATATGTGATCTCCGGGTATCGGCACTCAATATTGGTTGCTAGCAATCCTTTCGCCATATATTCGTTAATTTGACAAATTTTTGATCTCTAATACTTACTGTCTTCATCATCAGATACACTTATCGATATTGCATCCGTTTCTACAAAATATAATCCTTCATTTCTGCTCGGTTTAGCTGGGGCACTTCCCATCTCAAAAGTTGTATTTATTCACATCTGTACCTTGATTTGTACGTGGATTGAACCGTGTGTGTAGTTGAGTTTAGAATTCAAAAACAGGCAAAGAGGACGCAAATAGCGTTAAACAAAGTAAAACATACTACTTGAGCTGCATACAACATGATTGGCGAAGAGTATTGTTGAAATGCCGACAGAATAATCAAATCTATAAAATTTTAAACTCATTCTACTGACAGATTTTACGAAGATTCAAAATTTTATAATAACGCGTATAATAGTACAAGCAAACACGCTTCGCTTGAATCTTTTTATCTCATATATGTAACATTTGGTTATATATTTCGTATGGACAATCTGATAGTGCTTCGTCATTCGCATGTTTTATCTTTCTCATTCGCAAATAATAAGCTTGTTTTCTATAACTATACGGTTGTTACTAGTAAAACAATAACCAATGTGAAGCAACTGGTAGGCACTGTATCAGGAGAAATTGTACTAGCTGTACTCTCTTTCGAAAATCAACTTAACGAATTCCATTGCAGAACATTACAAATTATTATTCTCTGTGCGTCTATGACAATACTTGTCCTCTGTAATCTCTATCATTTCGTAAGTACAAAGCTATAAAGTTGTTCACAAACAATAGGCTCTGATGATCCAACAGTTTATCGACAAAGGTTCGCGGTAATTTGAAGCCACAATGTTGAGGAAGGGTCGCCAATTCAAAAACAATTATATATCGGGCATAACTGATCAATGTTTACAGTTTAATCTGCGACAATTACCAGTAAATCGGAAAATAAATCTTGAATATTTTTCTAAATTCTTAAACGTGTTAAAATTCTTAATTGAAATGAGCATTTGCCACAAAAAGTTACGGCTTTAATAATACATATATTGATAATACTTTGGTTTGTTCGCGCCATAACTTACGGTTGAAAGCCCCATTCGACTTTCTCTGTACCACCCTAAAAAAATCTTGAGATGGACAATCTTGCACACATAGAGCTGAAGGTGATATTATTAAAGTAAGATCGACCAAATTACTATTGTATTTTGTAATATATTTTCAAATGTAGCGCTAATTCGGAATGTTAATATATCGATGACATGGTTACTAGTGTTGATATTCCGAAATCTCGATTTGTAATATTCGCCAAGATTCATGATCCCATGATTAGCCTATTTTAGGTTTTTTAAAGTTTAGTTTAATTATTCTTATTATCAACAGTCCGGTAGTTATTCGAGTATTGAAGGGAGTATTTTAGTCATCATTAACGACCTTCTCCTTATCAAATGTGATCCATGTTTTCTAGGCTTCGTCGAAGTATATAGGCTAAGTCTCGAATTTTCCGGAAAATCATTTTATACAGAGTTTGGTTTCTTTCTTCTTTTTTTGTCGCGGCCATCTCAGTCAATTTTAATTGCATATATTGGGTGGTATGTTGTTACTATAACGATCCCAACCTTTCACCTTGTATTACATAAATTCAAACATTACAAACAATAACGATAGTGCGAAGTTTCGAGTATTGGAGTAGCGATGTGACTCATATTTAATCATTTGCGTATTCTTACTTACAGAAATGTAGTACGCGGACGCGATTTGTAACTTAAAATAGCAGTGATTCGTCTTGATTTTTTGCATAGACTCGACTCAAAACTCCAACTTGATCCAAATTGAGTGATGTAAAATCTCAGAATTCGAATCCGAGAGTGGGGAAGTTCATAATATGTACGGTACCAATGTCTAGGTAAAGACACGATCGAAGGTTTGTATGAACGTGCAGTGTTTTGGCGTAACTCTGTGACTACTTGCATTAAATATAAAGCATAAACCCAGTTAATGAGGTGAAAAAATCTGGGATTTTCGGATTTCTTCAATAATTTACTTGACGGCTGACTTGTTTTCACGTTTCATCACATTAATCCAGTTGCAAGCTTCGACGCCATCTCAGAGATATGGCCACGTCCTACCCGTATTTTAAAATGTTCTCATACTTATCCTGGTGAGAGAAAAGTCGATAATAAGGCCCAATCATATATGTGACTGCTTACCCCGCCCTTCCGGCTGGTTGCAGGTAACATTTCATGATCAGTTAACCAAGTACTCTATCTGTTTCAGATGCATGTGGTTGGCAAGGGTGGGGGGCGATCAGCGGTGATTAGGGGATTCGAAGATGCGAATCGCGCTGAGTACCGCTATCATCAGCGGTGCTATGCCACCATTACCAACTTTCATGACCTTTTGCTGATCTGATAAGGGACGCTCGCCCCAAAGTGTATGTTAGTAGGACAAATCACATTTACAGGGCATTGGATTGTCCATAAAGACAAGTGTACTCTGTTGCACATCTGAAGCAAGTTCTGGCGTCATTTGACAATGGTTACAGATGATAAGTATAAGTTTATTTCGACTCCACAATCAGTATAACATACGATAAAACAATTAGATAAAAACTGATGATAGAATTAGGGAGAGCAAACAGAACATTAAGTAAGGTTTATAGCGTACAGAATTTGAGTTTAAAGGTTTTGCCAAAAAGGCGGTACGTGTTCACCAGTATGTTAGTCGTTGTTAGAGACTAAGAAATTGTTCAATTCATTTTAGGAGATATTGATCATCAAATGCTTATCATGTTTAATTGATGGTTCGAGGATCCGAGAGGCAATTCTGTTTGAGACACAGATGCAAAAACACTCAAATTTGATCATATCACACTATCGACACTTTGGCCATCAAGTCAACTCCAAAGAAATACCCTACCTAAACATATATTACATGCTTACATAAAAGATAGAAAATCACATCAAATAACAATCGCCAACCTCGAATTAAAATTTAAATGGGAGAATCTAATATAGCTCGACTGCTCGAGTATACAATTATTAGTAATCTTGCAGAAAATATATTTTACTGTCCACAACCCTCATCATGAATACCCCCATTTAAACAATGAACCAAAGCCATGCACGTATAATAAGAAAGATCCTACATCAAGAAAATAATAAGAAGCATGCATATGCAAATGCAAGAATGTCCAAATGACGCGATGCTATGTTTGCCGCCAAATTTATGACAATAGATATTTTTTATATATCCAGACGTGTATTCAAAAAAACTGTACCTAATCCTGTAATCTTGTAAAAATACTTCTTTATCTTTCAGTGTCGCAAACAGAACTAGAATCCTAGCTAGCGTTTAGGTTAAGGTATGTCTAGTTGTTCACCATGCACTCGCTCAATAAGCATGTCTTATCACATATGGTGTACAAAGTATTGTTGTTGTTCATCATAATAACTTTATTGGAAGTTTATATCGCTAGCTTTTGGACGAATATAACATCTGTTCATTGGATCAGGGGCAAAAAGCAAAAGTGGTCAAGTATCAGACAACGTCAAAGCTCCTATGAACCCTATCTGAGTGATCCTGTTATAATTTCCCCAGAATTACAAGCTGAATTGAACAGACGGCTCCTGAATGCAACAGATGAAAAGGTTATAGTTTTTTATATTGTGTTGAATAAGGGTTATTTTGCAAATTATCATCATAATTAGCCTTTGAATCCGAGCTATATCAGTACCATTCGAATTCCTTTTTCAATACGACTTTAACAAATGTGATCGAAGTAATAATATTCTAATGCATACTTTTGAATGAAATTTGGTTCATGCCTGTTATGCTATGCCCCTCTCAGAAATATTGAAAAAATCATCAATATAGTATTCTGTATTTTTAATCAATTTATTACAGATAATACTCATCTACATATCAGGCTTCGGAGTGGAAGATCGAAAATGGGTCGACAAAAAGAAATGTGGAAACTGTGAAATAACTTATGATAGAAAATTGGTATTTGTGTTAATAATTTACTTGTCAGAGACAGAGCATAAAAAATACATATAAATATGTCATATGATAAGAACCTTTTATTATCTTTGCAGGTTGGCATGAGCTATGTTTGAAAGAAATCGAATATGGGATACATTTATATCAATTACTGAATTATAATAAATTATACGTTTTAGAGATATTTTTTCATTTTTATTCGAAAACTTCCCCACAGTACAGCAAGTTAAGCATCAAATCAAACATAGGTTGTGTTTCACCTCTAACAAAATATTACAGCATAACGTTTTTTTTTTTTTATTTATGCATTTTAAATATACATCCCTGTGAAAAAATAAAACTTGGCTAAACTCTGTATATATATTCCAGTTTGAATTTAAATTTGTTTTTGAATGTTTGCGCAGTATATAGCATAGCAATTTGAAAATGAATAGAAAATGAAACATCTTTATATATTTATATTGGCTAGGATTCTTAATGTTTCAATATTTTTTACATTGAATATTTCAGATAAACGATGAGAGGACAGGTGCTGTAGTTTTTCATTATGACAGACTAGGAGTAATGAATGTTCCGTGGAAGAGGTTTGCTTAACTCTACACAATTACCATGTCCTAGTTTTTTACACTTCTTAACTTATTTTACAACGACAGATTTGAAATGCCTGAGAAATGGATAAAAAAATGTTTACCAGCTGTATTTTTCGATAAATGCTCAAAAATGATCAATTGAAATTTTTAATGTTTTCATTGAATAGATTTTATATCTAATCATGGTTGATCTATATTCATTTCCAACTGGTAATCAACCAGCCCTTTGTTATGCTGAAAACAAGCATCTCTTCCTGATATTCATATCTAGTTGAATTACAGGAATCCACGTCATCTGTATGTGTTATGGACAATGGAATCTACTTTAACAATGTTAGCCATAGGAAATCTACAGGTTAAATTTATGGAGTATTTCAAATTCAATGCAACACTTACATACAGGTGAATTGTTCATCTTAAAAACTTAAAATTAGCTATTTACTCTTCATTTAATTTTGATTTGTGTTGTGTTTTCATTTGTAAGTACAGTGATAACTCGGTAGTCGAACATAATTCATTCAGGATTGGTGTTCGAGTACCGAAACTTTTTTGCCATGAGAATAATAGTAATTATTTTAATTCGTTTCTATGCATTCCAAAATACCCAAATTATTAATAAAATGTTTACCCCGACAACAGCAATTATTCGAAGGTGTACATAATAAATATTAAACATTATAAAGATATAAAAATTTGTGTATAAATATTTGTATCAGTTACTGTTCGTTTGAGCAAATTTCTGTGGGTTCTATGGGATTCGTTTTTGTGTGCGATGAGGCCATCAAGAATTAAACACCTTGTGGCGGTTCTGCTTTTGCATTAGTTGTGAATGTCTAAAAGTCTTGCCAAAAAATCTTTAAATGTAAACTTTTTGTTTACTTCTCAGAACCTTCACTGTAAATTATTTTTTGTGGTCTTAATACTGGAACCTCAGAGGAATAATTTTATTATGAAATTGAATGAATAAATTCACACCACTCTTTGATAATAAGAACTGCTAAGGGAGTCAGAAGCCAATTTCGTTATATTCCAATCATGTACTTGTTTCACAGGAGGGACTCCGATTTTCAGGCACAATATGGAAATTCTGATACAGTAGCATCAATCATTAAAACCAACAATCTAACGCTAAAGGAAATATACAAACGTAAAAAAAAAGTTGCTGTTGCCGTTGTTAGTGACTGTGATTACACTCCAGGTGCAGTTGTAAGGTTAAAACAATTAAAAGAATTGTCTGATTATGGATTTGGGTTGGAATGCTATGGCAGTTGCTTCGGGGGCAAAATTTTCACAGACAAACCATTTACCGGATTTAATGGATTCATTTCTGAATACAAATTCTATTTTTCATTTGAAAATTCATATCACTGCAGAGACTATATCACAGAAAAGTTTTTTGTCAATGGACTTAAATCTCTTGCAGTTCCTGTTGTTTGGGGTCCAAGGATTGAGGAATATATGGCAGTTTCTCCACCAGGATCTTTCATTCATGCAGATAGTTTTGCTTCATTGAAAGAACTTGCTGATTATATCAAGTACCTTGACAAAAATGAAACTGCATACTTGGAATATTTCAGGTTTGTTTTATGTTATATAACTGTGTTTGTCAGTTGTAATTTTTTGTGCAAAAATTAGCTTGAAAAATACCATGCGAACTCATTCAAAACTTTGCTCAAAAACAGTCTCATCTCTGAGCTTCGTTTTGGGGGGACATTGCAGTTAGTTAGGTTAGTTAGTTAGTTAGTGATATTCTAGAATTCGGCTTTGCAAATGATTTAACATATTGGGTGGATCTATTTTACAACAAAATCATCAAGTATTTGGTGTATAATTTGCCAACAATTTGATTTGACTCAAATAAAAAATGACTCAAAACAAATAACTACAACTTGAATCCTCTGAGGCATTCGCATTGAGTTTCTGAGGTGTTTTTTTTTTTGACTAGCTTGAGAGTCATATTAGGCATATTGATATCGAGTACTCAAAATATATCACTGGATAGATACAAAACATTTTCTAAAAAGTTTTGTTTGTAAAATTATGTAAACATTTAGAACAAATAATGTGATCGAAAATCTACCTGTCCCCATGTAAATGAAATCAATTTACCCTCCACTAATGTAATTTTTCTCAGATGGTTATATATGGATCCAAAAGATTTGCCGCAGTATGGAAAGACATCAGATTGGTGCCAGCTTTGTCGAGCTTTGCATGGGATTAATATTGATGAATTATACAACCCATTGTACAATGAGTCAAAGATACCTATATTCACAAATGGTGTTGCTCCTAGAACAGTGGATGACACAATAGATTGGTTGTATGGAAGAGAGTATACAGAATGCGTTGATCCTTTTTGGGATCTCAATTGGGATTCTCGCTTAATCTAGTTTCTCTGTTAGGGTTCAAATTCAGTCATTTTTGTAAAGGAACTAAAAGATTTAGTAGATTTATATATGCAAATTTATTTAATATTTTTTACAAGGCTGTGATGATTTATTGCGAATTGGAGATTTTGGAAAGTAGTAGTTCATGACAAAAAATGTTTTTAATTTGATTACTAAGTTCTCATGGAGCAACATCCTGTTTTTTATATTTTGGTGCATTATAAATTGCCTCATTTATTTATAAGATAATCCGAACTGAAATTATTTATGGTATTGAGAGAGTCTTCGTATGTACGGTGGATATTATGTTAAACCATAATCATGTTGATGATGTTATAATATCAACAAATTAGTATTTTTTAGTTTTCACACAATTTATGTAGTATGTTGCGGCTACCGAAGTGTTATCAGTTTCACATAAGGGCTAGGGATTTTATATTTATTTAGGGGGAGAGGAAAGCAGATGTGATGACTTATCCATATCCCTCAATTTTATGCCAGTTATGTAATTAGTTGATGATGGTAAAAGTGGTAAATGACCAGTCGTTACATTCCTGTGGTGGAAAGAAGTCCAGCAATCTTCTCGCACATAATCATTCCCACATAGGATTTGTACCTATGAACCATCACAGGGTAATCATAGGTGCAATGGCCAGCATTCTTCTAACGCTTATCACGCTGTGCCATATCGTCGAATCCATATATATATATATTGTTGGTTACAGGTTAATTTGCCATTGCACCATTTAAGAATAGTCTCCAGTGTTTTTCTCTGTGTTCTCATCTTGCCCGCCCCTAAAATTAACAGGATTGTGTTAAACATAACTAATATATGATTGAATATTTCACATATTGAATTTATTATAAATGGTTTATCGTTTCATGTTTTAAATGCTGTGTCTATGAATCAAAAAATTCACTTTACGTTTTCATGTCCTTCACTTTCTGTTACATAGTGTCTGCCTCTATTGTTAGGTAACAACAGTATTTCAAAGAAAAATCAGGCAAACAAACTTTAAAAAGCATGAAGTACACATTAATGATCACTTTTATTTAAAGAAAGCAATGACTTTTTCCTTGATAATTTGGCGCTGCGCAACAAAAAGTTTGGGGACTTCTGCTATACGATACAGCTATTTGTAATCGAGTCAAACTGGCTACTTGCCATGTTTTGCGTAGTGTTTGTCACCTACTTCAAGTATTGGTGCTCCCGAAGTATGTGCGCCAAGGTGGCCCACAACCTGAACATAGTATGTGTACCAGGTTAGAGTTTTCAGGTTGGGCGCCATCTGATGCATATACTTCTGGAGCGCCCAAGTATTTGATTTTGTTGTTACGAATCTAGTATTATTGCTCTTGTTTACTTTTCTAAAATAAAGTATGTTATTTACCCTTGTGTTGGCTTAGTTGTATGTAAACTTGAGCAGTGCTCCATAATCTAGTAACTATCAAGTTACCACCTATCCACCCCGCTACAATATTCAAATTTGTGAAAACGGCATACTGTTGTGCGGATCTCTGCTAAATACCAATCGCACAAGAATGTTTTGTTTGAGTGGCCTGGAAAATGGGCAAAACATATATAGGTTTATAACGAACGCTGTAACCGGCGCTCGTGCCCATACACAAGTGAAAACACATCACCACAATCCTACTAGAATAAATTAATGAACAGAGTACATGGTCACGAGAAAATAAATTTCACGGGCGAAGCTTATTACTTGTAACGTTGTAAATGATTTGATGCGTGAAAGTCGTGAAGAATACAAAGACATTTAGAAATTATGTGACGGTGCCTGTGCCGAATAGCAATAATAACAATTAATTGATTAGCTGTTTTTTGTCAACAAATAAAGCTAAAAAGTGAACAACAAAAAGCACGAAAACTAGTTTCGGGCGTTACTTCTTATGTTACAAAATTGGTTCGAATTCGTAGAAATTGGAGTGAATGTTTTTAGTCTTTGCAACGTCCAACATTCCGGATCTTCCACCTTGCTGTCTTGAGTAGGGATGTAAGTTTCAGAATATCGAAGCGATTCGACGCAATTTAAGAAAAAGGGGCTTGATTCTATTGAAAAAAAAAGAATAGACATCACAAGGCAATTGCACGACACAGCGGCGCTGACTTTTCCAAAGCCGTGGCACTCCCAGAGTCGTTATATTTCATATTGGTAGCAGCTTTCGAGGGACCAATGGTTTCGCTCAATTTTGTTCGACTACTTAAAATGTTACAAAGTTTCACAAATATTCTGATCGTTTTTTCAAATTATCTACATAATATTATTATAATAAAACATCATTGCTTCATAACTTATTAAAAACATGTCTGCGATGCTTCCCTCGTTATCATTCCCTTTTTAAAAACCATGACGCCTACGGACCTACGGTACTAATCAGCGTTTATCATTTGGATGAATTTTGAAGGTCAATTTTAGAAGAAACAATCGCTGTATATCCAGTAATATTTGCAAACATAATTGTATGTGAATAAATTTAGTAACTGAGTATACCTTTATGTAACAAAAAATAAATATCAGCTGCAATATTTTTGGTAGTTGATACATCCATTCAGTGTGTTTTTCTGGTAACTTTCTCAATTCTTTAAGCTCATTCTTGTTATTTTATCAAAATATGTATATACTATATTTCTTACAAATTTGGAGAGAGTTAACAATGATATGATGATATACTAAATAGAATCAGATTCGGAAATATTCGAATCGGAACATTGTGATTCGATTCGAAAAAAAAATATTCGAAACTTACATCCCTAGTCTTGAGCATCGATTGTTCCTATGATTTGTTTCTCTCGCATGAATTTACCGACCAATCCAGTGCCGCAGCTAATTTGATTATTTCTGTTTCCTCAAAGTCCCTTAGATTCCCTAGCACGCGGCCCTCAGATATTTCATTCACTGGCAGAACATTTTCGAGTTTTTCAGCTATTCCGACCGGGTACCTTTTTTCTAATCCCCATGTCGGGAATGATTTTTTGTTGAAATCATGGAATTTTAAAGTTTTATCTATAAACGTCGTGGTAGTGCTGATATGGGAATGACATCCTTTGATCGATACGATCACGTGTCGATAGGCCGTACATGGTATATACATGTCAAGACTGTCGTACGCGCGCTTTGTAAAAGAAAATTGAGCGATGATAAGTGGGAGATTGCGCGGAGCAATAAGAAAAAAAGAATTGAGAGGGGCATGGAGAATAAGTCGTCTTGTTCAGACTTGGACCGGCCGATGAAATGGATCGCGCTTTCCGTTTCAACTTTGCATCTTAATCTCGTGTTGAGCAACTCATTATCTGGTGAGACGTTTTGTGACATTGTTTCAGTACAAAACAAGGTGACAGCACATTGGTACCCGTAAACTGCATCCGGGACATTTCCACTTGCATACCTTTGCCCCCACCGACATTTCCACCCATCGATTTCAGAACCCGCATATAGATTGCACCTGCGGACATTTGCACCCATTATACATTGCATCCAGTTTGTGGGTGCAAATGTACGCAGTGGCGTATCTAGGGTGTGGCAGCCATGGCTCATGCCATGGGCGCCGTTTGAGCAGGGGCTCAAAGACTGCAAAAAAGTATTAATCATAAAATGTTTCAATAAAATAATTTTGATCTGGGATTAATTGGAACTCGTATTTTTACTCAAATAATAACTTGAAAGTACCTCAATTCAATAAGAGTCATAAGTTGTAAAACATCTATCAAGGGGGCGCATTTTTAGACTTTGCCATGGGCGCGATTCTACGTAGATACGCCACTGAATGTACGCGAGTGCAAATCTGCGGGAATGCAAATGCCCGTGGGTGCAAATGCCTGTGGGTGCAAATGTAAGTGTGTGCAAATATCCACCGGTGCAAATGTGCATGGGTGCAATCTGTATGTGGGTGCTAAAATTTGCGGGTGCAATCTTCCTGGGTGCAAATGCCCGTGGGTGCAAAAGTATGCGGATGCAAGAAAAAAAAAACTCTATTGTCAAGCGTGGGCCATGTTACAGCAGTGACGAAACGCAGATCTGAAGCAGTAACCAAAAAAAGAAACAATACATTGTTTTATTGTTTTTTGTGCTTTATATATCTTCCTTAAAATAGAAAAATGCCACCCATGCAAAATAACAACATGCTTATTAGAATAGTGACTCCCATGCTTTAATATATTTAGGGTAATTAAACTCGCAGTATTTTGATCACTCATAGATTTTCCCGACTGCGGCCCGCAAGACCTCCTCAAATTTGTTTGCGACTCTTCTTGGACCAGCCTGTTCTAGCAAATGGCAGTCTTGCATAACTGGCCTCCTGATGGGCAAATACCTCGAGTAATTTACACTCGTACATACCCATATTATCAGGCTTGACCATGGACATATTTTTCCGTCCCATCCCATCTCATGGAAATTGATGTCTGTCCCATCATATGAATGTTTCCCTGACCTTCGACCCCCGAAAAAATTTCAGGTTTTCTTTTTTCAAAATGATTTCGCTAGTTGGCGCCTATAAACTGGTTTATATGTTTCATACCATTGTTATAATTGAAAATGTTCAACAACCTGTCATTTAAAAGTACTGGTGGAAAAGTTTAGCCAAGTTTATTGCATATATTTCAAGACTAATTCTTGACTACTGCAATTAAACTAAATCTTCTAAGAGCCAAATTTGTCATTGATTCATACTTAAATTCTTGAAACACAGCAAATAACATGCAAAAATTAGGTAATGTTTACAACCATGGCTGAAAATCTGTCTGATTGACAAAAGTATCCGAGCAGCTGCTAAAACGTCATTCTGATCGCGAAATGTAATTTTTTAATAACTATCACTTACCGTACGTGATACCACGTTACCTCACTATCGTGTTTAAACCGCATCGCTGAAGACATATTGTTAAGTTTATTGACACACAAAACGTTATTCTTTATAAAAGTGTCTTATTTGTCTTACGTGTCCCAAGCGTCCTCTTGTCCCACGTGTCCCATGGGAAAAACGAATGTGTGCTGTCCCATCCCATCCCCCCCCCCCCCCCCCCCCAATGCAATAAAATTTCATGGTGTTTTGAAAAACAAGATCTTGCAATAAAAGTTATGCTAAATAAGACTACGAATTGAATCGTTACATATTACTAAAGCGTTATTAAACACTCACCGGCGAAGGTATCTATGTGGCATCTATTTCCTTTTGAGCAGAGGAAGTCATCAACTTTGTTATTCATAGTCAAACAATATGTGTAAACCTAGACGCAGTCAACTACGACTACGACTAGACATGCTTCGCCACACCTGGCGTGAAGCGCGCAGTAGCGGTATATCTGATTTATTCAGTTTTTCGTGAATTTGGCTGGTTCCGTTAGTTACGTCGAATAGATTGTAAACTTCTTACGCGACGAGGTGTTATCATTTGGTAGTGGGTCTTTACTAATTGTGGAATTTGTGTAGGCTTTTGTGGTTGTGATGATTGAACGTGACCACTCAAAATGGTTCACAAAAATTTTGGTAGGGCAAACGAATCTAGAAAAGTAGCAATAGATTCCACACAACAATCCTGATATTCAGGTCCGCCGAAGAGGGAATGGAAGTCAAATGAGCACCTTGAAAATTTGAAATCGATTCACTACAGAAAATGGAACTATATTTAGCTAAATCTTAATTTATATTGTAGAGTGAATTTAGCTATTACAGCAGATATTGTGCTTGTTTTAAATTAGTTGCCTTTATTTGTAATGTTGGTTGTTTCAGTGAGTACATTTAATCATATATAAATGCCGCACACACTATTGCGTAGATATCTTTCCGCAGCGAGTTTTAGAAGTATTAGGTGTAATTTTGAATTATTTTTTGTATCCCGCCCAATCGAGTAAAAAAATAGTAAGTTTTCAATGATAGTAGTTCTGAACTTCTTGTGACCAAAACCTAGCCTCATGGGTCCTACGACCTGTGCATGACTACGTATTTCAATTCTGTAAACAAGTCGGAATCGTAAATCTAGTAGGAACGCCTGATATTTCAACATGGTTTGCTTTCTTTATTGATTTAAAAAGAAATACCAAACAGTGGTCTTTAGTACCGAAAACTTGATTCTACAGTCTGTGTACGATATAGAGCAGTGGTCGGCAAACTATGTCAATAATCTAGTCTAAATAAGCCGAAGATGTAAATCTTGTACGGTATATTTTATCAAACGCACCATGATTCGATTGTGTCGATATGCAGAAGGTATTTTTTTAAATATCTGCTTTCGTGGACTATGGAGGTAGACTTTCCATATGCTGCCATAAATAGTGAAAATTGGTTCCTGCTTAGCAAAATTTCATTTGTGGGAATTTTTTTCTGATACCCAGAATAAGATGCAGTTCAATAACATGTTCGGCAAGTATCCGACATACCTGAGAGAATGTGCCTCTTATGATTTTACATGTGGTATCAACCAACTATTATCCGATCGATGCCTCAGTTTACAACAGAGTTTAGTTCGATGTGAAAAGTATCAATTTTTCAAATATCAAGAATTGGAGGTTATATATTATTGATGCCTAAATGACATGAGATCTACCGCCATATGCCGTTTACATAGGTGCAATCTGAGGTCTGGTTGATGTCAGGGTTGCGAATAAAGTTTCATATTCGTTGTCGATGGAAAATGCAGCGGCAGACTTCACGCTAAAGTATTAGATCGAAGTTGGTCTCGCGTTATAGTAGCGCCCGTTCTTTTCACACTTTACTATTGTTTTCATATATATATATATGCTGACCCCGCATCTAACTGCTTCTTACACACCCTTGAAATCCTGCTGAATCAAAGTTGTGAGTCTAATTTTTATTTGGTTCGTGTTCGCCAGTTGCACATGGCGGATATATTGCATAGTTCGTATCTACCGCGTTATATACCAATTGGCTTGTCAATTGACAACCTATCTGACCTAACAAAATATTTTTGATAAACATACTAGCCATTTATGTTTGACATTCATGTTTATTATTTTCCGATTTCAAGGTCATATGTTGTAATAAACAAAATTTTAGTATGTCCTTGGCAGCGATACGGCGTTCTATTAATAAAAAATGTTTTTCGATTGTGCTAATAAGTCTTCTGGCCATTGGACTGTGGTTTCTTGGCATCTGGGAAGGTAGATTGTCCATGTCTACCATTGAAGAAATTAGGAAAAAAGAAGAAGAGAAACCTACGCAAAACCCTGTGAATAAAACTACTCAGACAGAACTAGCAATTACTGAGAGAAAACCTAGTGAAAAAATTACACTTTCTCGTGCGGAACAAGAAGAATTGGAGATTCGACTTAAGAAAGCAACTGCTCAAAAGGTAAATAGTTTTACATCAACAAATATTGTATACGTCCAATAATGCTCTGAGTTACATTGAACTTAACTTTAATGTGCCGATTTAATATGTAATATCCTGCTGTATAACGTGGTAATAAAATATTATTACCGGACTTTATACAATAACGCATATTCAGGCCAAATTAGTTGGAAATGACATTTCGTACATTATAAGACAACCAATGATAAAATTGGCTTAGACGAGTTCGTATAAGTCTATTTATAAGCAAAATCTTGATATCACGGTTTTTCTTTGTTTCGGTCATTGCAATTATATTTCACGATAAAATAGTTCTGATTTACATCCAGCAATCATAGTGACCTTTCACACGAAAACTTAGCGACCACTAGGCTACGAAAGAAGCTTCTGAGTAATGAGTACGAATCCTCCAATACTTGTCTTATATTAGAATATGCAATTGTCTCATATTATTTCTTGACATAATGGGTCGTTTGCCGGTGGCGGATAAGACAAAATACTGAATAGGTTTTTACTATCGATACAGATAATACTTGTATGGATCAGCGGGTTTGGAGCAAAAGTTACAGCAACTGTTGATCCAAAAGTATGCGGCAACTGCATAGTCACACAAGATCGTAATTTGGTAAGAAATTAAGAAGTTATATCTGTCTGAATTGATGTGTAAATTTCAACTAGCAGTACGTAACTTTCCTCTCGCAAGTGATCAAATCCACGAGAAAATATATACGAAAGCACATAGCGTTACGATATACTTCTTTGCCATTAGAAAAACGAGTCTAGTTATATTGCCTTTCTCTTTGTTAGTAATTACAAGACATGACTATCTTCTGTTTTTTTTTTAGTTTTCAATAACCAATACGTTTACTTCGCACATTCAGGTAGCCTGTCAGACTATTACAAATAGGCTACACGGTAGCAACCCCCACATTTATGTATGACTGTTGCATATGCAGCAACATTCGTATGAAGCGTAATACTGTTACAACTCGGACATAACGTATTATTATGAGACTTATCCGTATTAATTTAAAAAAGAAAATGTGAAAGTTTTTTGCTCTATTATACAAGTGTAAACCGGATCCAATTCGTTAGTGTTCATTAACCACATAAATTTAAGTTTTATAAGAATGACATTTTATGAAATTCAACTTTATTAGAAAACTCCCAAATCTGCAATATAGGTGACAGTCCACGATGTATAATGTATAATAATTTCTGGCGATTTATTTCATATATATATATATATGCTTGATTTAGTTATAAATATTATTTTCGCCCGAGATTGTAAAGGTGCAATACTGTAGTGTATAGAGTAGACATTATAATTCATTTCCCGTATTATTCATGAATCATTCCGGTAAATCAGAATATTTTATTCATTGATGTCGATCTAAAATGTTGAATGAGCTAAAGAATTGCATAGAATCACATAATTTAACAGATATGTTGTTTTTTCTAAGACACATTTTTATGTATTTTGCTCCGAACAAAGCTCTGCACAAGCAGCCACTGATATGCACTTATTATGATGGAATGTAATGACTACAAAATCGTACCCTGACAATGAAGCACTGCTGAAAAAATTTGTAATTTTATCAAAACTTTCAACAAATAAAAACACATTTGTACATTGAGGAATCTTTGATATATCTATTTCGTACTTCAAACAAATGCTGGCATCCTCTACTGTCATGAGTGTCCTTCAACAATTTTCACATAGTAGCCGTACAACAGTGAGAAAATGATCCTCCGGAATTATATTAAATATGTATCTAACTATGAATTTTACAATAGATAGGAATATATATTCCTGGATAAAGTTTGGACATCATGTGTGGTCTAAAATCTGATTTACAATATACTCCAACATTGTATTATTTTAACACAGCTTAACGACGAGAAGACAGGAGCCATTGTTTTACATTTTGATGCTCTGAGGCCAGATAATGTGCCGCCTACTAGGTAAGCAAAGTGTGGCATTCTACGCTGATATGCGTGGCATTAAGACAATATTGAAACACGCGCAATTAATTGATTGTTGAGTACATGAAGTTTACCTTAATTCTGCGCATGTCTTCGTAATTTGTGAATTTTCAATAACACGCTTAATACTTGGACCTAAAAATCCGATTCATAAATATCCAAGCAATAAATTTTTGGCTTAGTCTCACATATATATAGTCTTAAAAACACATAAAGGTATATTCCAATAATAAGCTTCTGTTGCGCTTAGTTAGTTTTAGTTAGAATTGATCATAGCATTTTTCTACCCTAGTTGACTAGATTTGACATGACTTAACAGTTAGTCCATTTTTTTGATCAGGAATCCAAATCATTTATATTTGTTCTGGGTTATGGAATCAACGATTGTCGTAGGCCGTTCTTTCGAAAAAGTTATAAAATTCGGAGATGAGTTGCAATTCAATGGTAGTTATACCCACAGGTAAGTTGTTGAAGTTTAAGTCCTGTTTCATGAATTGATATAAAACAGGAGTGTTAAACAGGCGTCCCGCGTCCATTTGGTGTGACCCCTGTCAACACTTTTCCCCCATCAAGCATAAATTCCTACTCCGACAGTTTATGTTTAAAATGTTCCTCACATTTGTAAAAACACATATTGATTTTCTATTCTTGATGCTGCGCGAAGTCTTTCGCCGTTTAGCCCGGTGGCTTTTTTACTGTAAGGCTAAGCTATAGAACGCTTGTTTGCAACATTATATTGAGACGTAATAATCCTTTATTTTTTAATTCGTTGCGTACATGGAGAAACTAATTGTTCATTGTGGCCCAGCTAGATGGCTGAAGTTGGTTACATAGCCCATCGACAAAAAATGTTGCACACCCGTGGTATACGATATGTCATTTGATACAGTCGTAAAATATTTAAATAAAAAAATAGAGCACGACCGGTAGCAAACCTGGTGGCATCATGTGCTATTCACGCGTATTGAAATTAATTAAATTTTTCAACTTGGATTAAAATGTTGAATAATATTCGAGGATATCTGACGTTACAGAAACATATTTTTGTTGTGTGCAGCGAGACTCTTAGTTTACTAGGAATAGTTGTTTTCATTCTTGCTGGAGCATCGTTGTAGAAGTAGTTGGTCCGACAGAAACCCAATGGATTGCATAAGTTAGTGGTCAAAATTTGGTTAACTCGAGACCGCAAGCTGACATTCAATTGTTTATCTCTGTTTATACTATAACCAATATTGAGGTCAATCCGGGTACAGAACTTGGAGTCAGCACTAGCTGTAAACAAAATTATTTCAGTTTAATACCAGAACTTTGGGCGTAACAACTGATAGTTATTTCTGAGCATACGCAACGTGTCTTATCCCGCAACATTGCGTACTTTCAGTATGGTTTCGGTCTGCAGTTATTTTACCGATCATAAACGTAATATGACAATAAAATACCACATTCACATCATCAATACTAAGCTATCGCGTTGTTTGACAAAAAAACAAGAACCAATTTTAACCAATTATTTTTTAACGAAAACATGGCAAAATCTTACACTTCCATTGTATTCTTTTCATTAAGGAGAGATGCAGATATTTATTCTCCCTACGGTAATGTACAATCGATGTCTGAAACTATATTGAAAGGAAACAAAATGACTCCGAAAGAATTACTTGGAATGAAGACAAAATTGGGAGTTGCAATTGTGTCAAATTGTGCGAGTACAGTGGGTGCAAAAAAGCGAGTAACAATGCTTAAGGAACTGATTTCACACGGTGTTTTGGATGGATATGGAGGTTGTTTGGGAGGTAGAAACTTTGCAAGTGGTCATCGTCGTGATTATAGACATCATGAGGAAGTCAAAAAGTACAAATTTTATTTTTCGTTTGAGAACTCTTATCATTGCAAAGGTTACATTACTGAAAAGTTTTTCGATAATGCACTTTCCGGATTTGCAGTTCCTGTTGTCTGGGGAGCTGCGAAGGAAGAATATGCAGCTATCGCCCCGCCAGGCTCTTTTATTCACGCGGAAGATTTCACTTCTATGAAAGAGCTTGCTGATTATATCAAGCATCTTGATCAAAATGATGAAGAATATTTAGAATACTTAAAGTAAGTATTCATATTTTTCATTGTTCTCGTTTTTGAAACTTGTTATTTTGTGTCCCACTTAGTTGACAAATAGAGAGTTTGTAAACACTGACAACCGTGCTTCTATCATTCCCGGTCGAGGTACGTGTTTTTTTATTAGTATAGAAATATAAAGTTCTTTGCAAAATAGCATTTCGTGCTGAACGTTAGAATATATATCACTTAAATACAATGCTTCTCTGAAAAGCTATAATTTACATACTGTTAGTGTAACCTTTTTTAGACTACATAAAAAAAATGCGCAATATCTCTGATTATGTAGATTTCACTCATACTCAGCCTTTCCTGTAGTCATATTGATTTGAACTGCTTCAGGGCTCAGAGATATCGGCTTTTACTGGCCTGTTTTGTACGGTTTGAGTTTCAGTATATATTGGCTTTTCACAGATCGCCGATGACACCTCCTTCCCTTTTGACATCTCCGTGAACTTGTTTTGGAAAATTCTTATAAACAAAAAACGATGTCCCAATCTTGTTAAGTTCAAACCCCGGGGTGAAGTTGACTGAGGTCAAGTCACGTACAGTTATCTTTAAGAATTGAGAACTAATTTCAAAATCATAAGAAATTTTATAGAATTCATGTATCTTTCTATAGCTATCGGCCTCTCCTAAAGTTTAATTTTCTTTATCTACAGATGGATAACGATGAAACCAAGCGATCTACCCGAGTATGGACGTCAAACTGGATGGTGTCAGATATGTCGAGCTTTACATGGAATCAATGTTGACGATATTTACAATCCAAGTTACGATCCAGAAAACCCAGAACGACCTTTATTCACTGACGGTGTTGCGAAGCGTATGGTTAAACCTAGTCTCACTTCATGGTTTATCGAAAGTGAAGATCCTAAATGCTTTCAAGATCTGAATTGAAACGATCGTTTTAAAAAGATGTCAGTGCAACTGCGAATCTGATGTTTTAAAACATGCATTATCTTTTGCTTCAATTGCTTGAATATGCAACGAAACTATATATACAAGGCTGTATATTTCAATTATTCTGATAAAATATCAGCCATCGAAATTTTGCACGAACAAGCCGGAGATCCGTTGTATACCCTAGGGCCTAGACTAGAGAATCATGTCGATACAACCAAGAGTAATCAAAATATCAAAAACGAATAAAACTTGACTTGAGTTGGAGAACTTATATTTATGACCTGATGACAAGTCGTAGTCGCATAAAAGGACAAACGCTACTGAATTGTGTAATTTGGGCTTCGATTGCATAACTTCTGAACTATCATCTAAATTGAAATTTTCGAACTGTGAGTCTACTTACTTGATGCACTAAAATTTGAACTAAAATGTTTAGTTTTATTACATCACTACACATATACTTACGTAATTATACTTTATTTTCGTACCATGTATTAAAGAATTCAATATATATGCGGTGTATGGTCACAACAAAGAAAGTCTTATAATCATTCTAATTAAAATTCAATTTTATAAAAAAAAATTCTAATTTGTATACAAGTATACAGACAGACGTTTAGGACCAGACGTTTCGATCAACGCAGGCTGGAGTGCGAAGTACGTTTATCCATATTACGCTATGATGGGCGTCAAATTAGATAGGAATAGATACGGGTTGAGAAATTGCGATAGTACTTCTATTGAATCTCGAGGCCTGATATCTTCATAAACACCCTCACGTATGACTTTCGGTACAATTCTTCGAATATTCCCATGAATTTTGCTGACATCGCGTTGCCATATATATTAGTCATCTGACTTTAGTATCCATGCATTCGAGGGTTGATTTCTTGGTTAAGTTTTTCACGCAATAGTTAGTGATGCATCGCTAAATTAGCGCTTGGAGTTTTGTAACAATTGTGACCTCGATGACAAAACATCTTGTCTGACATTGCGTTGACATATTAGTCATCTGACTCCAGTATCCATGCATTCGAGCGTTGCTCTCTTGATTAAGTTATCACGCCGTATGCTGTATCAATGAGCGCTTGAAATTTTGGTTACATTATCTTTGCACCCAGCACATTTTTACCTGTATACCTTTGCTCTCACGGGCATTTTCACCAATTGAACAATTCTACCCATGCGTTTTCACACGCAAACTTTAACATCCACATACAGATCGCACCCATGAACATTTGCACCCATTGACATTTGCACCCCGTACATTTGCGCACCCATGGACATGTGCACCCGCAGAAATTTGCACCCACGTGTCGGCGAGTGCAAAAGTATACAGGTACAAATGTCCTGGGTGCAGTTTACAAATGAATGTAGTTGGGTGCGATTGTGTTGTCACCAAAGTTTTGGTACATTTCTTACCCCGCTATCAAAACATTTTGTTGGTTTTCAACTTCGGCCAAGAATAATTGAGTTAGGTCAAAGGATATATACCATTCCTCATTCAATTTGAAAAATGCAAAAATAATTTCTTGAAAGCACTTTCCAAATGTCTTCGCTTCAAAATACATGATGCTCAAAATTAAGCACTCTGAAAATTTAAAGCATTTGCTGCCATTTTAAAAATCCTATAAAACCAAGGTGGCCAACCTGCTTTCGGCCGCGATCGACTAAAATCTTCAAAATATCTCGCGATCGATTCCTCAAAAAACCTTGAAAATTATCCATGTATTATCTAGACCAGGTGTGTGCAACTTGCGGCCCGCGGGTCAAATGAGGCCCACAAGAAAATTGTGCCGCCCGCGGAGAAGCGCCATATTTTAATAGTGTGCGGCCCGCGAAACGAATTTTTAATTTAATATTTAATTTTTAATTAGCATGTGCGAGTAACTCCAATTCCATTGCATTGCAATGCCTATATCTGAGCTTGTGCCTCAGTGCAAAGCAAACAACGCATGTCACAAAATCAATAACCAAAATTTTGTTACTGCAACTACCAGAAAGTCTATGTTAAATAAAGGCGCGGCCCGCGGTTTCACCCAGTTATTTGTATCTGGCCGTCCTGTATTAAAGGCTGCACACCCCTGATCTAAACAGCAAATAATGAATATTCTCAAACCGTTAATGTTACATGACTGCTCAAACTTCAGTATCCAATTCATAATTTTCTTCAAGTCCGATTCTATGCTCGCTTGGAATTAGAAAAAATTGGGCATTCTATTGCCACTGCTACCGTTGCGAATAAAATTTATCACACGACTCGTGGAGTGAATCGATGACTTTCGCGCAGTGCAGAAATTGTTGTAGGATCGTTTGCCAGTCGAGACATGCGATATTCTGCAAGTTCATTTCTAAAACTTGGCAGTAGTGAAACTTGTATTTGTTACGTAATGATATGCTCTATCGGTAGGGTTACCATATTTTTTTGACTAAAAAGCGGGACGCCTCCTGTAATTTTACAGTTCCCGATTTCACTACATAGGCCTACATTTAAAGCCATCCCGGCGGTCTTCATTGACCATATTGTCATCGAGAGTTCATGCGCATATACTCTGTCTAAATATCGGGTTCAGTTCGAAAAAAGAAAGGAATGAATATAGTCTGCTGTTTTCAAGAATTGGGAATTTACTTATTCGCCCAAGCGTGCTTTTCTGTAGATAACACCTTCAAAAAGACGTTGTTCAATGTTACATTCAGGTGAACGTCCGAACAGGACCAATTAGAATTGATTTACATGTGAAACAATGTTAGCGGGAAACAACGAAACAAACAAAATAACGCATTCACCTACATAGGTATAGGCTAGCTTTGTGCTACACAGCAACAACAGTAACAAGAACATGTTCGTGTATTATGCTGGATGACTGAACGCCAAGGCGGGACGTTTGGCTGACTCGTCGGGACGGCGGGACAAGACGCTAAAAAGCGAGACTGTCCCGCCTAAAGCGGGACGTATGGTAAGCCTATCTATCGGGCGTGTCCATACCCAATTACTGAATGTGTACGAGTATATCGTATTTTGCGCATGTACGGTACTATATTCTTCCTGTTTTAAAACACACAACAGGCGCTGTATGAAACTCGTTCAAGACAATTTTTGGGGTATGTTATTGAATTTACTCAACATCAGACGCGATCGACTATTCGAGACGTGGCGATCGACCGGTCGATCGCGATCGACGTGTTGGCCACCCCTGCGTATAAACCGTGAAATAAAGCTTATAAAGTTAATACGGCGAAAATGGACTACCAAAATATTACCAAATTTACACGATTGGCGTGGGATAACAAGTGATATTCTTGTTCAGCGCAACATTGTGCAATTTTTGAACTAATCTTACAGGCGAGTCCGCGTTTGTAGGGTATTTGTTCTTCTCTCTGAAAATGTGATTTTATAGAGGGGATCGATTGTACGTTTAGTTACACATAGGGATGGCGGAATCGAGTCCGGATTCGATTACAGAATCGATTCTTCGCGGAATCGACTAGAATCGATTCCGATGCACTGGAATCGATTCTCGAGTTTGAACCTTGGATTGCAAACAATGTGTAATGTTTTATGGCAATTCCTTCCCATATATGTATAAACTGCTTCACTGCTATGTTGAGTAGTAGTTGAGTAGTATACAATGTTGATATCTTGGAGCAAATGATTCCGGTATTCACATGAGGTGACAATCATACAATTGGGACACGAATTATTTTGACGCGTAACCACAAAGTCCGTTATCTAATCATTCAACATTTTCAATTCCAAATAGCAAATCAAGTCTCAACGCCGAAGCAATTCACAACGGTGGTGTCCATAAGAATATGTAATGAAGTTGCCTTGACTGAGGCTGCTGCTGTTGACCACCCAAATTTTTGACAAATGACCCTCAATGATTTCGCTCTCGATGTCTTTGTTACAGTATATATAAAATAAGTTAAACGAAGTCACACTTTATTGATTAGAAAGATAATGCACTCCGAATAAATTTTTGGACAAATAATATATATTCATAACCACGCGATTCATTGAATTGTTTTAAAAGCGGATTTCTTATATATATATCCTCTCGTTATTCGGATACAAGGGGGAGAAAAAGGTCCGGCACTACTTTGACAATGATTTGAACCACACTTCGTGATATCTCTCACCAATTCATGCTACGAATTGTTTTTTTGCAATACATATAAAACTTTTGATATGTCAAGAGTATGTATTTCACACAAATATTCACTTAACTCAATTCAGGATATATATATAAACTTTGAAAGCTTTTATGCCTTCATCACAAATGTTAATAAACTCGTGATGAATAAGCTTTAGTTGAGCAAATGAGCAAACATATATATGCTTGAAGTAAAATTAGCATCAGAAATGCAACAGAATTTTCCACGGCGTAACTATAGGTTTTATATCCGTGCCAATTGCATACCGCCATAATAATGAAAAGATGCCGAATTTCGTTTTACTGCATGGTTTCGTTTAATTTTATGAACATTTCTCTTTTCTGGTTATTTATTTCAAAGCATAATAAAACAGTCAAATAATATTCCTTCAGTTATGATTTTGAAACGTAGTATCATATAATATGATAGAATGAAGAATGTCGTGATCGATATTCCTTACTGTAACTTTTCTAAAATTTTGATTTCGAAAGGCGTTAATTTCAGAGTGATTTTTATTTTCTGAATTATATTCTGCCGTTTTTTTTTTTGCGAAAACCTAAAGCTTTACAAATGTAAAGTACACCTAGAAAATGTGCAGATATATAACGGTACATAGAAGAGAATTGTAAACAAAGCTGTAGAAATCATGTAGTATCTCTGGAAACGTCATTTCCTATCCCGTCTGATATCTATATGGAATGACTTACATCTGACGATATATTTCTAAAAATCTTGCTGGAAGAAGGTTGTATAAACTGCATTATGTTGACATGCAGCCTATTTCTAACAGCGTGCATTACTGTTGGTTATAGATGTCCATAGCCATCCAACCTCGTTCATTTATGACAAATTTGGTTTGACACCAAAAGAGAATGTAGACTGGTCTCAGGCAAGTATTTATGAAAGTATTTGATGTATGAAGTATACATGCTAAACTAATGGAATACTTCAATAAGTGATTATGAGAACACTTGCCCTTCGAAATGGGGTGCGGCAATTTTGGGAAACTCTTTAATACCCATTTGCAAATAAGATCAAATTATATTTAACTTTTCTTGATAGATACCTTCTTCAGTCTGGTATCTGTCATCTAAATCTCCAGATGGAATGTTTTCGAGAGTAGTCAATTGTCAAGCTATAAAAAAAATCACAAATGACCTCCAAGTCATTTCGACCCGGCGTACTGGTATCTAAGATTGCACCACAATTTTCAGATTGGTTCAACGTTTCTTTTCTACAAAAACTCTTTGCAATTCCGAGGATTTTTTTCGTTTTAAATATGTCATCCAAAAAAAGAACTTGGTCTGATGACTATTTGCAGTATGGCTTCACCTGCTCAGCTGAACGTGACTCCAATGCGAGAATGGCGTGAGAACTGCCCCGTTTGAATCGAAGCCACGTATCTCTCAATTGGTTACCGAGAAACAGCAGCAGAAATATCACTAATAAATCTAATGAATAATTGAAGTTTACTGTTTGTTGCAATTTATTCTGCTACAACCAATGGAGCAACCAGTTTTTTTTTTTCAGTGATGGATACTCTCTTGACAAAGCATTTCCTTCAAATTTAACTTGCAAAAACAACCTATGCTCAACAGTATAAGGCAACGAATTCATATTTTATCAATTGAAGGCGGTCAAATTTTCTATAAATTTGTACAAAATCGACTTACCCTCAATAAGTTCAGGTTGCGCTCTTAGTTCAAATATTTTTTTTCGACAGAAGCTTGCGGAATAGCATAGGGGTTCGGCAGGCTCACAAAGTTAAAGAACCACTGACTTGAGCGGTCCTCGAAAATTCCTTCGTCGTGGAAATTTTGTGGAAACGTTAGGCGCTACGTTCTAAACAATTATATAGAATCAATTTCCCCAAATACATTTTCCGTAATACCCCGCCTTTGAAATAGAGTGAAAGAGAGATTGATAGAGAGATCCGATAGTAAATAAAGCAAGTATTCCTAACATTGTCTATCAAACAAACAGTGAAATTGGTGAATATTTTTTTGTTATGCGTCTGAATATTTATTTGCTATATCGTTCTATAATAGGATGAGTGAATATAATATGAGTCAAACAATCCAATTTTCGGCCGTGGCATTGAGAAAAATTTAGAGGCGATGTCACATTCAAACCAATCAAAGTATTTCTGACGCCAAGAAGATCTTCCGCTGTTGGATATGGTGTTGGTGTAAACACTCCGATCCATCGAATCCCTGAAAAATTTGAGACTATGTTGTAATTAACGTTGTATTATGAAAATAATTACTATAGGGAATATTGGTAAGAACTGATCAAAACTAAGTACACCAAGGTATCCGTTTTGCTATCAAATTTTACACATTTTGGATTTTATTTCATTTTATTAGATTATGACATCTGTTATTTTGTGCGTGTCTGATTGCGCTGGAAACACAATGCTACTATGTTTTTTTGTCTCATTTAACGCATTTGATGTTTCTCGAAACGGGGACTTAAAATATAAGATTTCTACTCCCGTTTACTTTCACGCAAAGTAAAAACTAATTTGTTCCCTGCAATTGTTACACTTCAAAAATTACCTTCAAATTTATTACAATCAACAGCAAGAATATATGTTAAATACCGTAATCTGATGCAAATAAGATCTTTGTGTTGCTATTCGCATGAGATTCAACTGTAAGAATAAACACATAAGTTATACAAATGTTTGTGTTACAAGTGGTCACAATAGAAAGTAATGTACAAATATTGAATAAATCAGATCATAAAATAGAATTTCCATTAGATTTCTTCCGTTTACTAATGGGTTACTTGGTATATTTTATACAACAGTATCGCGTATCGCTTTTTTGTTATAGCGATAGTTTGGAACAGTGCTTAGTTTGTTTTATTAAAAAGGCATAAGTTTCGGTATTTTGTCAAATCTATGACTTTCTATTTTTTAAAACTTTTCCTTAAAGATGCTAAGCTATTATAGAATATCACAAAAACTGTGTTGACGTGCAATATATAGTAAAACTTTTTCAAGATATTTTCTTCAAGATATATTATCGCATGATGTTTGCAAATTCTCCTTGTAGAACTTAGGTTCATTTGTGCATATACTGTGTCCATGTCTATTTGATTTCGATTGAAAAAGCCTTGGCATCGAAATTTCTAGACCTTTTCTGAAAAAGTTCATACGCGCAAACCTAAATTTTTCCAACCAAGAGTTAGTTATCGTAAAATAACATCCTCACGTAAGCTCGTTTCGGCAATTGAGCAAACGTTCGTTGTTGCAAAACTATATTGGCGAAAAAATCCGGGTTGACAGTAGTTTTATTTTGGGAAATGTAATTCGTGCTCGCGAAACCATATTCTCCCTTTTCGCATAAAGCTATATTTTCAAAATTTGGCAGCTACATTTGCCCACGGCCTGCGAACCTGGATTTCGCGAGCCTATCAGTAATGTATTGTGTACATGCATCTAAAATACATTGACTGTTTATGTAAATCATTCGAATGACTCTCTATATATATATATACATATGCTATATTTTGCTGCAGTTGGGCCACTCGTTTTCTGTGGCATATAATGAGCTACTCGCAGCGTTATTTTTAGCGGTTTTTAATAAAAAATGGTATGACAAAATGTCACGCAAGTAATACAGTTCGTTTAATATAGTCAAGTTGGTGCCCAATCGTGGCCGGAGTGGTTTCAATTACATATTCGACCTTTGACCCCCGAATAAATAAAAATTGTTCTGTTGAAGCTGTACTGAAAATTCTAGTATTCTCAAATATATTTCAATGAAACCCAACTAAAAATAGTATTATAATCAAAATTCATTGAATAGTTTTCGATAAAATTGGGTTCAACATTTTTTTTATTCATCGTTTTTTGGTCATAACTTTTGATATAATTAAAACAAACCAAAAATGTTGTTACCATTCAATTGGTATTTGAGAGACGCACTCAACGATATATTACTTAATGATTGGATAGCTAGAAAAAAAAATTTGAAATTTGCAAATGAATGGGGTTGGGAAACTTATCATCGCATATCGAATTAAGTTACTAGGGTTTCATTGATTATAATTTAATTTTCCGCCTTTGATGTTCGTTTTTTTGTTGTTGTTGTATTCGAAAATATATTTGAATATAACAAGTGCATTGCACGTGCTTTTCATCAACTTTAGGCAAAAAACTCAAAATATCGTTTCAAGATGGATGGTGATATTATCGAAAACGCAATTTTTGCCGTAATTATTAGGTTTTCTAGCTATAATATAATGTATTAGCAATTAAAAGTATTTATATGAGCAGGTTAAAACTAAACCTAGTATTTTGGTACTTCACATCAATAAATCGAACCTTCGCCTGATTAATTAACCATTTTTTAAACAGATATAGTTACCATTTCGGGAACGGGAAGAAGAATCGGAGATGTATGTATGTATTCCCGCAGAATTAAATCCAATAGCCCGGTCTAGGAAGGCAATTAACTTTTCCTTTCCCATTGAATGCAAAGTTTCGTGTTCTGATGACCGTGAGTTTGCTTAATCGTATGATTCAAACTGGAGAACAAAGGGAATGAAATTGGAAAACGAAATACCTTGGTACCGGCATGAGCGACTTAGATTTGCGGTATAGAAAGTTGTCCTAATTCCTACATTTCCACGGGTCCCAATAACAAGTTGTATCCCATTTGTTAATTAGGAATACAGCCGCTGAAAGGTCACAGAGCTTTCAAATATGTCACAGTTTGTTAGAATATATTTTAGGGCTAATTAGCTCCTTGTAATCTGAATTTCAACTGTGCAGCATTCAATTTCCGATTCTCGGGTAATGTATTTTTCCGAGTGGGATTCGTCCAAAATAGCCACTGAAAATATATGGAACGATCATCTCTCGTTTTGTGTTGTCTCGCCGCGGGATCATATGATCGCCGCCATCTTGGCATCTATGCTGCCAAAGTTTCTTCGTGTTGTATATGGTTTTGGCCAGTTTTTGTCTATTTTACTACCCAGTGCGCCGCATATGAAAGTATATGAGACACTTTGTGGGTATTCTAATACAATTGTATTCGAGTTGTATTTTTAGAGCCTGATGTGGATCTCGTTCTTGAAAAAATTTGGTTGTTTAGGTTTAGGCGATTGCACAATAAATATAAGTGGAAACAATTGATTTTGCCTGGTATCTCAAAATGCCAGTGGCGGCGCGTCAATAGGGCCGGTTGTTTTTTCGGTATAATAAAAAATATTCGAAAAATACCTCAATATCGGTTGCAGAGACTGTCTACACTAGCCATATTCTCTCGACATGGTTCATTTTGCGCTCGCAAAGCATTCGCCGAACGTCGACGGGGCGACGCCGATTTTGCCCCGGTTGCTCATTGTATATCGTATTCTCTCTTTTATCTTCCACTCGCCGCGTTTGTCTCGTTTGTTTTCTGTTTCTTTTACTAAATCATCGGGGCCGATCGGGGCTAGCCCCGAAATTATGACGACACAATGCCGACGTTTCTTACAACAACGTGTTGACATATTCACGCATTCCTTCTCGTTCGTTGGTTGCTTGAAGAGTTGATAGTTTCCTCGCCTTCGTTTTTGTCGCTTGTTTCGCTATTTGAATCAGTTAGAGACCTTTAGTTCATTTGCTTTCGATTTTCCACATTCCTTTTGAGCTCCTCACTTCTTTCCGGCTTCGCATTTCTTAGCCTTAGACCTCATAATGAATAAGGTTGATGCACTACTTCGCACTCCGTTTTCGCAGCTGCCGCTGGAACAAAAATTAGAGGTACAACGTCTTGGGCCTTATCAACCAAAAAATTGTTCACTGGAACAATCCCATGACGGAGGAAAGCGTCGGCGTACATTCTGCGCAGAAACTTGGTATAAAAAACACGAATGGTTGTGTTACAGCGAGGACAAAAATGCACTTTTTTGCTTTTATTGCCTACTTTTTGCTACCGCCCGTGACTCACGTTGGTGTAAATTTGGTTTTAGAGATCTTAAACATCTTTCCGAGCGTGCCAGGGATCATCAATCTTCTATGGAGCATCTGGACAATGCAGTAAAATACCGAACATTCGGAAATGTTAATATTGCAGCACAGTTGGATGAAGGACGCGCGGTTTCTATTCGTCGGCACAACCAAAACGTCGAGAAAAACCGCCATGTTCTCGGTCGATTGATAGATGTTTTGAAGTTCATTGGTTGTCACGAGCTGTCCCTCCGTGGGCACGATGAACGGGCTGGCTCTTCTAATAGAGGGGTATTTTTGTATATGGTGGAATACACCGCATCCCTAGATACAGTATTGAGAGATCATCTTGATGCCGCAACTGTTTCGAAAGGGACATCTAAGGATATCCAAAATGATTTGCTCGACTCAATGTAAAAAATTTATTTACAACATTTGGCTCTGGAAATTGAGAGTTGCCAGTTCCTTTCGATTCAGTCTGACGAGACAACTTACACCACGTGCGTTTCCCAACTGGCTGTGATTTCTCGGTTTGTGAAAGATGGTAAACCTACCGAGAGATTTCACAGCTTTGTACCAATCGTTGATCGCACGGCTTGCGGGATATCGGCTGTACTGAAAGAAGTGTTACAGCCTTACAACGCGAAGTCAAAACTGTTTTTATAACTGTTTCATGAAGTATATGACTAATTGCCTCTGATCAGTAACTTGTAGAATTATCACATTGTTCACGGTAGGGATCGCAAACTGGGGATCGCTATATCCAGCAAAGAAGCGAGCAACGAATTTTGTGGGTCGCAAAGAGTACACCAATTTGATACAAGGTACTATATTTATAGTACTTTTTCGGACTTCTGCTCCAAAACACAATTATTAAAACTTTTACAAAATCTAAATCTTACAACTTCGATAGAATGCACAGGATCAAATAGGCGGAATAACAATATCTGATTGCATCGAACTATTTAGCATTTTAAACGTGAACGTGGGTTTTACTCTTTTGGACTTTTGATTCGAAAGACAATTATTAAAAGTTGTGAAAATATAAATCTTACAATTTCGAGGGAAAAACACGATCAAATAAGTGGCATAACAATGCCGACTTTAATCGCAAGACCCGAGACGCGGTGCGCTCGCATCTAATTGTTTAGCATTTAAACAAAAACAGTGGTATGCAGGAATAAAATAGGCGTCGAAAGTCAAATAAAATGTTTAAATGATATTTACTTGTATTATTCCTCGTTCGTTACTTTGTGTCTTTGAATCTTCAACCTTTAATTGTTCTGCATCTGAAAAAAGTTAAGATATTGTTAAATAAACTATCGCAGAATTCTCTTGCATAATAAATGAACAGTGGGGGCTCTATCTGATCTTTTGCACAAAGCTCTCGCCACGTTTTAGAATGACATATTAGTAATTATTCATTTGGGATTAGGAATGATTAAGAATTTCTAGCGCAATCTGCATTCCTAACTTCAACTGGATAATTACTAATTCTCTTATGTTGAACGTCGGTAGGGTCTTTGTACAAAGATCCAATCTATACACGGCGATCCGGTAGTATTCGTACCAAGATGGCGCACAACCTGAACCCTAACCAGGTTCACATACTGTGTTCAGGTTGTGCGCCATCTTGGTACGAATACTATGGGAGCACCCTATACACAGTAAAATATGAAAAAGAAACGGCTACGGCGAATCTCTAATAAACCATTGATTTTGCGCTACATTTGCGAAAGTTATGCATTGCATTCATGTAAATCTTGCCGTGTTGAATGCAGCTTACGTAGTGACGTAGATCAGTATATTACGTTTAAGTTTTGTAATATGATAAGTCTGTGTATTGCCATATAGCTTTTAAGTTCGACCAGTTGTGAGAAAGCGATGGAACCCGATGTTAGTGAGTTCGATACAAAAGAGAATCATCCATCAATCTAGACTTCTGTATTTGGTTAATAATTCCAATTCGTATAGGCCCGAAAACCTCTAATTTACCACTTGTACAATAGAAAAATGAAAGCAATAGAATAGCAATGAAAACAATAAGTATAAAAAACATTTAGCTTACCTGAATATTGTTTCTTTTTTTTTTTTTTTCTTAAAGGTCCACGTTGTGGATTCATAACAGTTTTGTAAAAATAAATAAATAATGAAAAAATAATAATCATAGAACATAGTTACATATAATAAACAAATATATTCGTAAACATCATCCAGTATTGTTTCGAACTCGCTGTCATAACCCAACAGTCAGCTTAACCCCTCATCCTACACAAAATCAAACCTCATCCTACGACGAACATTTGTGACTGCGATGTCGCTTGCGGCTTCCCGCGCACAAATATTTGACAAAAAAAGCTAACTGATTGTTGTAATCAAATATTTTAACTGATTACTTTAATTACTCCAGGTTGCCGTTACGAGCCGATCACGCTTCAACGCGTGATCTCAAAGTTGCAGAATGAAGATGACGGTTGGGATTTGCTTTATACATTTTCTGATCCTATAATACCTAGTTCATAGTATTTTTTGGGGGGGGGGGGGGGGTTATCTCGGTGACCGTACATTTGAACCCACGTACATTTGAACCATGTATATTTGAACCCATGTGTATATCCGCGGATTTAATCTATATGGGGGTGCTAAAACTCATGGGTTAGAGTTAGTATGGGTTCAAATATCCGAAAAACAAAATAATTTCCATAGGTGCAATAGTATGCAGGTGCAATTGCCGTGAGTTCAGATGTACGTGGTTCAAATGTACGTGGGTGCAAATGTACACGGGTTCAAATGTAATGGAACCGTTTATTTCAGATCTCACATTTTTGCATCAGTGACGGGAGCTTAGTACAAAGAATCCAGCATTTCCATTATATTTGTCTGTTTATATTTGTCGAGTAAACGCGCACGTGGATGTCATCAAAAATGTAACCTTCCTTCCACTCAATGAAAGAATAACGGCGTGTTTAGCGTTATATCAATGCATTCTCTAAATTGACGTACAAATCTTAGCTCATTGACTTTTGCAGCCAAGAATGTTTTCATACAATAACGTGCCGGCGATGTCCTTAAAAGTGGAGTCACAATGTGACGTTGTTTCGATGCCTACTCACTCTACTGTAAAGGTAATTTCTTCGCACAAACCAAACGGCAGAGACATAACATCAGCAACAGCATTAATCACGGTTCTATGTGAAGTAAATACGGTAATTGACTGCTCAAGACGAGAGCATACCGACGACAACGACTGATTCACATATTTGGTGTTATGGAGCTCGTGAAGAGGTAAACTGTTATTTACGGAGCCCCACAATAAGAACGTAACAAAAACAAATTGTTACTTACCGATTAATTTCAATGAGTGATTTGAAATTACTCTATTTAATACCTCGGATGTATTTGCTGCTTCTTAAATTTTATTAATGTCATTTTGAGTAAACGAATAGTTCGCGGAGACTCTATAGTTCTGCATGAAGCACTTTGAGTCTGTCTCTACAGTAGACCTCTTGGTAAAAAGCGATCATGATACAGCATGATTTAACCTTATGTAATCACTATGTATAAAAATATTCCGATAATATTTATTTCTCATCTGGATTGTAGAAGACAGATTGACGAACAGGTATTCCAGAACATATTAAATTGATATTTGTCGTGTCTCATTTGTTCCACGTATGTAGGATAAGTGGGGCAAGCGGGACACGTGGGATAAGCCGGGCTTGTAGGACAAGTGAGATACGTCCGACAAGTGGGGTAGGAAATAGGACAAGCGGGACAATTAGGCCGGCAAATGGGACACGTGGCACAAGTGAGGCAATTGGGATACATGGCACAGGTGGGAAAACTAGGACGAGTGGGACACGACATTTTTGAGACGTCCTCCTTTTTACTGCCTCATGTTGGGTAGGGTCTATACTGCGATCTTTGAAGTGACTGCAATCGACTTTTACTTAATAAAATTTTTCCTCAATTGGCCAAGCCAACATTCCATACAGCGGCAATTCAATGATTCGTTCAGGTGAAGTCCTCATTTAGATCGCCTCTTGTTGTTCAGGTATACCAGTATAGGTCGAAAAAGGCGCTTCACTACTTTGATAATAATTTGGGCGCTCCCGTAGTATGTGCACAAAGATGGCGCACAACCTTAACCCTAACCTGATACACATACTATGTTCAGGTTGTGCGCCATCTTGGTGCACATACTACGGAAACACCATAATTTGACCCCACACTTTGTGATATCTCTCATCAATTTATGCTACGAATTATTTTTACGACTCTTATAAAACTTTCAATTTGTCAACAGTGTGTTTGACAAACATAAATTTTCGAGATAAAACTTTACTTAACTTGTGATTCATTAGTTTAGATATTTTTTATGGAGAAGGAGGAAAAGTTTAAAGAAATAGGCAAAAATATATGCTTAAAAAAAAGTTAATTAGCCTGAGGAATTAACAAAATTTTCCACGGCGCGACTGAATTTTTCTATAAATCTCGTTCGTTTCAGTTGCATACCGTCATTATGTTTAAAGATTTTCCGGTGTTTGACAATGTATATCCATGACGTCGTTTCACTCGTTTTCGCTTAATTAATTTTATGGGAATTTCTCCTGTTTGGTTATTCATTCCAAAGCATAGTAAAATATTTGAGTCCGTTTGAGTCCGTGATACAAATTCCTGACTGTAACTTTTTTAACATCTTCAATTTCAAAAGGCGCATATTTCGGAGTGAATTTGTTTTATTTCTGAATTATATTTAGCCATTTCTATTCTATAAAATACCCAAAACTTTACAACTGTAAAGTACACATAGAAAATGTACAGATATATCCGAGTACATGGAAGAGGATTGTAAACAAAGCTATAGAAATCATGAAGTATCTTTGGAAACGCCCTTTCCTATCCCGTCTGATATCAATATGGAATGGCTTGCATCAGCCGATATGATTCTGAAAGTGTGCTAGAGGAAGGTTGTATACTGCAAAATAATTATGTTGACATGTAGCCTATTTGTATTAGTGTATATAACTGTGGGTATAGATGCTCATAGTCAATCAACCTCGTTCATTCATGACAAATGTGGTTTGACACCAAAGAAGAATGTGGACTGGTCGCAGGCAAGTCGTTGTGCCCTGAAGAGTTAAAACATGAAAATGACTCTGTATGAAGCGATATACTGTATTAAATATATAGGCCAAAATAATAAAATACTTCGAAAAGAAAAAACGAAATACAGAGTTACCTAAAAAACAGAACCCTTAAATTTCCCAATTACTTCTTCGAAATTTGAGAAAATTTATCTAATTTTTTTACAGAACTTTTTGCTGAAACCACTAATCCTCTTAATCATCAACGTCGTTTAAATAATGTCCAGCACTTCTCCAGCACTATCACATAATGTTCCATATTCACCGTTTGATATTCGTTTCCATATTCGTACTGAACATTACGTACGCAAATGTCTACACATGCCGCGCACTGGGTGTGGCGTTCTCTGTAAGACTTGCCAATGTTCCCCTCCCTGTAAACAATATTTTTGCTATTGACATGCCCAGGTAGCAGGAAGTGCGCTTCAGCATAAAACCAATGAACCAAGACCACAAAACCAAGACAATCTGCGCAGCGTATACAAGTCTGTCACCAACATCATGAAGATAGCTTAGATTATATAACATATATATTCTAGAATCTAGGGCAATGGTTTTAAACCTTTTTTCATTCGTGGCACAGTTTCGCAGCACAATAATTCTGTGGCCCACTAACTTTTTCATGCTGGGATAAAATATCACGAAAAACATAAAAAAAATTTTGCGAAAATTGACACTTTCACTTTAATAATAATTAGATGGAGTAACAAAAAACAGCATCATCCGCTGCTACTACCATCAAATTTTACTAACTTTATCAGCAACTCTAGCAATTTTTAATAGGTCTGTGGCCTACCTTTAAATGTTCTTGTGGACCAGTGGCCATGGCCCACTGGTTGAGAACCAGTGTTCTAGAGCAGGGGTCCGCAACTACGGGGTCGCGACCCAAATTTGGGTCGCGAAGCCCTCCGCTCTGGGCCGCGAAACAATTTAAATTTTCCATAAATATGAGCATCGCGTCTGTGCAGCGTATTTATGTATACCAACTTTATAAATCTCTGATTATAATTATAAATGTTTCCCCGAATATACACTTCCTTATTTACTGCCGTAACATTGGCCAATCAGCATAAGTGCAAAATTGAAGTAACAATAAACGTTTCAGAAGCGCTGTGATATTACCTCGTTTTGTCGGTTTTCGC